AGTATGTATCATTGCTGGAAACAAATAATAAATATTATAGAATATATGGCAAAAACAATAGAACATCTCGTAATTACATTTACTGGCAATCACCACCCGGTAAGTTGAGTTCACGTCGTTTAGGTTAGCCCGGTTTTCATTATCACTTGTTGCGGTTATAAAAAGTGTCAACAGACAGTTTCTTTTAAAAAAAATATTAATTTTGATTCTAAAAAAGGAAAGTTTTAATACAATTAAAACATCATTATAAAACGGAGATGTAAATTATTTTTTCTATTATTACTTCACTGAGTTCATGCATGGACGAAATGAAGGAAATATTTATGACAAAAAAGTATCTACATGTATGACTGTGAGTATCTTGGAAATTTTTTTTTTTGTTTGACTTACCTAGAGCACTTTTGGTATTAATATCCCATATTCCAAATCCTTTGTTTTCTTTATTTTCATCTCTGTGTTGTTTTCCCGTGTAAACACAATTGACGATTTTACACTGCTGGAATTTTATCTTCAATACGCTACCGAATCTGTATCGTACTTCTGCAAGACAGTCTGACAGGTTGAGTGTTGACTTTTTACATGTTTTACAACAAGACAACTGTTCCGCTAAATACCCAAGCTCTACAATTCTTCTGCCCTCATTCCACAAAATAAAGTCTGAATCAGTTTGTGTTTCAAAAGTACTGGTTTTTACTGGTATGTCATCTTCTACTTTTCTTTTTTTCCAAGTGAACTTGCCCTTTTTAGAATGCATGCGCCGCTTTCCCGCCATGTTCAAATGCAGGACTGAAACGTCTAACGGGATTTGTAGTGTACGTCACAATATAAAAAGCACACACATTCCCGCAAATTTGCAGTTTGATTTTATTATACACGGTATTGATATAAGATAAATATTGCGAACATTTTACACGATCATGTAATACTAAAGATATAGGAAGATGTTGTATGAGTGCCAATGAGACAACTCTCCATCCAAGTCACAATTTATAAAAGTAAACTATTATAGGTCAATGTATGGTCTTCAACACGGAGCCCAGGTTCACAAGCTATAAAGGGTCCAAAAAATTACAAGTGTAAAACCATTCAAACGGGAAAACCGACGGTCTAATCTATATAAAAAAAAGACTATTTATAAGTAATTTTTATGTTTTTGTTTAAACTTTCACATATGTGTGATTTTTGCTATTGTTCTCGTTTTTGTGATTTTCATTTCGATCGCATACATGTAGATTATTAGAATTGTGAATATGATACATTGTACGTATAGTAAGCAACGCTAAAATGAAGATATTTTTAATATGCACTTATCTAAATTTGTAAATTTGAAATAAAGAAACATTTATCTTTCAACTGTTTTATACCAGACTAAGACAAATTGTTTGTTTAACTCGTTCTAAGTTATAACAAAACATCAGGTTTTACGTTTGTCGTCAATTTCATATTTGTCCGACAACAGCAGGAACGATAACTCGTGACGTAACGTCATTCGGTATCGTGTTACCTTAAAGTGACACAACTGCAAGAGGAACCAAGGGACAATGCTAATTGATATGCCAAAGTGCACATATTACGAAAAGATAAAATATTACCAGTTTAATCAAAAAATATCACAAACAGAAAGGTAATAGAACTTATACGATGTGTCCTGTAACCCACCATGCCAACCTTGTGCAATATTTAGACCAAAATTCTAAGTTCAAAGGGCATAACTCTAAGAAGAATAAAAATTGGATCATAATTTCCTGTCATTTTGCACATTTATTTACTATGTCCTTAACAGTAACCTACAAAGTTTGATTTTGATATGGTTTCAGAGGGGTGGGATGGCAAGAACAGGACTGATGAATAGACAGACAGACTGACAGACAGATCTACTTTCAATATTATTATTTTCTTTACACTTTCACTTCAGCATCACTTGTGACTATGTGTTTTTTATTCATTGTATCATTATATATGTAATTCTAAATATTTCATGAAATTTTTGTCTAAAGTATATTCATCTTATACCCTATAGCGGTTATGACAAAATGGATTAGTAAAAACTGACTGTTGTCAATGTAACGAAAATAAGATACAGTCTGTGTTTCAGGCAATATATGTCAAAAATGAAAATTCTAAAACAGAATATGAAAGTAAATTTTACTAGCTAAAATGAAAGATACAACAATGAAAAAATTATATAATTTGTCCATCTTCATCATCTTTATTTTTTCTGCAGACTTTTCACCTATTTAAAATTTTACTTAACATATTATATAGGTAAATATATATTTAAAAAAAAATCTTTATTAAAAATCTATATCTTTGCAATTATAGTTAATAGATATATGGAGATGTGGTATGAGTGCCAATGGCAATGGTACAACTCTCCATCCAAGTCACAATTTGTAAAAGTAAACCATTATAGGTCAAAGTACGGTCTTCATTTTCCCATGCTAATTGTCCATTATCAATACTGCCAACTCTTGCCAATTTCGCATGAGATGCCAGTCTTTTGTCCAGCAATACTAAATTCTTTTAAAAGAATAATCACCCAAATTAAAAACAATATTTTTTTCCATGAAAAGGGTCTCAAGAATAACCTGTTTGTTTGTATTTATTCATTAGACCTTTGTGTACACAGTTGCGGATCCAGAGGGGGGACCAGGGGTTGGACCATCCCTTTTTTTTAACAATCAATGCTTTGGAATGGAGACATATGGTTGGACCCCATACCCTTTTATCCTGGGTTGGAACCCTCTTTTAAAAATGGCTGGATCCACCCCTGCTACAACATATATAAAATGATAAAATACTAATTCATTTGTTATATATCTGTATTTTTTTTTTTAAATCAAGCATCATTAGTCATGAATTTAAAAATTAATCAAAATAAAGAACTTAAGTTGAATAGTTAACATGATTCTGTGATTTTTTTTAGATTTAATTAAAATTTCAAATGTGCTCGACTTCAACACACTGTATGAGGGTCATGATGGATGGTACATTCATGACAAATAAAAGTAAAAATTCATATCAAATGATGTTAACGGTAATTTTTGGTGCATTACAATAAAATGTATACACTTTCTTTTAGACAATAAAAAAAAAACGGCTAATCAGTTTAAATTAAAAAAAAAGTCAGGGACACAAATTCGTCGGACAAAATAAATTAATAAATATAAGTTAGATTTTATGAGTCGTGGCATATGTACCAGACAAAAGGTGTTTTGAAATACAAGGAAAACCCAACATATCAACGATGAAGGGTCTCTTTTGCTGTGCATAAGATTAAAACTTGTCACCAGGTCTTCAGCAATCGGCTTTTTAATATTCATTTACAATGACAACACATTCATCATTATAACAGAAACCAACATTCAATGTGTTGTAAGCGTTACATTTTTTCACAAAGAACATTTTAAACAGTGTATTTCTAAAATGACCGAGAGTCAACTTACATGTGTTTTGTATTGCACCATTAAGTAAAAATAACATATATATAGCCATGGATATAGAAAATGACAAATTAAAAGAAGAAATAAAAAAATAAAAGCAGCAAATTAAACTATCTATACAAAGATAACACTAATCAATTTACTTCCATGGTCAAACTTAAGAGCGAGGAACACGATTCCCTAAAAAGAGTGATTTGAAAGATTTTTTGCATTAGATTTCGAGTTCTCAAATTTGTTTCAATAGTTCCACCACATTGATGTAATGTCATTACAAGATGATACTCCCATAACAAACCGTGCATACATTCATTACATGTACTATGTCACCAATTAACACAAGTTGTATTGTTTCAGATTCAATTTAATAAAACAAACAGTGGCATCCTGAAGAGCAAATATAAGACATCGTAATTGGAGACAGGAAAGACAATCAAGCGACAGGGTGCCTGCTGATAATAAAATTCATTTGACAATATATCAATTTCGAGCTTTTTTTAATATACCACCTTTTCATTTTCTTTAAATATTATCGAAATACAAATGATGGAAAAATGTTGTACGGGAAAAAAAATTGAACAGCGAATCGTTTATTATTATTTAAATGTTAATGTATACTTTATCATTTATCATTAAATACGTTTCGCCAAATATTTTGTATTCAATATTTATCGTTTCTATTTGAACAATAAAAAATAGCCGCAGTGAACACTTTGAATTTGAACTTATTATGTATTATTCAGTTCATTTATTTAAGAACAACTGGAATTTATTTTACATGTATAACAGTATGATCTCGCTAATGTACGTTGTTTTCGTATATTACATTTGTGTTGGTTATTTTTTTTCAAAGACAACTTTTCAATACGCCGGAGACCTAAGAATTTCTTAATTTAAACTGACTTTTCTGACATCAAAATATAGCTTTTTGACAGGAGTATTCAACAGTTATGTATTAATAGTATTTCCTTTGCATATTAAGTGTGCTTCAATTTTTTTAGTTACTGCTGTCTCGTTTCTTTTGAACATCATCGTTATTTACTGATGTGAGTAAGGGAATTTAGATAATGAAACTTAAAAAAACCGGAGACCTAACAATGAGATAAGATAAACCGATTTTTTATACCACCAGAAAGGTAAATCTATGTAGAATTCGGTCGTATGTGTTAATAAGTATTCAGACGATTAATAAAAATAATATGAAGAATTAATGAAGGGTACCCATTTATTTTCCCATTACTTTCTATGTTAATCGAACATCATTAAAAACATTGCACCCCGGGTGTCGCTGATAAGGGTAATCGGCCATTAGCCTACGGTGTCCTTCATTCTTGGGTATGATTAAATCGACTGAAATCTGGTCAAGAATCTTTTCCATCATTGACTTAAATTGTCAGCGAATTTAACAGTCTTCATGAACAAAACAAAGCGCCTATTATTTCATTTTTACTTGTCCTAAATATGCTTGAAATATTTGCCATTTTACGTTTAAGCAATCAATCAATCAATACTCATGAAAACGGAATGTCTACTTTGTCCGAAGTTGGTCTCGAATTTATGTTAACCGAAAGACTTCCGCTACAACTTTTGGAAAAATGACCCTCAAACTTTTACACAGGGGACTCTTAAAAAGAGTATTAAACACACCAAAACATAAGTTAAACATATTAAGTACAAAATGTTGCTCGTATTATCCGGTAAACGATTCATTGTTTGGCTTGACAGAAGAACAAAAACAGGTATGAAACTTGGGCTGTTGGGACGTCGACATGGCTCTTATCCCAATTTATGGATTAACATGGCTCATGATTACAAAACAACACAGACAGATGCAAACAGATGAGTTTTACTCGAGGCAATAATTGTTAAAGCCTATAATGTATCGGGAATGTAATTTACTACATTGTTCAAGGGGACACTTTTTTGTTTATGGTTCATCATAACAAATGGACAAAAATGGCTGTGTTTACACCTCAAAACTACTCTGAGGACAGACTAACCGGTGCAGTTGAAAAAGTTTTAAAGCCTGGCATCTACTAGATATATAATATTTAAGTGCATTTTGTGTTTCAGAAAGATAAAATATTTTATGGATTTTGATGGTCATTTTTGTTTCGTTCCTGTTGTTGGAGTAAAAATAATCAAACACCTGAATTACATTTGATACTGTCCACTCAGTAACACCCTTTAAACTCACCTATTCTTGTGAGATATCTATTGTCCTTTTATTGTCCATGTCAATTAAGGAAATCAATACAATCATGACAATATAATACAGTTGTTACCTGAGAGGGAGCATCTCAAAGATTTAACCCAACTTAGTTTATTTTAACATCTTCTGCAGGAACAGAAAAAATGCTCATCAAAATCCAAAAAGATTTTATCTTTCTGAAACACAAAATGCATTTAACTTTTATATATCTAGTGGATGCCAGGCCTTAAAACTTTTCCAACTGCACAGGGTAGTCTGTACTCAGAGTAGTTTTTGAGGTCTAAACACAACTATTTTTGTCCATTTGTTATAATGAACCTTAAGAAATTATGTAATTAATTTATCATAACTGAAAATAAACTCATCATAGATACCAGGATTAAAATTTTGTGCACCAGAATTTAACAGAATGAGGCAGTTGTTACGAGTGAATGAAGACAATGTCTTTATAAATAGTTATTAAAATACCGTACTGATTTCTGTAAAAAAAAAAATAGCAACAGTAAAACCATTTTTAGTCTTATCAATTTGCTGGTCAATTACTTTTTTTTTTTTTTTTATCTTTTTACAAATCAGTCACTATCATTAAAAAATAATCAGTAACTTTGCATACATGGATTATGGGTAAAGATATCCTGTATCATTCTTCTTGACTGTAAAGTAAATAACTCATTTTACTAATTGCAAAAAGAAAACATCTGCTTGATTGGTGTATCATTGATTCAAACATCTGCATGAATGGTGTATCCTTGATACAAACATCTGCATGCTTGGTGTATCCTTCATACAAACATCTACAAGATTGGTTTTGTTTTTGTGATTACATCTGTTTCTCAGATACTTGGAGCAATAGGTCAACTATATTTGGTGTATGGAATGATTGTAAGAATGTTCGATGACTGTCAGACCTCGTCTTTGTGTATGTGCTTAAAAAATTCATGCACCAGGGTTTAAGTAGCATGATAAGATTTTGTATCGGTCTTCTTTGCAACTTTTATTTTTTACACAATATAATGATATTGATTTTAATAGATATTTACATTTAAAAATAAGGAGATGTGGTATGATTGCCAATGAGACAACTATTTACCAAAGTTCAAATGAAGTGGATGTAAGCAATTATAGGCAACCGTATGGCCTTTAACAATGAGAAAAACCCATACCATATAGTCTGCTATAAATGGTCCTGACATGAAAAATATAAAACAACTCAATTGAGAAAACTAACGGTCTAATTTATAACAAAACAATTTACAAAAACAAATATGACATACATGAACCAATGACAACCACTGAACTACAGACTCCTGACTTGGCACAATCACATAAAGAATGTGGCGGGGTAAAACATGTTTGTGAGGTTCAACCGTCCCCCTAACCTGGGACAGTGGTGTAACAGTACAACATAAGAACAAACTATAAAAATCAGTTAACTCATCAGATCTATACAAAGAAAAACATCAAACAAAAACACAGAAAGTGGCAGGGTATATATCCATCTCTCATCCCTTACAACAAAAAAGACACTGAGTACAGAACTGAGAGTACTCTCAGTTCCTGACAGATAGTTCAAAGCCAATAACTAATAAAAAAAAATCACGTATCTAAGATTACAATTCCATGATTTATTTTTCAGTTGAGACAGTCAGTTTTTCAATTTTGTCAAAAAGAATTAGCACCAAAAGCACAAGAAATTGATCATAAAAATGAATTTACAGAAATGAGAGTAAGTATATTATTTTTGAAAATTTCCAATTATTTTTTTGCACATTGAAAATAGATTGTTTGGCATTTAGAGGATATTGTTCAGTTTCACATTGTAATGTCCTTTTTAGGATTTAAAGGTATGTTGTGGGGATGAGATTTAATAAAAAAAAACACTTAAAAGCATAGATTTGGTTACATAGAAATTTTACAAATGATGTTTTCAGCTATGATATATGGTTTTATTTTGAACTCTGATAAATACTTTTCTTGGAGAAATTAAATCTACATTCCCATATAAAGTAATATTTCACTTTAAAATTATTTTGCAATTTTTAATTACATTCCAAAAATGAAAATTTTGCTAGTCTTCATTGTATAATTCTACAAGGTTTTGGTATATTTTTTCATGCTGTCATTTTTGTCTCACTGCGACGAAAGTTGCGGAAATCGAGACATAGGGATTGCTGCGACGGCGACAGCTCGGGCATCAACAATTGTTTAGTTTTCTGCTTAAGTTAGGTTGATAGGATCTACTTGTGATTATACTGATAGATCAATGATATTGTGTATAAAGTTGCATTACTATCAGTTTGATGACTATTTTGAGGCCCTGCCCCCTAGGTCATGGTCCAGTGACTTTGAATTAATTAGCAATTTACGATGTTAAGTTTTCTGCTTAAGTCAGTTTGATAAGAACTACTTGTGATAGATCAATGATATTTTGTATAAAGTTGCATTACAATCAGTACATATCAGTTTGACGACTATTTTGAGGCCCTGCCCCCTTGGACATGTTCCAGTGACTTTGAATTAATTAGCAATTTTCAATGTTAAGTCTTTATGCTTAAGTTATATTGATAGGAACTACTTACATTAAACAACGATATTTTCTATAAAGTTACATTACTGTCTGTACATCTCAGTTTGTAGACCATTTTCAGGCTCTGCCCACTAGATCATGGTCCAATGACTGAACTGATATGCAATGTTGCTGTTCATCAGATTGTCTTTTTCTGAATTTTATGCCGATAGGTGAGACATATCTCTGTGTCAACAGTTTATTAGTTGTTACAGTGCAATCGAAATAATACTTAAAAGAATTTGTTGGCCTACTTATAAAAAAAAAAAATACATATAAAAGGATTAATTATATAGATATAACCTATATTCAATTGATAATGTACTGCTACTTGTAAATTTTTATTTGGATTTGAAATTCTTCTTGTCATACTTATACACTTTTAATGAACTGACAGTACTGTGACAATATTTTATATACTTTTTGTTATGCTGCTGATCAAGGTAAAAAAGAATAAGTTGATTACAGTACTATACAATACTAGTTTACCCCACAATATAGTTATTGCCTGACTAAGTCAAGTACCTTTACAGTGGTTGTCTTTGTATACTGTAAATTCAGACATTTTTGTGGGTATTTATTTTTGTGATTGTTCAAGAATCAACACAAAATCGATATTAATTATTGCGATTTCAGGAAATAATGCTATCAAAATGTCAAATGCCAATTTTTATTCTTGCCACAATGATAAAAGCATCACAAAAAAAATTCTGAATTTACAGTATATCTTAGTGTTTTGTAAGAGTTAGACTATTTGTGAACCTATTTTGTAAATTTCATCTTTATATTGCAAATTTTATTTTACATTGTAAAATTTCTTTGAAAAATTCATAGATTTGCATATACAAATGTGTCATATAATTTTAATATCATGTGAAAAATTTTGTATATGTTATACCTTATTGCAAGAGTTAATCTTTTTTTTTAGAAGTGACATTTTCTAATATTTAAATGATAACATACTTAGTAAGATATTTATCTTTGTATTTAGGATTTTTGGAAGAAATGTGGAGAGATGGGATTACTTGGCATAACAGCACCAGGTTTGTATGAACATCAGAATATTGTTCTAGTTTTAAAACTGTTAATAATGTCAGTTTACTAGTTTTGTTTATATGTCAAAGGAACGTTTTCATTTTTATACCCCCGCTTTAAAAAAGTGGGGGTATACTGTTTTACCTCTGTCCGTCCATCCGTCAGTCTGTCCATCCGTCCCATGAATATTTTTAGTCGCATCTTTCTCAGGAACTACATCATAAGGATTTCTGAAATTTGGTTTCAGGGTTTTTATAAGTCAGCTATACCGTGTGATGTGTTTTCAGATTCATCACTCAACAACTTCCTGTTTACCGAGCACTTACATATTTTTACACTTAAAATTATCCATATTTGGCCGGGGGTATCATCAGTGAGCAGTAGCTCGCAGTTTCACTTGTTTTAGTACATTTTACTGTATGTTGTTAAAATGATCAGAGAAAACAATTATATTCACAAAACAGAGTTTCACTGATTTACCCTAATACACTTATTAAATTTGTTGTTCACAGGAGGAGTTTAGTTAAGGGCCTTATTTGGTCTAAAAATGTGAAGTTTTATAAAATCCTTTGAGGTTTGGTGCTTAAATAACTGTCAACCACTTCCTAGTTATAAGGTTTAAAGTTATAAGTTCTTATAAATGGTACATAGGATGAAAGTATAATGTGAAATGCAATGAATGAGTTGAATTTGAAGTGCATATCTGATTTGCTGTCATCAGAAATACTCCAAAAGTATGGAAATTACATAAAAATACATTTTGAGCTGTGGGTATATAACAAAAAGAGACTTTAACAATAATAGCCAAAACCAAGTAAGGGTTCTAACTGATCTGATATTCAGCTTGGATATTTAATTTTAGCTCAATATGGTGGATCAGAAATGTCTTATTTAGATCACTGTCTTGTGATGGAAGAAATGTCCAGGGCTTCAGCAGCGATAGCACTCAGTTATGGTGCATCTTCAAACTTATGTATAAATCAGATTGTCAGAAATGGAACAGAAACACAGAAGGACAAATATTTACCAAAGGTATTTGTGTTAATAGTAGCTGAATTCATACAAATGTTCTTAGGACATTTCCATAATTGAACCTGTGTGTGTGTGTGTGTGTGTGTAATTGGGTGGGGTGTTATTAGAAGGCACTTTAATGAAAATTTTGTCAAAAAATCAAATAAAATTAATAAAAAAATATATTGGGGGTGATTAGGAATATAAAAAAGTGCCTGGTGTTTTGATATTTAAAAAAAAGTTGAAATTGTGCAAATCTTATTATGAACTGACAGATGCATTGATAAAAAAACATTACAATTACTATTGTTTGTTTCAGTTAATTAAGGGAGAATATGTTGGGGCTTTAGCTATGAGTGAAGCAGGATCAGGATCAGATGTTGTATCAATGAAATTGAAAGCTGAAAAGAAAGGTATAATTATTATTATAGGGACTGTATCATGTATAGTGCATTCACATTGTCCGTTAGTCTGTTTGTACATCCGTCCAACAAATATCTATACTACTAAAATAACTAGGTCCAACTTGTTAGCTGGCATGACATAAAAACAACAATTCATAGAATTGAACTTTATATATAACTAACATAGGACAATGGTGTTGTTAAAAAATTACACCATTCCAGGCCCTTTTGTTTTCCACATAATGATATTACCAAATATTAACAAGTTACGGGTTGAATCCGATAATGATACCAATAGTATATGTCACATGTAGTTTCCAGTTGTAGTTACCTGTTACCTTCTGTAAATCCCTCCTTTATCAGGAACATTTCCAGTAGTTGTTTTATATCTATGTTACAATGAAGTACACTATTTAACAAGTCTGTTTTCTTCAACCTCAATACCACTATTAATTTTGGTCAATTACATGTAGGTAAAAAATTATAAATTTATTTTATAGTAAGTTTATTGTAGTAAGAAAACAAGGATGGGTTCCATCAGAAAGATTTTGATCGCAGAGAAAACTCTGCACATTACAATCAGCATGACTTTATCAGATGACAATATGAATATTAAAAATCCAGGCTAAATATAAGGCATTTGACTTTGATTCAGTCACAGACCCGTGATGTCGCAGATGTGTTCTAGTTTCCTTTATCAAGGCCGTAACTACCATTGAGGCAAGTGAGGCAATTGCCTCACTAAAATTTCGACACTGATTTTTTTTTGTGTATTTGTCTATGGTAATCAAATACGAAATATAGTCATTTGTTTTTTCTGTCTCAATCTATAACTTGACATCGTTCCTTTTGAATTATTCTTCCCGAATACATAACTCAGCATCTCACCGGGTGATGTTTCTCGATTACATTAACCTAGTTACCGGTAATCAACATGGATCTGTGGTTAAAAACAGGATCTTGCAGAAAAAGGAAAAGCAATACTGAAGGTGAGGAAGGAATAATTCTATTAAACTAATGGATGTTATTTGTGATCACAACAGGTGTTAAGAGTTCCAGTATTGGATATATTTTCATTGGAACTAATCCCAAAACTATATAGACTGACAAATAAAGTCATGGGGCACCGCACAGGAGCAGTCCTGTCTGAGTATCCATTTCCACGTTTTCCCCAACTTTATTCGTTCTCTTTACAGATAAACTAAATATTAATAATATGAAACCTGCATGGATGAGTTTTTATCCATGTTTCTTTTGCCTTAAAATTTGAAAGAACATCCCGTAACCAATTTTGACCGAAGTATTATTGAGGGACGGTATGACCTTTAAAACGAGATTTCGTGTTTTCTAACTCGGGACCATTGGATTTCATGTCTTTTAATTCGGAATTTTGGGATCGGACCCCCTCCTACCCCCTTATTATTCGATTGACGATCTAAAATATTTTACCACTGACTATTTCCAGAAATAATCTGAAATCACGGCCCTACATGTAAACGGCGATAAAATTCAATATTCCTAGAATAACATAAAATGATATAGTTATATCCAATTTCCCGGCCCTAGAACAATGTAGAAAATTGGCAAACTCCAATTTAAATAACAATTGCTACTGAGTCGATGTTTGTTCTATGTTCTGGCGGCAGACTCAAATTTGGATGTTTATGTGACATATAAATTTAGATAAAGTTGTTTAATATTTGGTGTTAGTACATGTCCAAATGTCCCAGACCCCCTGCCGAAATTGTTTGCCTCGCTTCGCTCTGCTCGATTTTTTCACCTCGCTCCACTCGGCGATCAGTTCTGCCTCACTAAAATAATATGCCTAGTTACGGCCTTGTTTATACTAGTAAGGAGATGTGGTATGATTGCCAACAAGACAATTATCCACTAAAGTTCAAATGAAGTGGATGTAAGCAATTTTTGCACTTTTCTCAGGTGCTTTACAGAATCACTTTATATTTGGTCAGCAGCTTGGCAGTGATAAGTTGTAACTTATGCATACCATTCGGATCTGTTGGACATCTATTACGCGGTACCTGTTTTTTGATGCTTTTAATTTTTCAATATGTTAAATAAACTTAAAATTTTGGTCACACGTTTCTCAAGTACTGTTGAACAGAATGACTTCATATTTAGTCAGTGACTTATCAGTGATGAGCTGTTACGTGTGAGCGTTTTCTGGATTTACTATGAATTATGAGTGGGGGTATGCTTAACACGACATCGTGTGCATTCTTTTTCTACATTTCCATTAATCTTGCATAAAACATCCTTTGTATAGACCTGCATATGAGCAACACAAGATCAAATATTTTATAAAATGTGATGATAGAGGAAAAAAATAATCATACACAAAAGTTTTAGAGCAATTTTGTTATGCCTTATGGTATGGATTCCTGATGATTTTTGAAGACAGTATAATATCAGATATTACTTTTTCACTGTCTCATTAGTGTTAACTTCATTGATACTTTATTGATATCAAACTAGTTTTAGTTGAAAGAAAATCTTTAACTAATCTACAGCTCACCTGGCCCAAAAGGCCAGTCTGAGATCATGTAATCATATGTGAAATTAAAATAAAATTATACTTCTTTATACTTGAAGGTGATCACTATGTATTAAATGGTAATAAGTTCTGGATAACAAATGGTCCAGATGCTGATGTGCTGGTAGTGTATGCCAAAACAGATATCACGTCAGATAAACCACAACATGGTATTACAGCTTTCCTAATAGAAAAGGTAAACTTTTTGTGGTCTCAAATTGACTGAGGACATAAACAAATACACACATACTCACTCTGTTTTTGTGTCGCCTGCGACGAAAGTCACGGAAAGCGAGACATAGGGATTGCTTTTCCGGCGACAGAGAAGGCGACTGTGTCAACAATTGTTCAGTTTACTGCTTGAGTTAGTTTGAAAGGAACTACTTGTGCTTGATCAATGATATTTTGTATGATGTTGCATTACTATCAGTACATATCAGTTTGACGACTATTTTGAGGCCCCTGCCCACTAGGCCATGGTCCAGTGACTTGAATTAATTAGCAATTTTAAATGTTAAGTTTTTTGTTTAAATTGGGAACTACTTGTGATAGATCAATGATATTTTGTATGAAGTTGCATTACTATCAGTACATATCAGTTTGATGACTTGGCCCTGCCCCATTGGTCATAGTCCAGAGACTTTGAGAATAAATTAGCAATTTTCAATGTTAAGTTTTCTGCTTAAGTTAGTTTGATAGGAAGTACTTGTGATAGATCAACGATATTTTCTTTAAAGTTGCATTACTATCAGTACATATCAGTTTGATGACTATTTCGAGGCTATGCCCCATAGGTCATAGTCCAGAGAATTTGAATTAATTAGCAATTTTCAATGTTAAGTTTTCTGCTTGAATCAGTTAAATAGGAATTTCTTGTGATAGATCAATGAAATTTTGTATGAACTTGCATTACTATCAGTACAAATCAGTTTGAGGACTATTTTGAGGCCCTGCCCCCTACGTCATGGTCCAGTGATTTTCAAATAATTAACAATTTTCAATGTTAAGTTTCCTGGTTAAGTTAGTTTGAAAGGATCTACTTACAATAGACAGTGTATGTAAGTTCAATAACTTTCTACCATAAAATATTGTAGGGGATGCCAGGATTTTCTGCTGGACCAAAGTTAGATAAACTTGGTATGAGAGGTTCTAACACATGTGAATTAATATTTGAGGACTGTAAAGTTCCAGGTAAGCAATAAGCACACATGAATAGATAAATATATAATAATTCCTCAAAAAAAAACCATGACAAAGCAATCATTTATGACATAAACTTATACTGGCTTTATCAAAGGTACTCAACCAAGTATTATGTGTTGCTTGAACTTGCATCTTCAATCATCTCCATACCAAATCGTATTGCTGTTTGATTATTAGTTTCTGAGAACAGTTTTAGGACATTCACACAGTTAGAGACTCAAGTGATTAGAGGCGATCATCTACTATGGTAGACTGGTAAAAATTCAGCTGTATTGGAATTATTAAATTATGTTCAGACAAATAATACTGAAATATATTGAATCTGTAGGGCCCAAATCAATGCCAGTTATTTTTAAAAGTAGTGATTGCAAATTCTTATATTTCAAGATGGCTGTGTAATATCTGCTTTAATTTTCTCATCCACACATTAGAAACTGTTATCTCAATTGGTTAGCCTTCACAACCCAAGATGTTAACATACCAGAAACTGTTATCTCAATTGGTTAGCTTTCACAACCCAAGATGTTAACATACCAGAAACTGTTATTTCAATTGGTTACCGTAGAAAGGCTTGTATAGTCCGCGGTTTTATTCTCCAAAATTGGACCTTCCAGACGGGGTGCGGACTATAGAGTACAATAAGCAAGAAATAAGAGAAAAATTTCAATTTCGCGGTCGAGGTGGTTTGTTTACGTTCCGCCATCTTTGTTATTTCTATTGTAGAGGGCGCTCTTATCATTTTTCAAACTAGTAATTTTAACTCATCCATATTAATAAGTTATTTCTATTCAATATCAAATTAATACTGATAAATATAAAAACTAAACCTTTCATTACAAATTTCTCGTTTCTTTTCAATGCATTGGTTGAAATAAACTGGTATCTGCTCGATTGAAACGATACAAACATAGTGAAAAAGACAACCGTAAACCAGCTTAGAATTTGTAAACTACAAAACGAAATCGGTTATTGTTCGTTCCGTTTTGGTGTTTCATACTGACTAATATGGTTTGTATTAACTTAAGACCCTTCAAACATTAATGTGATAGATATATTGAAGACTGTTTTACAAAAGGATGGAACTGTTTTACTTTCAAAGTCGTATTATAGTGATATCTGTTATGTACGGATTTCGACTCTCACCGGTTAATTTCTACTTTTACACGTGCTTTTTAAACTTCCTGTTTAAACATACACAAGTTTATAAATTGTTTTTTAAGTGAATTAAACTTATTTTAACAATCATGAAGCGTTCTAGAATCATTAACAAGCAGTTTCAGCTTCTGTTTGATGATGGAAAACAGGTTTTTCCAAGAAAATACCGCAAACGACCGCACAGGATTTGAAATTACCGGAGTTTCATTAGACCTTTTCTAACAGTTACAAAAAGTTTTTTTACCTAAAATTTCATGGGGAGAAGGGGGTGCGGACTATGTACCACTGCGAACTATACAAGCCTTTCTACGGTAGCTTTCACAACCCAAGATGTTAACATACCAGAAACTGTTATCTCAATTGGTTAGCTTTCATAACCCAAGATGTTAACATACCAGAAACTGTTATCTTAATTGGTTAGCCTTCACAACCCAAGATGTTAACTTACCAGAAACTGTTAGCTTTCACAACCCAAGATGTTAACATACCAGAAACTGTTATCTAGATTGGTTAGCTTTCACAACCCAAGATGTTAACTTACCAGAAACTGTTATCTCAATTGGTTAGCCTTCACAACCCAAGATGTTAACATACCAGAAACTGTTATCTCAATTGGTTAGCTTTCACAACCCAAGATGTTAACATACCAGAAACTGTTATCTCAATTGGTTAGCCTTCACAACCCAAGATGTTAACATACCAGAAACTGTTATCTCAATTGGTTAGCTTTCACAACCCAAGATGTTAACTTACCAGAAACTGTTATCTCAATTGGTTAGCCTTCACAACCCAAGATGTTAACATACCAGAAACTGTTATCTCAATTGGTTAGCTTTTACAACCCAAGATGTTAACTTACCAGAAACTGTTATCTCAATTGGTTAGCCTTCACAACCCAAGATGTTAACATACCAGAAACTGTTATCTCAATTGGTTAGCTTTCACAACCCAAGATGTTAACTTACCAGAAACTGTTATCTCAATTGGTTAGCCTTCACAACCCAAGATGTTAACATACCAGAAACTGTTATCTCAATTGGTTAGCTTTTACAACCCAAGATGTTAACTTACCAGAAACTGTTATCTCAATTGGTTAGCCTTCACAACCCAAGATGTTAACATACCAGAAACTGTTATCTAGATTGGTTAGCTTTCACAACCCAAGATGTTAACTTACCAGAAACTGTTATCTAGATTGGTTAGCTTTCATAACCCAAGATGTTAACTTACCAGAAACTGTTATCTCAATTGGTTAGCCTTCACAACCCAAGATGTTAACATACCAGAAACTGTTATCTAGATTGGTTAGCTTTCACAACCCAAGATGTTAACTTACCAGAAACTGTTATCTAGATTGGTTAGCTTTCATAACCCAAGATGTTAACATACCAGAAACTGTTATCTCAATTGGTTAGCCTTCACAACCCAAGATGTTAACATACCAGAAACTGTTATCTAGATTGGTTAGCTTTCACAACCCAAGATGTTAACTTACCAGAAACTGTTATCTAGATTGGTTAGCTTTCACAACACAAGATGTTCACATACCAGAAAATATTTGGTTTACACTAAAACTTTCTAGATACATAAATGATAATATTAGACGTGTTTATGTTACTTTTATCTAGGAACAGTTGCTACACATATATATAATACAATGACTGTGAACAATGTAATTTCATTATGTTTGAGAGGTTATCATTATCTTAGGTAAGGGCTATAACAAAAAAAAACTAACTCTATAAGATAGGTGACATTTATTTTGATGTAGGAAAAATGATTTTATTTGTCATTTTTTTCAGGTATTACATTGACCAAAATTTATTTAAGTACTTTTTTAAATTATTCTGTAGATGATATGATTTGAATTATGTCCAATTTTCAAGCTTCAGATCAAAAATGTATGTTCTATATATGTTAAATGAAGAGTTACCAGTACTTGACCATTTTCAAATTCTTTCAGCTGAGAATATGTTAGGTGGTAAAAATAAAGGTGTATATGTACTGATGTCTGGGTTAGATATTGAAAGGGTTATTGTGGCAGCTTGTGCTCCAGGGTGAGATTATACACACGAGAAAATGCCTCTTAGCTAGAAAGTGTTTCACTGCAATACAACATGTATCAGAGACAATTATTCATACACATTAGATTGTAATTCTAATTGCATATCATGAAATATATTTTTGTCTTCAGTATGATGCTATTTCAAACAAATTGTAAAATTTGAATATATTTGTATTCCATTATATTTTGAAGGAAAAGAAAAAGTGATCTTAAATGGGTTTAGACATTTGGCTTGGTTTCAATCAGTGCAAATCTGGCTATTTATTAGTATTGTATAGGGAAATTATTGTGTGTGTCTAATTTTTGCTATTTTTCATGTGAGACATTTTACTGTCAAATTAACTGTTAATTACCCGGTAAAAAATATTGGACAAGGCCATGAAATGCAATTTTGACCTCAACAAAGATTTAACTTTTCCATCTAAGGCCCTTACACAAACATGATCAATAATGAGCAGGCTGATTGGGTATAAGGGTAAAGGTATTTTGTGATTAACTTCTCAAGCGGCTTCAAAAATATTAAAATGTTTTGATGTACATTGAAGATTTGCATCAGACTTTATGTACATGCTTGGACATTTTTTTTGCAAATTATCGAAAGGTTAAAACATTGTTTTTCATGATATTTGGTATTTATTTTGTGTAAAAAGGTAAAATTTTCAACATAGAGCTTACAAACTTTTCAGAATGCTTGTTTATACATTAAATAGGTGCAAAGACTTTGTACACATATTTGGATAAGTTTTGCATATTTCTCAGTAAAAGCTACCCATTTTGTGTAAATAACTACTCCTACAGTTTCCAAACTTTTCTAGAATCTATTATTCACTCCATTGCAGATTTTCAGATGGTGAAACTTAAGCAACATTCTTGATGTCCTTTGATTTATGCTCCCTAAAGCATATCAAATATAAGTGACATTGTCATTTATATGGCCTTTCCACACACCATGCATATTGCAACCTGGCCATTTGAGTCTTTGATCATCTTTAAAAAATATAAATTGTGCTTTCTGTAAAATTAAAAATTACTTTTACAGAAGAAAATATAATTGGTGGTTTAGGTAAAGGAGTATATGTTTTAATGTCGGGACTGGATATAGAGAGAGGTCTGGGAAGTAGTGGATGTGTAGGGTGAGGAAATTATCTCCAATTTTACAATTCTGTGTAAGAATCAGGCAAGCATCCCATTGCTTTTTTTTTATGAAACTTGCACAAAGTTTTTCGTATTTTCAGAATATATGATATAAACTATTTTTGAAAGAAGCTATTTTATTTCATGTAAATTACAATTAAATTTGTACTTTTATAGCAGTCACCTTCCCATCTTGACAAATGTCTAGTAATCATTCTTAGTTATATATTTTTTGAAAAGTGTAATTATTTTTTTTTAATTTTATGGAATTGCATGTCTGATTCTTATGTAGACAAGTGTATTCAACACATTGTATCATTTCACTCCATTACAACATGTATAGCTGATAAACAATTAATTCAAATAATTTTTAATCTGGTTTAAGTATTGTATTGAGTTGTCTAAAAAATTCTAGGAGATGAAATTATTTAGGTATGGGTAGCTGATTGGATAGCAGCAATATTTCAGCACATTTAGCCCATAATTGATGGAATGAACAATTCAAGTTATGAATGCAAAATGTCCACATACATGGTGTATTGCAATGGAATATATATTCTAAACAATATAAAGCAACATTTAATGAGAACAAATTGGAGACACAAATTAATGAGAACAAATTGGAGACACAAAATTGTTTAAAAGTTGAGAAATGTTGTAAACTTTGAAAAATAATTCAATGATAGAGTAATTCATTTGGTGAATTATTTTATCATATTAAGGTGCAGTTTTCTTGAATGAAGCTATTTTAATCTTCATCTGTACAAAGTTATAATTGAAGTGTTGTCTTCAATATATTCTCATTATTTCAGACACTTATCCTCCAGAAATACAGCTTCATGAATGAGCACAAACTATATTTAGAATGTTATTTTGGAGACGGAATGTCAAATTTTTGTAACAGATCATTTTGGAAAATGCTGATGCAGCCTCTTACTTTAGTCTTTCCTCAAATTTCACACTACGATTTTCTGTGAAAATAATGTGAAATCTTAACATTTCTAACTAGTTTGTGGTCATTTACATAAATCACAAAGCTTCAAGGTTTTCACTGGAAAGCATTTTGTTCATCAGAACTAACAAAAGAACTTGTTAGCAATCTGTTTTCTGGTTTTGCAAATGTTTTCCAGAGTGAAAATGATACAAGATATATATGCTTTAAATTCAGATATTTTTGAGTGCATTTATTATTTTGATTGCTGAACAATGGACACAATTTATTACAAATTATTAAGATGGCAAGAAATGCTGCATTCAAATAATACTTTCAGAATTTAAAATGAAAGTTTTAATTTTTGACACCTGTACATGTCCTGTCAGAATAAAAACAATGCAAAAATTTCTGAATTTACTGTATACCGGTAGTAAGGACATGTACATATTTAAGAAAATTCAACACTGATGAAAACACCCCTTTCTTTCCTTGATAGTTGAGAATATGATGGGAGCATTAAACAGGGGAGTGTATGTACTATTTAGTGGTCTAGATATTGAGAGATTAGTATTGGCTGCAGGTCCACTTGGGTAAGTTCAAGTGTTGGTTTAAATGTGCATTGGTCACTGGAGTTAAACAAGCAACAATCAATCAATAATTAAATGTGCATTAAAAATTTATACTCACCATGGTAACATTGTGATGTGTAATTTATCACTTTCCAATTTTGTACTTCAGCAAAATTTTCTGTATTGTTTTTATCCTGATGACATACTGCAGCAATCCCTAAACATGCTAAAGTGTTGTTATTATAATTGTTTTCACATTTTCAAAATTATATGTTGAATCAATTTTCTTAATAAAACTTAGCAATTTTCGCTTAAATTTTAGCCAGTCCTTTGAAATACAGCCTAGAAAAGACAGTTAATTCAGTAAAATGTTGAATACGTGAGAAAAAAAAATTGTGACAATTTGACAATTAGAGAAAAGTCCCATCCAAAAAGATTATTACACAGAAAGTGTATTTTTATGTCTATCTTCATGCTGACATAAAATCTGTTTGGATGATGTGTGTGCTCTTATACTAAAAGACAAAATATTCCTGAAATTAGCCTATTATTTGAAAATCACACATCAGTGATATCACAATCAAATTGCATCATGAGAACCACACTATTTTTTCATTTGCATAAAGAAGGTTAAAAATGTTACCTAAAATATTTTATTTTCGGTCAAATTACAAGGCTAAATAAGTCCCACATTGTACCTTCTAATTTGCTTTAAGGACTTTTCATCCCTGATTTATGTTGATATATACTGCTAGGAAAATTTATCTTGTAGTTACGGTTACAAAGAATTTCTAAATCCACAATGGCAGCAACAGAAAAAATGCCAAAATACACAAAAATACCATATGATTTTTCATTGCACAGTTTAGAATTTTTCTTAGATGTCTTATAAAGTTAATTCATATAATGACTTATTTCAGAATAATGCAAGCATGTTGTGATGTTGCTTTTAATTATGCTCATGTTAGAGAGCAGTTTGGTACAAAGATAGGGGAATTTCAGGTTAGTACTGTATTTAAGGTAATATTTTAGTTACAAGTGTGAGGGATAATGTTTTGCATCATTCTGGACTATTAATCTATGCTACGTATTCAATTATGATTCAAATCAATATAATGTAAGTGTTAGTGTCCGACAAAGTATAAGACCTTTGGGTTATGGTCAAGATGGAGGACAGCAATTAATGCAACTTGTCTTTTACTTTTTAATACTGTCCTTCAAACCATATCTATTTTCATTTGAAGTCTATTTTTTAAGCGTTGCTCATTTATGGATCTTTGCAGCCATGCATCAGTATATTCTCTCTTCAGTTATACTTACATTATAAAAGTCAAATAGTTCCTACAAAGCATATATAATTAATATTTTTCCCTGCAGTTATATAAAACTAGATTCTTTTTATTTGGACATTGACCTACACATGACTTAGTACCCAAAATATTTCACTGGAATTCACAAAATTATGTGTAGACCTGAGTGATGTTGTGCTAGCATGCACACCTCCAGTATGGAAGGTCATGGATTCAAACCACGGCTAGGTCAAACCAAGACTTTAAAATTATTTATTAAAGGTATTTGCTGCTTCTCCAATAAGCACACAGCATTAAGGAAAAAGACCAAAGAATGTTAGGCACAGAGTCAGAATAGTTTGTCCAGGTAGCGTGACATGTCTTCCTGTTGACTGGACACCACAAGGCCATGACTTTTGCTATTCTCTATTTTGTTGAAATTGTCTCATTGCCGTCTAATGATCTTATTTCTTGTAGTTTTGTTATTAGAAAACTTTTTATTAGATATATCAATACTTTATATGATTATTTTTTTCTAACACTTAGATGATCCAAGCAAAGATGGCAGACATGTATACAACACTGAATGCATCAAGGTCATATGTCTATAATGTAGCCAGGGCTTTAGATAGAGGGGAGCGACAACCAAATGTATGTATAAAAAATGGTGCACATAACACATGTTTCTGGAAAAAAGATTTCATCTTGTATGCCCCAGACTTAAAGATTGGAAGCCAAATTGTAATATGTTTGAGAGCATAAAAATTAAATGTGCTTAACAGAAAAAATATTTTATTCAATATTCAAAAGCACTTTGCAGTTCAAAAAGTTCCTGCTTCCTCCACAAATAAAAACTTGCCTGACATGATAATGTTAAGAGTGATGAAAGTGGAGTTAAATACCAACAATCAATCTAATTGGAAACAAAATTTAATAAGAATCTGAAATACCATCCAATTAAGTAAGCTCCAATACATAAATAAAGAGTTGTGCTGTTATTGCCTATGAGACAACTACTGTAAATTCAGAAATTATTGCAAGCATTTATTATTGAGATTTTTGAAGGACGAACAAAAATGCAAGATTTATTATTGCAATTGCAATATGGCATTAATGATTGATGTGATTTAGCTATAAGTTTATTTCATTTAAATTTTTTTCTCTTATTCATCCAGTCTGATATTTACTAAGTTAAACTCATTTTTTACTCAATTATCTTATATATTTTTTCATCGTACAGGACTGTGCAGCTGTAATATTGTATACAGCAGAGGCAGCCACCAAAACAGCACTGGATGCTATACAGATTTTAGGTGAGATAATTTTGATAGAAATAAGTGTTTACAACAAAAACTTCTAACAGGTATTTCTGAAGGTTCATGAACATGTTACTAATGTTTGTCTTTGAATCAGACTTTGATATAAGAAGGGAGTTAAATTAATTAAAATTGAAACCCTAGATTGACATCTGGTACAGATCAATGGTAGTTTGTTATAAAAGTAAATAAAACTAATTCTACAAAGTGCTTATTCAAAACTTAAACCGATGACATTTTTGAAAGAAGTTGGGTTAAATTTGAAGGGATGATTAAAATAAATCTTGTCCTAGTTTGTTATTATGCCCCGCCGGGGCATTAAGTTTCACCCTTGTCCGTCTGTACGTATATACGTCCCAAAATTGGTTTCCGTTCTCTAACTTAAGTTTGCCTCAACCAAATGTTATGAAACTTATACACAATGCTTATTACTACAAAACACATTTTGGTGGCGTCACTTATACCGTTCTAGAGTTATGCCCCTTTACAAATGGAAAAATTGCTGATTTTTCGGTTTCTGTTCTCTAACTTTAGTTTGAACCAACCAAATGTTATGAAACTTATACACAATGCTTAATACCACAAAACACAGGTCAAGTTTGAATTTTGGTGGCGTGACTTCTACCGTTCTAGAGTTATGCCCCTTTACAAATGGAAAAATTGCTGAATTTTTCATTTCCGTTCTCTAACTTTAGTTTGCCTCAACCAAATGTTATGAAACCTAAACACAATGCTTATTACCACAAAACACAGATCAAGTACAAATTTAGGTAGCGTCACTTTTACAGTTCTTAGAGTTATATCCCATTATAATGTTACATGCCAGCGGGGGCATCATCTGTGTCCACATGAGAGCTGAAAATAAGAAGTGGTTTGAGAATCAGTGTTTTTTTAATCAACTTTCTACAGACAATGCCAATTGTTTTCCTTGTTGTATGAATTAGACATAGCCATCAATTAAAATAGATGATTTCACACTACCATACTTTGTTTAATTTCAGGTGGAAATGGTTACATCAATGATTATCCAACAGGGAGATATTTAAGAGATGCCAAGTTATATGAAATAGGAGCTGGTACAAGTGAAGTTAGAAGACTGATTATAGGACGGGCTATTAATGCTCACTACAAATAATCTATAAATAATTCATTGTAAGCGACTGTGATAAGAATTAAATGTAAAGCATTGTAAGGAGTATTAATTGATTGATAAAATAGTTATCTCAGGGAATATAATATACTGGAAACACTTTTGAATAAGTTAAAATTATGTATTTCTTTGATTTTGAATATTTAAAAATGCTGCTATCCTCATCCAAAAGCATTGAACCTTTGTAGTTAGCAAATGGCAGATTTTTTCTTAGCACTTAGTATTTGTATTTGTGAACCAACTAGATCATTTCATTAATAAACCAAACAGTTTTTAAAAAATAGTTAAATGCTTTTGATATAGTAAATAGCAGTCTTTTTTAGGTAGTCAGTTTAATGTCAAACAGAATTTATATATTTCAAAAAAAAAGTATGGTTTAGTTGCTTTATATATATCAAAATTTACCCTCGATCAGTCAATATATTAAAATTACAATTTGAAGAACAAAAACCAATGCTGTACATAAATTTAAAATTTGAAAAAAGTAGCGTTTTTTTGTTTGTTAGTGAGTTGCTGTTTCATTAGCATACACCACATGTGTTTTTATTCATATTGAAACTGTGTAGAACAAGTAGTTGTAAATTGATCAAATCCAAGGAATTGGTTTTATTTAATTTATATTATTTCATATTTATTAAGGAATTTAATACTGATTGCACATGTTTTTGGTACTGTCTTGTTATGTTCACTTATATTATAAAAGTGGTTAATTGTGACATACGGTATAGACAATCTATTATTGTAGACTATTCTGTATTGATTTTATTGTATTGTTGTGTTGCTGTCTTGTTTATGTTTATCTCACATATCTTTTAATTCATATATATCTATAATGAAACTTAAATCTATAATTTTTGTTGTTGTCTCTTGAACATTTATAGTTATAAAAAAGTAATGTACACAGATTTAAAATGATCAGGAACACTCATATTATTTAATCGGAATAATTAAACTAAAAACTTTATCTCTATTATCAAGTATTTTTGTGTTTCTGAAGATGTATGTTCATTGATAAACAGATTAGCTGACTGTTAATGAACAACCATGGGTCAAACATATTCATTTTACTTTAAGTATTTAACTTGTTCTAATATTTGTTTGTACTGAGATTATGTATATAATATTAAGCAGTCAATTTGAGGATAAAAATGGTACCTTTGATGTCAATAAAATCATGTTTATATTTTTTCTGTTCTATTTAGATGTCATTTTAAAATGTCTTTTACTAAAAAACATGTTAGGGTATACCTTTGTCCATCTGCATGTCCATATTGTTTTCACATAGTGTACACAGCCTCAGGTTTATTCCAAATCAACAATTTAAGATATTTATATAATTTCTGGTTGGATATAATCTCTTTTTTGTCTTGCCTGTGACATAGATATGCTAAAATGCCAGCGGTGGCATAAACTCTATTTGTATATAACTTTATATTTCAGAAGGTAGAAATCCTGGATGTTTCATAACGTGTATGTAGATGCCTTATATTAAGAAGTTTCTATCTGTCATAAGTCCATCATCCTTCACCTCATATTCATGGTTAAGCCACTATTTAAAAAACTATATATGGAATCCTTACAAGGTCTACAGATCTGTCTATCAGGGTTCATCTTACCTCAACCTCATTTCATGGATCAGTGGTCAAGAATAATGTTACACGACTAGGTCCATTTCACAGATACAGCAGTTACTAAGGTCAACTGTATTTAGTGTGTGGAATGATTGTAAGGTGTACATGTCAAACTGGCAGAGTTCATCTGACCTTGATCTCATTTTCATTGTTAGTGGACATCTCTGTGATCTATCTTTGGAATCTGACCACAAGCCCAATGTGATATGACAAATCACCATCCACAAGGTTCTAGAACAACAAAAGCCAAACTTAAGAAGAAGGAACCTCTCAGAGTCATACAATACCATGAGGTATATTGTTAGTCAAATAAAACACTGACAATGATTTTCCATCATTTATGAGTAAATGAAAAAAAATTTCAAGACTGGGAAGATTCAAATTAACTGCATGAGCAACCAAATTGTAGACCTAAACGTCTTCCAATCCAGACTCAAAAATATGATCAACAATGCTAAGTGACAAGACAATGCACAAATAAAATCAGCAACTTGTATCAAATATACTAGTTAACAGTCAATTTCATTTTATTTCATTACAATTTTATTTCATCACAATGTGATCAAATGAGAAAACAACATTCAGAAAAAACAAAAGGCCTTGCGAAAAAAAAATTATGAAGAAAACAAGCATACATGCAAACACTTCAATCAACAAAGCAATTTCAACAACACATTATCATCAAGGTCTTTAGACCATCATATCATATCAGGGTTTAACTTTTCTAAAATTTATCACAAGGTCACTGAAACATACACACAGAAAATTAAAACCCAGTAATATTTTCAGTGCAGAGAACTCTAAATATAGTATTAAAAACACGCCATTTTATTTATTTAAGGTACTTGGGTCTGTTGACAATAGCGTCATCATTTTTGTTTTGTCTGCAATGAAAGTTAGATTTATGTTTCAGCATGTAATACATAGGAATGCAAGTCAGACACCAACAGCTTGGGCTTTTTGTCTTAAGGTTTATATCTCTAAACAAGATGTGTTGGAACGACAGGAATGGCCCCGTTCACCCAAAAAGCTTAAAGCCATTTTTAGGAGTGGAAATTTGAGAATGAAAGTCTGTATAACTGTTATTTTCATGAATTTTCAAAGTTCAAAACCCGTTATTTTGGCAAAAATCAGCAGAGCAGAACCAAACGTAAACTCGATCTGTAACTCATCATAGTAGACTCACATACTAAAAATCAGCTCAATATGTGAAGGTGTTTAGAAAAAAGTCTGTATAACTGCTATTTTCATGAAATTTTCAAAGTCCAAAGCCTGTAATTTCGGCAAAAATCAGTGATGTGGAACCAAATGTAAACTCAATCTGTAACTCATCATAGTAGACTCACACACTGTTAATCAGCTTAATATGTGAAGGTGTTTTGAAAAAAAGTCTGTATAACTGGTCTATGTGGAATGACGGAATGAAAGATATGGGTAAAACTATATAGCCCTGACCACTTTGTTGCGGGGCTATAAAAAGGAGATAGAACATGATAATCCATTTCATGTATGTAGATGGTATTTGTCTGTATGACAGGGTTCATCTGACCATGATCACTGATAATGCTAAGCTTTTGTGACACTTATACATTTTCTTTTGCCTCTCTTTAATAGTTAGACTTTGATCTAGAAAACTTTCAACATAAAATTCAAGCATAATCAGTATTTAAGCAGGCACCTATACTGTGAATTCATTTATTGTTGTGGGTACAAATTTTTGTTAGTTCAAGATGATTGAATTTCATGGACACTTGATTCCGTAGTTTTACCAAATTTTGTAAACACTACAGGAAATTTGTATTTTGTAATTTATTTTGTGGTTAAAACTCAGCCCACCAAGTTCCCCAAAAACTATTTCCCCACAAATACTGTAAATTCAGAAATTATTGTGTGCATTTATTATTGCAAATTTTGAAGAATGGACAAAAATGCGAGATTAATTATTTCGATTTCAAGAAAATCTGCATAAAGATTAAAGACATATGTACCAGATATCAGAATGCGATTTCTTATTATTGCGATCCTCACCCAGTCGCATTATTTGCAATAATAAAAACCTCGCAATAATTTCTGAATTTACAGTAATAATGAAACACAATTAGTTTACTTAAATGAAGTTTACAGTATAATCTCCACTTGGACAGATAAAACATTTATTTTAAATATAATAACAAATAACATTGTAAGAATGAAGAATGTAACAAATATTTAGTGTTGGAGGCCTTTGAGGCGACAAAATATACATGTATATATTTGTTTCTTTGAACTTAAAAGAATTTTCTCTTTTCAATTTTATGTCAAATAATTTGACCTTTCTATGCTTTATTGCATAATTGTCCATGTGTCTTTTTAATGCCATCATTGCTATTCTTGTTTTAGTTTCTTTTCTCATCTCCTATAATTCTTCTTTTTCTCTTACCTGTGAAAATAATAGAAACTTTTTCTCAAGGTGCTTATATAAATGTCATATATTTAATACATGTTTTAACCACAAGAGATTATGTTTTTAGTAATTATCCATACTAGTAACAGAGTAATAGAAGACCAGTACCTGTATTGTTATAAATCTCAGTTTATGGCCAAACTCAGTAAAGACCCATCTAAATTACATTTAATTGATAAATTTATAAACACTGTTACCATGATGATATTTTTGCTTTAAACAAGAATTTTCTAATTTTACTAGGGAAATCTACCCAAAGGAACTAACATTAAATAAATTTATGACATAGAGAAGATTTTTTGGATGGTGATGTTCCTTTGGCTTCTTCTTGCGGTGTGTATATTTCACAACTTGTTTGCCTGTGTCTGTAGTCCTGTTTTAGATTTCAATGAATGAAATCTATATATAAATGGTAATACTGAGTCAGGGATTTTCTGACCACAAATTAATTAAAACCAATTTCTTTCAAAGATACAAAGATTTGGTTAGAAAGGTTGGCTATACTTGAATTCTTATTAAAAACAAGATATCACATCCTAATTTTTACGGTGATGTTGTTTATAAAGCCCGTAAATTATCACCTGATTATAGCGAACTATACAGTATGTGGTTTCTCATTGTTGAAGGCTGTACAATTGTCTATAATTGCTTACTACCACTTCATTGTAACTCCACTGAATAGTTGTCTCATTGGCAATTATATCACATCTCCTCATTTTTATATTTACATATATGTCAGTTTTAACATGATCGATATGATTAAAGGAAAATTTATAAACAGTATATAGAATTTTCCATAATTCAGAACCATTCTAAAACAATGCATGTCTTTGGTACAAGTTTGCATAAAACAGATCTTTTATCAATATCAATAAAAAGTTTCTACCTGTCAAAAGAAATTCAAACTTCTTTTTGTCGTCATTTCAGCTAAGTTCTCACATCATGTAGAATCCTTAGTCTGTGCTCTGAACATCACATTAACAGTCCCTGCTTTTTTTCAGAGTCCTGGTCACATATTCTGAACTGTATAAGAAGAATTCATTAACCAGTATATATTACTGATTTATGGGTAATCTAATACAAGACATCTTTTGGTTGTTTATTTCATTTTTAACCCACATATTACCATTTCCTCTTTACAATAAAGCAGTTGTTTTCTCCTTAGTAATGTAAATGTATTACAGCAGTACAATGGACCAATTAAAAAATGGTAATGAATTGTTAGAAAATCTTATTTTGAATGTTACTGATTGGCTCAGACATCAGATATTAGGACACTAAAACTGTGCAACGTAATTCATGAAAATGGAGCAGCATTTCTGAAACGGTCCATTGTAGTATTATAAATCTAGCTGTCAGAAGAAATTTTCTTTTTCATAATGTACATGTGAATAGTATGATTCCCAGGTAATGTAGATTCTGCCAGGGTTGGTGAATCTGCTTCAAATGTTTCTAAACCAATCTCTGTGCACTCTAATCCCCATTTTAACAGTAGGTACTCAATACTTCTAGACGAACTGCAATGATAAATTAACATGAACGTCATAGACTAATTGACTTTAAACATAACTGAATTATTTAAATATGGTTGAATTGGCTCTCGCCGCGATATAGCCTTTTTGCCCTAAGGTGGCGTAAAGCAAACATCAATCAATCAATCAATTTAAATATGGATATATAAAAAGAAGAAGTCATATGGTATGATTGCCAATGAGACAATTCCAAGAGAACAAAGGCCTAGGATGTAAACAACTACAGGTCTTTGTACAGTCTTCAACAATGAGCAAAAGCTATCCCTGATAGTAACAGTAAAAGGCTAAGAGGAAAAAATATTCTTAATTCAAAAGAAAAAACCATAGCCTCATTTAAGCTAATAACATTAAGGATAAAAAACAGTTATGGCAGACAGCAAACATCATAAACCACCTCCTGTCTTCAGACAATTGTATATCAAACAAGAAAGAATAATGTTGTCAACAGACCATGAATTCCCTCTATTAAAAACAATTGAGACATTCTTATATGTTTTGGACTACTTCTTACTCTTAATTTCACTACTACAGTATGTTGTTCAATATAAGAAATAAATGTAATGTCCCATTCGAAAGCTTATCCAGCTCCACATGTCTCACCTGTTGTGTTGCTTATGTAAGTACAAATTTGGTGATAAGTCTCCTTTGGTGATGTCACATTCAAGAAAAAGTGGACAGGATAATATTTTACTGCAATTGGTACATATCCCTGGTCATCTGTGAAACAGATATTCCATAACAGGTTAACCAACTTGTAAGGACGTCCATTACATTTTCAAAGGGATGACTTTAACCTTATCACTTTAAACCCTTTGTTTAATCACTTCCTTGTCTGCAGTAACCCTCTATCAATGAAATCATGATAGAAAAATATATTGATTTTATTACAGAGGGTACTGTATAAATCAATTTTTGAAGACACTTCTGTTGATATAGCTACATGTTTGTATCTTTTACCTTAATGCTGTTTATCTTTCGCAGCTTTTAGTGCTTCTCCCAAAAGATTTTATAGATTAGCCCCTTTTTAATATATTGATCATTCATCTTGTTCTCTTAGAGCTTGCCATGTGGTGGTGTGATTGTCCATCATTGGATACCATAAATGGTTACATCTAAATGTCCATTATAGATAACTGGTGTTGCTGAGTTGCTGTGTATTTGACATTTACCCATCATCTGATTTTGTTATTTTGCTTGTTCTTTTTAACAGATAGAAACACTGCTTACCTTCTTTCTTGATAAGTACACCAAAACTCTGTACTTGGCCTTTTTTCCATTATAAATGCTACAGTAACTATGATGTCTTCAAAGTCTGGGAAGAATAAAGCAAATATATGTTTACTGTAAATTCAGAAATTATTGCAAGGTTATTATTATTGCGGAAAATGCGAAAGGGTTATAATCGCAATAATTTAAACTCGCATTTTGAAATTTTTATATGAATTAAACAGGATTATTCTCAATATCGCAAAATTTAAAATCGCATTTTAGTCTAAAATGACAAAATCGCAATAATAAATACACACAATAGTTTTTGAATTTACAGTTTTACAAATGTCATAATATAAAAATTCAACACTTTTCAAAGTTTGATACACATAAATTTAATCTGTCAGAATTATAACCCAAAACAGAATAGATATGTGTTCTATTGTAGCTGAAAACATGAACTTTTTTAAGTCCTCTGTTTTCCTTATATGACTTGAAATAAATACATGTCAGTCATATTTCACATCAGTTTGTAATAATGTTGTTATCCAGTTTCATCATCACCAAAATAACAATTTGAAATCTGCTGTATTCATTAAATAATTGGCCTTAAATAATTTATAAATTCATAAATATTTTTTAATTTAGATTATATATTTTTTTTCATTTAGAAAGAATGTTTCAATTTCTACCTCTATTACTAACCTTTAGTTTCAAAGAAACAGTCTGACCCTAAGATAATATCAACAGGTTGAAGATTTAGTAATTCTGGTGTGAACTGTCCCCATTTTATACCAATCACTGTTATATTGGACAGATTGTTTGAGTCACATGTTGCAGCACAATTCTCAAGGCATTGTGGGTAATCAGAACTATCACTGAGAATGACTGTGGCTCCACATTTAGCTGCTACTATCCCAGGAAGAGAAGTTCCTGCACCAATCTGTAATCCATAAAAAAAACTAAATGTGCAACTTAATATTATAGTTTGAATTCTTTACAGCACTATATATGACTATAATTATAATAAAGAGCAAATTGAATTGAATATTTCAATTTTGTTATCTTGATTTAAGGATAAAAATTGTTTTTTTTTCACCCATAAGTTATAAAAATAATAGTTAAAGTATGCATTTTATTGTATTCTATAGACATTGTACAAAGAAATATGTTTTTTCAGAAGAATTATGTCACTTAAATAGCCATCCATATATCAATAATGCAATTTATGCAAAATGTGATTCACCTGAAAAATAAAAAGATACATTCAAATCTCTTACTAATAGGTGGACATCATAAAATGGTGTTTGTTTTTATTTTCCCCCAAACTGCCTGCTGATAATGACAGAAATACAATGGAATGTCCTGCAGATAATGTAGTTATCTCCCTTTTCAGATTATTCATAGTGGCTATATTAATTTATATCACCTATGATCATGATGATAATGGCTAAAAGTATAAATCATGGATTATTTAAGTTTTGAAAATAACTTTCATTCTGAACAAAATATCAGAAATAAATATGTTTATGCTTTCCAACCATAAACCATCTTTTGCATGATTTTTAGGAGGAGTGGCACTTAAAAAAAATGTATCATCAATTACATTTTTTAAATTTCAGATATAATAGCTTTCTGAAAATGACAATTTTATCTTAGCCTAAAGGATTTGATTATGATGGAAGGGATATTTTTTGTCCTTTCTTGCAAAAATAGGCCCTTTCAGGAATATTTTTTGTTTTTAAAAATGGAGTACAAGCATGAACAGATAAATATATGATATACTTCCTGAGAATATTATTTTGGTGAGGAGGAATTTGCTCCATTTTACTTCTAAGCATGTCATGTGCAAATCAAAAGAGTTTGTTCTAAACCAAAAATTTTAGGACTGCAATGTGTACAGATTCAACATTTGATACTGCAGCTAGAAATACATTTGATTGTAGGGTCAATTTGACTATAAATTATATCTTCTCATATTGTTTTAAAAACATGTCTATTTAATTATTCTATACAAATATTTACAACATTTTTTTTCAAGTAGGGCATGTATTCTGCTTATCAGCAAATGGTAGCATTCACTACATATTTTTGAAATGTCATATAGGGTAGTTGCAATTGTGATAACACAGAATTTTTTTTCTTCATAAAAAAACTCTAAAACATAAAAGAAGAATACAACTAATATATTTACCTCAAGTACAGTTTTGCCTTTGAGTTGTGATCTTTGGTACCAGATATACTGTGCTAATACTGGAGAACATGGCCACACATACATGCCATAGTTACCATCAAGAACCTAAAATAAAAATTATGTGCTATATTTCTATTGAAATGTGACTGTCTCCCACATATATGAGGGTCTGTCTGTGGGGTAGGTAGCCAAAAATGAAATGTACACATGGTACACACAAATTTTAAAGAGACTTGAAGGGACCCTGCAGAGTTGATTTTACAGCAGAGGGGTTCTGGGGGCTACATAATGCCCCAAGACAGTCGGCAATCATTGGTTCAAATCCTGCATTCTAATCATTTCCCTGCACTTATTTTCATAAGCATCATATTGACCATGTTGTCTCCCAAAACACAAAGATTTAAACTAAGAATACAAACAAATGTACTTTATCAATAATTAGTGTAGGATCAGTGTTGGATGCAGAACATAACTACAAAACTTTAACCAAAGAGCACCCAAACTACCAATGTTAGTTTAGCAAGGGATGTTAACTTTTTTGTTATCCTTGTCTCAGATTTCATCGGACACGACAGGACTTCAATCAATTCGAACTCTGATGAAGGAAGAATTTGACAAGTAAGAAACCAATTTCCCTTGAATTTATACCAAGTAAGTCTAAGCTGAATCATTACATGTGATAATTCAAAGAAAAGAAGTTTTTGCTTACCGGTAACCAATTATAAATTTCTTAATTACAAACCAATTGGTATTACAGTTTTTTTTGTTTATCTTATACTTTCAGGTTTTTTGAGCTAGCAAATTTGTTTAAAAAGATGTCCTTGCCACGTTTCCTTTGAACAAATTATTCAACCCCTTTGAGAAATTAGAATATTTTTGTGATAGAAATTGTACAGAGGGCAGTTAATCTTTAGATGAAAATCAAAATTACAGATGCATATCTTCAAACCACATGAACCACTCTTCACCTAGTTGTAGTTAGTAGGTAAGTTATTTTAAGAAGGTAGCACATTCAGCAACAATAAAGCAAATCTTCCCTAAAGTCCTCAAACAACAATTTTAAAATAAAGAAATCATTCAATTTGGGCAAGAAATATCTTCAGTAGAATTCCAGACGTCTTTTCAAAAATTTAAGAAAAGCTTGCACAGATATTAACAGACTGTCTAATTGTGTGATCTTTACATAATTAATGTAATACTTTGCCTGTAGAATACAATAATTTTAAACTAAGTTCTCAGATTTCAATACACCAAAAATGACACTGTCTTTATACAAAAATATTCTTACTCCAAAAACTAAATACCACCAATTAGAAAATTCTCTCCAAAATTGTTTTATTTCTGTACATTCAAAAAATTTATGCTCTATAGTTTCTATTTCTTTACAACTGGCACTTTTTCAGTAGAATTTTTATTGAAAAGTGTTTTTTTATGAAATAATAGAGGAAATTCCAATAGATGAAACACTTAAGACCTAATGCTGTAGATGGTAAAGAATTCCATAATATGGTGGCTGTGCCATGGAAAGTTTTCATTATGAAAGCTGAATGGCCTGTCTCAAAACAAATGCATTTCCATTATTTTTTTTAACTTCTTTGAACTAAGGACAGACAGGGGTACTACTTGTACAAGTAATCTTTATTTACTTGAAGAAGTAAATAAAATATACTTATATAAGTTAATTATAATTTTTGAATAATCTCCCCTTAATTTTCTCAAAAATTTACTTGTATAAGTAAATTTTTTTTACAATCCCAAAAAAAATCTCAAGTTTTGAGATGTAAAATCATGCCTTTAACAATTTTTCTCAGGTTAGCTTATAATTTTTTATAAGAGTTCAATGTTTCATCTCATTAATTCAACAAAGAAACTGATTGTGCAAAGATCTTAAGTATTTGCGCAAGGCCTTCAAAAATTGCTCCTTGGGGCCTTGTAAATGAGCAGTGTTCTGAAGATAACAGACAAATGAGATTTTCATTGTCCATGAAATTACACTTACATGACTTAAATGATTAGTAAAGACATCTGCAAAGGACAGACAATTCAAAATTCTGTTAGAGCAAAGAAGTTCTAAGAATTCAAGAAAAGAAGATAGGATAACTTTTTTACTTGTATTTATTAAAAAAATCTGAATGTCTAAGGGACATTATTAGGCCAAAAATAATTTACCTATACAAGTAAATAAAATACACTTGTATAAGTATCCTACAAATTTACTTATATAAGTATATTAATATTTACTTCTTCAAGTAAATAAAAATTACTTGTACAAGTAGTACCCCTGACTGAAGGATGCATCGAGTGAACCAACACCTTCTAACTGTTCAAGCTGGTGAGTAATAAGGATGGATACCTGGAAGTATGCTGCGGTTGTCTTAAAACCTCGGGAAAATAATGATACACAAAGACAACAACAGTCAAGTCATCCTAGATTACTGCAAGGAAATTCTTTATTTAAGTGTCGAAACATGAAGACCAGAATAAAGGATTTCCTTGCAGTAATCTAGGATGTTGTTGTCTATGTGTATGTGTTGTTCACTCGATGCATCTTTAATTTTTTTCTGTGAACCCCTGCATCTAAACAATCCACCTTTGCCAACCAGCATTGTATTTGACAACTACACCGCATTGACAAAATAACGACCCCTTCCGAGATTGCCGAATTATTCTAGAAAGTCAACAATGAACTACTACCACTCAAAATCCAAAGAAGGCCACCGCAAATGTAATGAACTGCAGAACCGCACAATTTTATTATTTAAATGAACTTGAAACATGGATAGTGTACCACAACCGCCAAATGTAACAAATTCACCGCAACTTCCACCATGCATTACATGTGCGACTACCATACATCTTACAATATTCCCGACGCAATTGGAAGTAGTACCTCTTTCCGAGTGAAGCCTTTTGGAATGGTACGGAATGTCCTGTGAGGTGTTGTCCATTTTGGAAAAGATACTGACAATCCATTTTTAACTTTTACTTTCACTTTCATTTTAACGTCGTCAAACCTATTATTGTGACGTAACGTCTTGTTAACCTTTGAAACCCCATATGCACCGCATTTTATGTACTTCAGTATTGTTTCCTATCATTAAATTGTCATGAAGACGCCACCATTAATGACGAAACATGTAGACCAGAATAAAGAATTTCCTTGCAGTAATCTAGGATGTTGTTGTCTTTGTGTATCATTCTTTGAACTATTAGCTTCAACACTACAGTATTGTTTTTTTTATAAGACTAAATAAATATAAAATATTCATGTATGAATATGTTTCTTGTTTCAATTACCAATTAAAGTGTATCAGTGATGCTAAAGTAAAGACTTTACTAAAGTATAATACATTAGTCATGATTAGAGAAAAAAGGGGTGCAAAAATATAAAGAATTGTTATATAGAAAAATGGACTATAAATCAAAGAATAACAGAACAAAGAAATGAAACCTCGGGAATACAAACTGTACAGTTTTCTGAATTACTACCGAACTTGAAGAATTTCTCAATTTTCTGCCTCTTGGAACATGACATGCTGACGTTCTAGATAATGACATTTATATAAGCCAATGAAATAGTGTCTTTTAAATCTGTACCAGGTCAAATTATAGGTCGTCAAGGAAATGTTGAATATTACTAAATAAAATGCTGAAAGGTAAACTATGAGACTATAAAATAGATCTACAAATTTAACTACAACAAGCTCCCCCCATCCCCCCCACCAAAAAGTTAACAATTTGTCAAAACATACAAACAAAAATTTGTGGAATTAAAATTGCAAAGCTAACAAATTCTGAGTAACAAGGCAAATATAAATCACATTTACTAAAAATTTTAATAGGAAAAGGATCCAACAGAAACATTTCTACTACTTTTCCGTCTAGTTCTTTTATATGAATGGCTTGCGCTGGTTGACTTGATGTCCAGCGGCGTAAATGGTATCATTTAACAATCAGCTCTTACTGTGCATTAGCATTGTGACGAGAGAAATGTATGGGAAAATGCATGAATGTATATTAAGTTGTCAAATAACAAAATATCGTTTCCCACGATAATTGAATGCAAAACAAATATCATCCCTCTCAAAGGTTGTACAATAAACTTTCGTCCAGTGTCATATTAATTTAGAGCAAGACTAATGCTTACATAATATGAAACATCTGAATAAAAACGTAACGTATATAGTCAACATTATTAAGGTTGATCAGGTGTATACTGCCAGTGTATATCATGAATTATATGCAAATTTTGAAATAGGAGTGCTATAGACCACTTTCTAGATATGCCTTCACCAGAAAAAAATCGTCAATTATGCATGCCTTTATGACGTCATTTACCAGATAGAGAGGATTGCCTGTATCCCTGCACTATTAACGTTCATCAAGCGTCTTAGTGATCGTCATTGTGCTGGTTAAACTAGAAATAATGTTTGTTCCGTAGGTACTTAAACACAATTCCCTAATGACAGCAGTGCTGATTGTCAATTATAAGAATTTAATTTGCCAAATAATTCGTGCAATATAGCATCTTATTTTTGCAACCGCTGGCTCAACATGGGAAAGGAAGTGACGATGCCCCTAAATGATGTTCACTAAAACCAAAGTTTTTGACGGAAATGCAACGAACTCGTTTATTCAATTGTAACAGTTTTTACTAATACTGAATATTTTTTTATTTGATTCAATTTATTTTAACATAGTAATATAAGGGGAGATAACTCAAGATATTTGAAATTGATTAAGGAATGTTCAGTAAATTTACCTATTTCATTTTTGTAGTCTTGTGACCACAATTTTTTCATTCATTTTCTAAAATCATATTATATTAAGTGGTATCTTTATTGTGTTTAACATATAATTGGGGTTAAAGATATGGAGCATAAATCCTGGTTTGCAATACACTGTTGAAGTTATTGTGTAGTGGATTTATTTGATAAGCTTAAAAACATTTGAAACACGTTGCCATAGTTTAGATATATATTCCTATCATATTATAAAAGAATAGAGTTGTCTTCCAATGCATAACTCCAGAACACAGTTTGTCAAACTATTATATGATGCTTTAACACTTTTCACACATATATAAATCATTTTGTTATAATCATTATAATCATACACGTATATTACTATGTTTGTTATAATTTTATTTTTTTTCATCTCATATAATGCTCACAATGATAATTGCATGGTTTGAATTGTTCTGTCTTGTCTTGTAACATCCTGTTCATGCATGCACTATTTCCCACTGGACGCTAAGCATTCAAAGTTGGTCAGAAAGGAAGTTCCAATATTAGATACTGTGTGGCTGATTATCTAATTTATATGGTTCATATTTGAGAATTAAAAAATTGATGTAAGTTTTAAGGACATCTTATATTATATTTTCTGTGACAACTTAACTTATGTCATGTGATGACATGAATCTTTATGTAAATACATGGAGATGTTGAATAAACATCAATTAAACATCAACCTCACAACAAAAACATCCAACAATGTCTTTTTTTAGAACAAAGTATTATCGCAGCTCTAATATAAACTTCCTTGTAACATGACCCCAGTCCCAACCTAAATCCACCTATGAGCACCTACACCTTATGATCTGTTCTGAAAGGTCATTAGTCTGGTTGTGAATAAATTCATTAGATATGTTCTAAGATATGACACAAATACTAAACTCTAAACAGAAAAAAACATGGTGAAGAAATAGCCACAACCACTGACAGGATTCCTGATTTTGGACAGGTCCATTAGCATGTGGCAAGGTTAAGCTAGAACTGTTAGTTATCAACCTGATTTTATTTTGATAAGGAACAAAGGGAAATGTGCTATAGATGCAAATCAGTTAAGTTAAAGCAAATCAATTAATTAAATTGTTTTTTAGAGTTTTTAGGGAATGTTTGTTTGATTTATTGCCCTGTTGATATACACATTTTACATTCCATATAACTACTATGTTTTTCCTTTTTTGTAGGAATAAGAAGGTTATCACAGAATTACAAATTGAATTTGTGTCATATGTCACAAATGGCTGAATCTGCTGTGCAGGTAACTTTTTGTTTTTTTATTATAAGAACATACAAATTCCTTAATATGGTTTAAGTGCTAGCTTTTGGAGAAGCTTGTCTTAACTCATGAATCATTTTCTTTTGTTATCATTTCTTGACATTTATACTGAAACACATTCTGATTTTATTGATCAACTTTTAGTTACAAATTAAAAAAAAACGTTGACATGTTGTAAGACAAATGGTTTTGGATAGTCAAAGGGGAAGCTTTATGCAGTTACCTATACCAAGCAGGGTATTTGGACAATGTGTAAGGTGGTAACTTTGTTGTATGCTTTGTTTGTAAATGTGTAATTCTGAGGAGTTAGTTGTTGATGGTTGATGTGGTTTCTTGTTCTATGCTCTATTTTTTGGGTACTTCTATCTTTCTAGATATTATGGAATGTTTTTAAAGGTTGCCCTGTTTCAGAATTTTATGCTTTCAAATAATATTTAGTCAAAAATTCACACCTTAATGTTGTTATTGGTTAACAATGTACTAAACATTAGAAATCCAATTTCCAATTGATTGCTAAGCATTATTTTCATTTTGATGTACTAATGATAAATTTACAAACTATACTTTGGATTCTAAATCAGCAAACTACATACAATTTTACATGCTTCATTCTGTTCTAGAAATGAGTTGTTCCTTTTGCAATTATTATTGTAAACATTCCACTCTAATTATTCATGACATTTTATCTTAGTAATTGTTTTAATGGAACAGTTCAAAATTCCCTTTTTTTGCATGGCTGTTTGAATTCAGTCTCTTATTGCTTGACTCTATGTAAGCCGGCATTGAATACACAGGCACTTGTCTCAGAAAAAAAATTCCTATATACCTGTTATATTAAGGTATATAGGATTTTTTTTTTCTGAGACAAGTGCCCAGGCTGTGATTGAATATCATGAAATAATTAATAATTGTGAAGTCATATTAAAATAAAAGGAGTTCATGTAATTGCCATTGATACAGCAACCCACCTAAGCTCTCCAGGAAACTGATAACAAGAAACTTATAGATCATAGAGACTCATGATGAAAATTATAAGATGATCAACAGCTAAAATATATCATTTCAATTTTCTGATAAAAAAAAGAAACACAAATTATATTAATAATCATGATAATGTATGTTTGTGTACAATTGGAGTGTACTGTTTCTTAGGGTGCTATAAACAGTTTCGTATAAAAATTATTAAAAGTACAGTATATTTTTATTTCAATATAAACTAGAGAAAATTCTGATTCCAGTAATATCTAGTTTTATACAAGTATCTTTATTAACCATTCCACCACTAAGGGTCACTTAGGCATGGTCCCTTAAAATATGACGTCATAGAAAAAAACTGTTGATTGCACCCTTAAACACCACAAATTTTAAACCAATAAGATTCACATATTCCAAACTACAGCATGTGATCTGTATTAACTAAAATAATCTTATTTTTTCATTTATTTATTTGAAGAAACCAGTGGAAAGTTCAATTACAAAGAAATTAACAGAAGGACTTAGACCACAGCATTTAGAAGTTATAAATGAAAGTTATATGCACAATGTACCTAAAGGTAATAGGTCAAATTACAAGTAAGATAAAACATTTTAGTTTTTATACAAAACCAACATAACTGTAGCATTAGACTCTTGTCATGGAATGTTTTGAGAATTTCATTCTGGAATTTGGACATAATGGTATATGAGTATTGAAATTGGATTTAGCTTGTTTCACTGTTGAAAGCAATCATATATTATATCTAAAAGCTTTCATTTTGCATCCTCTTAGAGCCTTTGTTTCATACTGAAGAAAATAGGCAGTTAAAAATATGCATAAAACAAAGTACAACAGGAACAATCAGTTATACAGGTACTGAACAATACAACAGCCACCAGCACAAACTCCTAGAAAAATAGCTCAAACCTCCCCTTTTTACCTATTTAGACCGTATTTCATAGAATTGAAACACACAATTAAAACCAGAACACAGTGCTGCCACCAACAGAATAACAACTCAATTGAAAAAAAAAATACATCACATGATAATACTGCCACATTAGAAATCCAAAACATCAGAAACAACTGTGAACATGTTTTTATTTTTAGTGATGGAAAAGAAATTATTTTAAGTTGTTTATATTGAAATTTGCAAATCCTTGATTTTTTTGTGCATTTTTTTTTATATTTTAACCTAAAACTTAAATTGGTACTGTTAATGTTATTTATGCAACTTCAGGAAATACTACACACAAATAATGCAACTTTAACATAAAATACCAGAACTAATCAATGTGATAGTATTCCTGTTACATTATTCACAAAGAAAAACAACATCAGAAAATGTCTGAATTTATAATTGCAGTATCCATTCTGAAAAATTTATACAATTATTAGATACATTATTATTTAATCTTAACATGCTGTGAGTTTTGTCAGTGTATCTCTTTAAATTAATTTTTATCTGTACAAGTTCTGAAAGTCCATTGATATTTTAGATTTTGAGAGTCATTTTAACCTTAATGTTTCGTCTTTATATGTGTTGACAGGCTTTGTAGGTCTTGATTTTTTTTATATATTTGTACAGTGTGTTATGAAATGTCATTTTTACAATTATAGGATCTGAAAGTCATTTTAAAGTTGTGGTAATATCAGATATGTTTGAAGGTCAGCCACTAATTAAGGTTTGTGTTCAATTTTCTGTTAATTGTAAGGCTTATTAGCCCAGAAATAAAATACAAATGAAAACTATCTTCTGAATTTGTTTTGTAATTTGCAAAGTGTAACAAAAACACAAGTACAGAAAACCTATGAATGTGTAAATTTTTTCTCAAATGGTGAAAAATTTTGATTAAGGAAAATGTACATTACTGTAGTTCACTGAAAATATGTTGTGACATTTTTTTAAGTTAACTATCTAACATTTATTTTTGCAAGTTAAGTTTGAAAGCAACACAATAATAAAAAGAGGAGGAAAATTTCATGCAAATATCTCATATTTGTGGAGTTAACAACTGCTGCAGACTGAACTAGAAATATCAAAATAACTTGTACTATCTTCCAATTACATATTGAAATTACGTAAATGATATTATGAACATCAGTTAAAAAGAAAGCAAAGTATTTGATATGTTAAAAAAAAATGGAATATAGAGGAGAGATTTATAAATGTTCACTGGTATAGTTTGTAAAAATAATTTACTCATTGTCCACATTTTCTAAAAAAAAAAATATTTCATTTATTTTGTACCCCACACAAGGAAGTTGACAAGTGTAAAATTGTCGGGGCTAACTCAACTATCGTTATACAGAAAGAACACAACCATACAGTTTAACGTTTACTTCATATCTATTTCCGAGCTGCAAAGGCTACGTCCCGCATTGACGTCAAACTCCCGCGGTATTCTCAACATTCTTCGGGCCGCTAAAAGTAAATATTAAAATTAAATTACAATAAAGTAAAAATGAATGCAAATTACTGTCTATCAAATTTAAAACTTTAACTGAATAACTTTAGCACAGTCATAACTTCCAGATTAGTTATCTTCTAGTTTAATCACAATGAGTCTATCTCGTATACACAAATCACAGTATGTATATTTTCCGTGCACCTGTTCCTTCTTTCAATGAAATAGTATCATATTATAGGTTTTTGAAAGTAAGTCAATAAATCAAACATTTTCGTAACAGTCCATAATAAGTCACAACAGTTCATTAGATATGTATCATTCAGTCCATCTTTTAATATTTTCCCTGTTGGTTCTGCTTCCTCATCTCTCTCGATAAATCCGCGACGTGTCTGTTCCTTTATAATTTCTTTTAAGCCAAATTCCTCTGATTTATTCGAAACCAGTACGTTCAAGAAGCTGGATGTTGTAGACGAACGTAGCCTTCCTGGTTGTAAGGGTTCTGATAGCAAGTATTCAAGCTTTGACTTAACCTGCGATCGGTCCGTCTCCTCTTATTACTTCGTCTTCGATAAAGTTCCAATAGTAGTCGGCACCAATAAGTAACGATATCTCAAACTTAGAAGTGTACAACTTCAGCTCCTTCAGTTTTCAAATTCAATTTCTTCGCTAGATCATCTGTTAAAAAAGATCTTTGTGCACCCTCATCAAATAAAACATTCGTATCCATACATATATTACCTGACCATACAGGAGCTACAGCCGTTTTCAGTAGCACATTTGTACGTATCTGTGTCGATGAATGTGAAACTTTAGTATCTTCCTCGTTTTCAGTGTCATTTATAAGATTGACGGGTGTAGATTGAATCTGTTTATATGTATTGCTTGTAAGGGAGCTACCATTTGATTTTTATGGGGGGGGGGGGGGGGGGGGCTAGGATGAAATTTGAAAAAAATAGGCTGGACAGGAGTTTTGAGTAAAAAAAAAAGGCAGGATGAGACACTTTGCAAAAAAAAAAAAGGCAGGATGACAATTTAGGTAAAAAAAAGTCAGGATAAACTAATAAAAAAAAAGGCAGGACCGAATAGAGTGAAAAATAAAAAGGCAGGATAGAGATTACAACTAAAAAAAAATGCAGGACAAAATTTTTCATCCTAGCCCCCCCATAAAAATCAAATGGTAGCTCCATAATGAATGCTAAACCTTCGCTGTTAGCATTGCTACTTGCACTACATAGGCTGGAATGATGTCTCTGGTTGCAGTGTCGACACGTTCGTTTTGATTGACACTCATTAGCATGATGATTACCTAAACAACTAAAGCATAAATTATCACGTTATTCGATAGACATGCGAGCTTTATGATTACTAACATTGGTACAGTGTGCTGGTGCATGTATCTCTTTACAAAAAACACATGGGCTTTCCGTAATATTCCGGGGTTGGCTCTTCGCGTTGTGTGATGTGTTTTCTCACGATGATTCTGTTCCTGTGTGAAATGTACATGTAGATGCAGTTGCGAAATGAACGGTCTAAAGACTCGAGATATGTACCTGTATTTTGTCCTGCCTCCATGATTTGAATTTCATTCAATATGCTCCTTCTCAGATCTTTCAAATTCCAACTGGACGGTCCGTGTTCTCTGATTAAGTGTTGTCTGATTTCACTGGGTAACTTTCTCATGATAATCGGTACCAGTAAAGTTCCATATGACGTCTCAGGTTGTCAGAGCGAATCTAAACCTCTTACGTAGGCTTCACATCGGTCATAAAATAATCTTAAGCTTGACAAGGTGTACCGTGGTTGGGCAATATCTAAAAGAGCTTGTAAGTAGGCTTCCGTAATTCTGTGTGTTTGTCCGAACCGTTCCTTGAGTACATTTATAGCCTCCATGTAATTACCATTTGTAAGCGCAAATCCAGTTATCGTATTCAATGCCTCGCTTTCAAGTTGCGATTTCAGATAATTAAATTTCTCAATGTTTGTCAAAGTAGGATTGAAATGTACAGCAGATTCGTACGAGTCCCAAAACGTTTGCCAATCTAAATGTTGCCATTAAACTTCGGTAGTAATAACTTGGGTAAACGATGGTTACTAGTACTAGCTATATTTTGTGGAGCAATATGACCTGTATCAGAGCCATTGTAGCTTGTCTGTGGTTGAGCGGCGGATGAAGCATAGAATGGTGTTGCGTTTTGAAAGTTATCAATATTTGCCGGGTGGAAAGGAGGGCTTTCTACATTGAGTACTTGATATGAAGAGTGTGTTACATTGGAACTTGGTGTACAGTTTTGACCAATTTGTATGAAATTACGAAAATGTCTAAGTTTAGTGTCTAAATTATTTGAATACTCATCTGTATCTACTATTTCACTTTCAACGTTGTCTGAATCCGTTGCTTCCAATTAATATTGTTCGTTCAGTTTTTCCAACAATTTCTTCTTTTGCGTAAGATTATTGTATGTTGCAAGTAGTTCATCTCTGTCGAAGTCCGTGTTTTCCTTCGCCTCCTCTAATTCTCGGTAAAGTCTCGTCACTGCACTTCTATTTCCAGTTCTTATATTCTTTAACTTCTCCATCTTCGATGTAATCCTTTGGTTACGGCACCATAAATGTCGGGGCTAACTCAACTATCGTTATACAGAAAGAACACAACCATACAGTTTAACGTTTACTTCATATCTATATCCGAGCTGCTAAGGCTACGTCCCGCATTGACGTCAACCCTAGATACAATTGGTAAAACGCGACATCTTAACTCCCGCGGTATTCTCAACAAAAAGTTTTCCATCTTTCCAACTGTCAGTCCATCCTTCTGACCATCATCACTTTGTTTTTAAGATGCTCTGAAAAATTGAATGATGGCTTCTATGCATCAAAAACTGAGAGGAGTTTGTTTATCAGAAACAGATCTTAAACGGGGACCATTTTTCAGGAAGTGGACTTGTATAAAAGTATCCCTCATTAATTTTTGCATGGATTGTGCCTCTATTTTATAAGATCCACCTCAAATTTGTATTAAGGTTTCAACTCATCAGAATCTTTGATAATCTGAAAATTTGAAATGTAAACCATTTTTTTTGAGATGGGGAATTGAACACACATCCCACATAAATTCTTATCTATGGGATAGCACCTTTATTTTATGTTGGATCCACTTCAAATTAAAGTTCCATTCATTAAAACCACAGATGATTTTTACAACAAAGAAAATCTGAAATGAGGAACCATATTTTGTGGAGGGGTTGCAATTTCCCATATTAAATCTTGTTGCTGGGATAGCACCTTCATTTCTTCACAAATCTTCTTTAATTTTGTAAGCTGGTTTTCATTCATCAAAACCTAGGATGAGTTTATTAATCAGAAAAATCTTAAATGGGGGATCATTTTATTGAGACAAGGACCTCTAAAATATCCCATATTATTTACATTGTATGTTGGTCATGGGATACATGGACTTGCTCACTAAATCTTTCATTTTATAAACTGTGATAATCAGATTATTGCTATTTTATTAAAGCTTTCTTTGATCTCTTTATGTGACTATTTTCCATTTTGAGCTGGGTTTTTCTCAGTCAAGCAGAAAGAGAATACATGATGTTATAAACCTACATCATTTACCTTGCCTAGGAAAATAGCTGTAAACAGATTATCAATGATCTTTCAAACTCAAGGATGTTTTTCAGCTACATCACATTTGCGGGCTATCACCTTTTTGAAATTGTAGCTATGATGAACAAAATATATCTTTATAATTGAATCTTATTTTGTAGAGACATAGAATGATCAATGAAAACTTAGCAGACGAACTGCAAGGATCTGTGCATGCACTTTCCATAACTGTGAGTGTAATATTTAATTAACAAGGAAAATTAGTATAAATACACTGAATTTTGACATACAATGTATCTTCGTACTTGCATTGTATAATAATAGGAAAACTTATCTTATAAATATGCTAATTTATTGATGACTTGTGACATGAGTCATTCTTTGTTCAATTTGTATCTGTTAATATTAACAAATGAGGTGAAGGGTTTACCACTTGCTGCTAATGACATCTTGTTCTCTAGTTGTTTAGAATGATGTAGGAAGGGAATTGATCATAGCAGGGCGCTCATGCAATAATAATAACCATGATAATTATTTTTAGTGGTCTATGTATTAGTAGCCACCTAAATTTGAAGAAAAACCCTGTTGATTGGTCAGAGGAGAAGGTATGAAAAGAACCAAAATTTATTCCTTTTACAGTTTTTTTTAATCTGCTTTCCTAAGTGCTCATTCTTGACCAAACCTAAAACTTGTCAAAGGTTGTTACTGTCTGTAAATTTTATGTTTAGTTAGTACACAGTAATGTTGTCAGATATTTGGTAATTTCTGCTCAGTTTATCCATAAGTTGTCAAGAGTCAGCGCTTGTGATTATGTTTTAGTGTTAATGGTTGAGGAGACATATGATGACCTGAAGATGTCTGTTTGTTTTTACTTATGTTGTTTGGTTACTGTCTTATAGATTTTTACACATATTTCAATTTATATGCCTATAAATATGTATTTTAGCTAACCTAACTTAAAAGGCAATATATGAGCTATTGCTATCACTTGATGTCCCTCGTTGTCTTTGTTCATCTTCATCAGCCGTTGTCTAATACCTTAAAAAAAAATTCTCCTCTGAAACAACAAGACTCATTTCAACCAAACTTAGAATAAATGATCCTTAGAGTATCTAGTATACAGATTGTGTTTTTTATTCCTGTCAGTCAATAAACATGGCTTCCAGGGTTAAAAATAGAACAGAAGGATAAAATGCATTAAATGTCTTTATATCTTCAAAACTATAATAGATAAAGAAAATCTTACAGGGCAAAAATGATCAGTATGTGAAGATCTTCCTACTTCCAATTTTAACCAAAATTATCAGGGACTCCTTACAAGAGTTGTTGCCCTTATTTAGGGTTATTGAAATTCGTTTGTGCATTTGTCTATTATCTCAAAAACTGTTTTTTTAGAAAGGTATATACAGGAAAAGATAAAAATGATCATCAATACAAGATCTACAAAAATGTCAATATGACAGAAACCATTGGCTTTGAAACTTTTGCTTAGTTTACATGTATTATTTTGTGATTAGGTCAGTTTATGGGGAACCACTAGTGGAAGGTCAATGATATTTGGTATGCAGTTGTATAAGCATTAGCATATCTCATTTCCATGGAGATTATTTGGCCCCACCCCCTCAGTCATGGTCTATTGACTTTGAAACTTTTGCTTAGTTTACATGTATTAGTTTGTGATTAGATCAGTTTAAGATGAACCAGTTACGTTATGTCAATGATATTTGGTATGCAAATGTATTGGCATTTGCAAGTCTCATTTCCATGGAGATTATATAGCCCCAACCCCTTATCATGGTTCATTGACTTTGAAACTTTTACATAGTTTACAAGTTAATGTTTGTGTTTAGGTTTATTTAAGGGAACAACTTATGATAAGTCAATGGTATTTGGTATGCAGTTGTATTAGCATTGGCACATCTCATTTCCATGGAGATTGTTTAGCTTCAGCCATGGTTCATGGACTTTGAATATTTGCATAACTTACATGTTAAAGTATTGCTATTTTAATTTCAACATTTGCATTATCGAAATTACAAAAAGGCGAGACATATCTTTGTGATAGCAGTTTATTTTGCAATTAACCTCGAAAGCTATAATTTATAGTTAAAAAAGGTAGAACCTGTCAACTACAAAAATTATTAAAATACAATATCTACATAATACAATATGGCCAGAACGGTTAGATGACTTTTTCTGGGAGTTATTGCCCTTAAAAGAAGATTTTTTTTTACTGATTTTATAATTTTGCCCATTATCTAAAATACAATAGTAAATAGGTAGAAACTGTAATCAGTAAAAAGGATCATCAATACAAAATTACAAAAAGACCACTAAATAAGATCTACAAAATAGCAAACATAACTGGCTGCAATAAAAATAAATATCAAATGACATATTTTCCCAAGTGAGTGATTCAGTCTTATAAAAGAGGGACGAAAGATACCAGAGGGACTGTCAAACTCATAGATCGAAAACAAACTGACAACGCCATGGCCAAAAATAAAAAGACAAACAGACAAATAATAGTACAGATGACACAACATAGAAAACCAAAGACTAAGCAACACGAACCCCACCAAAAACTGGGGGTGATCTCAGGTGCTCCGGAAGGGTAAGCAGATCCTGCTCCACATGTGGCACCTGCCGTGTTGCTTATGTTATTACAAATCCGGTAAATAGTCTAATTAGGTAAGTAACATTCGTGAAAAGGGAGGGTATTGTAGTTACGACATAAGGAACATATCCGATATCATCTGTGAAACGGTTATTCCATAACAGTCAACCAACTCGTGATGGCGTCCGTAAAATTTACGAAGGGATGATTTCAACTTCACCATTTGGAACTCTTGGTTTAATAGCTTCCTTGTGAGCAGCAATCCTCTATCATGGAAATCATGATAGGAAACACAAGCCTGGGAATATCATATCAATTGGGAGATATATACTCCGTATGCAAGCCTCTTGTTTAATAATACTTTTGGTCTGCAGTGCTAAATATACATAAGTTTGAGCAGGTGTAATATTTACTTCCATTTATGCATATACCATTGTTTATAATGTCCTATTTGTAGGCAAAAACACCAAAACAATGGGAAGACTCAGGTCAGGTTGTTGGTAAATCTCCACCATGCCAAGGAGGTTCTGGATTGTGATGAAGGATGTGATATTTTGAAAAAAAATATAACAAAATGGGGTTTATCACACTATATAAACCTTTGTATGTGACAGATACTCAAATATTTAAATAAATGACAAAAAGAAAGAGAATAAAAGTATTCATAAATGATCATGTGTCATTTATAACAATATTGCCTCTGTGTAAAACAAATTAAAAGAGAACTTATTATATAAAGTTCTAATATCTTAAAATTCAGACATTTTATTATTCCAATTTCATGTTTTATTTTTTCTTCTTACCTTGATTTATACCTTTCCTTTTAATTCAGTATCTGTATATGTTTCCCTCACTTACGCATTTCCCTGCAATTTAGTATCCATCTTTGTTTTCTAAATATTTACACTTTTCTGGCAATTCATTTTAACTACTTGATAAAAGTTTCTCAAATATTTACATTTTATCTTGCAATCCATTATCTGTGATTGTTTCCCATATTTTACTTACATTTGATTTAATTCAGCTCTGTTTTCCTAACATACATTTTACTTGTTATCCAGTTTCTTTATTTGTACTTTAAACAATACTTAGAAGTTTATAATGTGTATAAACATTGTTCATTCAAGAGATAATGTATGTGTTCCTTGCCTTTAAGCACTAATGTTCTGTTCTTATTTGATTAGGAATTCTTTCTGTCCGTATTTGGTTAGGAAATGAGTGGTGGTTCTACCTTTCTCATATTATCCCAGGCTGCTTGGGAACTCGTCATTTGAACTCTGATGGATAGTTGTCTCCTTGACAATCACATACATTGTACCATATCTCCTTTTTTTTCTATCCATCAGTTTAAGTTTAGCTGTTGATAACAAATGTAATAGTTTTGTTTTACTAAAGATGGTCAAAGATGAAACATTAAAATTAGAATGTTCCCAAACTTTTGCATAAGCAAGTTTTCTTTGGATTTTATTTATTATTCTTTGGATCATTTCATGAATTCTAAATACAATTACAAGTGAATTATAAGTTATTTTCAATTTACAAACTGTTACATAGTTCCAGTAAGCTACAAACAATGTCAAACAAATCAAATTTAGCTTATCGTAAATCAGGTAAAAAAACTTACACATGCATGAAAACTGGACTGCTCAGCAGTTCAAGGAGAATTTATAAAAAATAAATATAACTATTTCAAAAAGTCTGCCTAAATTTGTGTTAAAACAACTATATATAGAAATATTTGCAAAGTTCAGTACAGATTATGTAGAATCATGAGCAAACATTACTTAAAAGGAACATACATTCTTTTGTGACAACCCCTGAATACGAAAACCTGTTGAACAATGATCAAAGCACACCAAAATCAAATAGATTCTGGGAAGGAAACTACTTCATCATTGAACAGTGATCTTCAAATGTCTTGTGCATGTGGTCTTGTGGATATTCAGACACGAAGAGGAACTTCAACACCTGATACTATTAACATTAATGCTATGATGGATATGTTTGCTAGCTTTACACAATCCGTGATCAAAATGTGACAGATCTGCAGCAGGCTGTAACCCATTAGGCACACAGAAGACCAAGATAGTTGGAAAACAGGAACGAGTACAATTTGGAGCAGTGGTACCAGGCAAGAAATCACATTGATGCACATATTCTGCCAGCCACAAATCGAACACTCAATTCCACCATATCCAGCAAAAAATTCAGTAAAAGAGTTAATGCAGATTCCTAAACAGAAGTATTATTGAGGGTAAGGATATACATCTAGCTGCATAATGGTCCTAGTTTTGAAGCACCACAAAAGCATACAGCCATAGTTGTTGGGGTTGATCTTGTGCTCAATGTACCCAGATCGTTGTGATGATTACCATATGAATACTCTCTGCCAAAAGCAGCGGGGAAAAGAGTCAAAGTTGACGAGCTCACGCGACCCCGATTTTTTATCCTTAGTAGTGGACTGTCAACACCTGCAAGTTGTGCAACTATATCGATCATGCCACTCAATTTTGTTCATTACAATCCCCCAATCAAGACCAATCTGTTTGAAAAGTGTCTGAAAATGTTTCAAACAGATCCCTTGATAAGCAAGGTCGTTAAAAAATATATGTGGAAAAGAGAGAAGTATTCACTAATTTCAATGATATGAAGGACTGTTTAGAAGTACATGTACTTTATTACATGCATGTTCGAAATCTAAGTCATCTGTCCATACAGCGATGTCATGTACAATACAAAGAGAGATGATAATACTTTTAAGATGTTTTCGTCAACCCTGTAAATGTTGACAAACTACAAGAGTTTTTGGCTGGTCCGAGGATTCAGCTCGTGATTTGTTTAATATCAGTTATTTGTTTTGCATGATTTCCCCTTTAAACATACAAGTTACCCGAATAATGTGACTGTCATATTCCTGTCAAACAAGTGAGATGTTTAGCTAGCTATAAAACCAGGTTTAATCCAATATTTTCTACGTAAGGAAATGCCTGTACCAAGTTAGGAATATGACAGTTGATTTCCATTCGTTTGATGTGTTTAAGCTTTTGATTTTGCAATTTGATAAGGGACTTTCCGTTTTGAATTTTTCTTTGGAGTTCGGTATTTTTGTTATTTTACTTTTTATTCCATTGCTCTTCGATGGCTACCTGGAGAATAGGAGAGTCAATCACAGGGAGAAGCTTGCATTATTTTGGTTATTTAAACAAATATGGTGCTGTATCTTTTCCATACTATTTATGATTATTTTATTTTCAGTCAATGCATAGTGAAATATCAATATTTTACAAAAAAACCAACAAATGTTATAAATAGGATGATCTTATATATACAATAAAAAAAAAGGGAAAACTTAATTACATCGAATAAAAGACGAATGATACGCAAATAACTCTACATATTAATATGCATGTGTCTGACCACAAAAAAAAAAATTTTACATTTCAGGTTTAGGAAGTTAGCTATCACATACACCATATTTTGCATATTTGTGTGTGCACAAACATGAATTAACCCATAATATATCTGCTTGCAATGCAGCGAATCACACATAATGTTTGTTATTTAAACATAATTTGCCATTGTTGACAACAAATACATAAAATTGAGAATGGAAATGGGGAATGTGTCAAAGAAACAACAACCCGACCATAGAGCAGACAACAGCCGAAGGCCACCAATGGGTCTTCAATGCAGCGAGAAACTCCCGCACCCGGAGGCGTCCTTCAGGTGGCCCCTAAACAAATATGCATACTAGTTCAGTGATAATGGACACCATACTAAACTCCAAATTATACACAAGAAACTAAAATTAAAAATGATACAAGACTAACAAAGGCCAGAGGCTCCTGACTTGGGACAGGCGCAAAAATGCGGCGGGGTTAAACATGTTTTTTGAGATCTCAACCCTCCCCTATACCTCTAGCCAATGTAGAAAAAACAAACGTACAACAGTACACACAGTAAAACTCAGTTTAAGAGAAATCCGAGTCCGATGTCAGAATAGGAAACAAAAGAAAATAAACAAAATGACAATAATACATAAATAACAACAGACTACTAGCAGTTACTGACATGCCAGCTCCAGACCTCAATTAAACTGATGGAAAGATTACGTCTTCATCATATGAATATCAGGCACAATCCCTCCTGTTAGGGGTTTAGTATTATACCATCATAAAATATATGAGAAGAACATAACCCGTGTCATGCCAACAACTGGTTTTAGAATAAATATGTTTAATTCCGATGCAAAGACCCTATAAGTGAATCAATATTAAAGCCAAAATATGCAATCTTTAATGACCTGACAACAGTATCGTAACTATATCCCTTCTTAATAAGTCTGTTTAAAGGTTTTGTTAGCTTTTGAGGTGAATACTGACATTTTTGTGCTTTGTAAAGAATATTACCATAAAAGATTGGATGTGAAATACCCGAACGTATATTAAGATGTCTGCATGTTGAGTTATATTTACGAATGATGTCCTTATACCGATGATAAAATTTAGTAAATGTTTTGACTAGTTTATGATATCGAAAACCCTGGTGTAATAATTTTTCAGTAATACATAAACTTAATTTCTCTCGCTAAAATCTAATACGTTGTTACATACACGGGCGAATCGTACAAGTTGAGATATATAAACACCATAAGATGGTGACAAGGGAACGTCACCATCTAAAAATGGATAATTAACGATAGGAAATGAAAAATCATCTCTTTTATCATAAATTTTTGTATTAAGCTTCCCGTTAATGATATAGATATCAAGATCGAGGAAAGGACAGTGGTCATTGTTAGTATTAGCTTATATACAACTTGATAAGAATCATAACTGTAAGGACGACCTGGTTATTTATGGAAATTTCATGTCATTTAAGATCAAACGGTGACGGAAATTTCACAGTTGTCTTGTTTCCGGTATTTGTAAAAGTATGCAACAATAGCGAAGATCACAAAGTCAATTAACATTAAAATTCCCAGTAGGAAGAAAAGGTATTCTGTCTTTCCATCATTTATTTCATCTGGAAACCAAGAATCTGAAAAAAATACGTTGATTATATCACACGATGACTAACCCAAAACGTTATGGAAGAAGAAACATTTTTGAATACCGATGTTACATATCACCATTTGTAAGTAGAAAAGCATTCAACGCATAACAATATGAAAAAAAAAAGAAAAAAAAACAACAACGTGGGAATGATTTAATTAGAATTCTGATTAAAATTCAAAGTAGATGATCTTATACACCTTCCTAGTACCTTTTGATTGTATATGGTATCAATCCTAAGCTGAGACGGCCTTTGCGAGAAACAGGAAAACTTTACTTTAATCTCCATCGTTTACATAATTTTAGAGAACTGAAAACAGATGAAGTTTTACTGTTGTTTATTTATACTTGAGTATATAGGAGCCAACATGTAGTTTAACATTCATAATTTAGGACTTTATCGATGACATTTGATCTTGATTTTACAGAATTTGCACAATACCACTTTTTAATGACCCAGCATAAAAACAAATATGCTTTCGAAAGGTATATGGTATATGATGGTAGCACTGATTTGGATAGAAGTTCAAAAGGTAAAAAAAAAACAAGTTATTTACCAACGCAGAAAGAATGAAAAGAGCTTGTTTGCGCTGAATGAAATTCTCATTTACTATTCAGTTTTGTTTTATTTAATTTTAGTCTTTAAGTGGTACTGTTTTTTTTACATTTTAAGTCCGTAAATCACTACTATAGGTACAATCAGCTTGTAAATACTCAATACTTTCAAAAAGTATAAATGAATTTTGAGTACTTTATCAACAAGCAACATATACAAAAGGATTCATAAATGATTTCGTGCAGAAATCACAACATCATGATAGCACTTTTAAACATGACAATATAATCAATTCAGTCTGAATGTTTAGTATTACAATTTGCATGGAAAGCCTGCTTCCAAATTACAAATAAGAAACAGTGGGAATGCTCAACACGTACATATATATAGTTTAGATGTTTCCCATCCAGTTTTTAATTGCTAAAACAAAACAAAAACAAACAAAAAATTAAAAAGACAAAATGCACGAAACATCAAATTGATGCAATGGATAATAATCTACAACAATGATCTATTTATAACGTAAGAAATTGATTACCTTAGTAGTATTTGGCGAAACCCTTTCGGAATTTTGGTCCTCAATGCCCTTCAACTTCGTACTTTATTTGGCCTTTCAACGTTTTGATTCAAGCGTCACTGATGAGTCATTTTAAGACGAAACGCGCGTCTAGCGTACAAATATACAGTATTTCAGAGGCTTTAGGTGTTATGACTTATCGAAAATTAGGCGAACAACGGACTGCTCCTTAAAGTGAATATTGAAGTAAAATATATGAAAGAATTTTATATAACGTTTTAAAAATTATTCCCTCAGAGATCTGGTAAACACTGAATAAAAATAAGGTGTTTTGAAAACAAAACGACCATTGCTAGATTCACTTTTCGCATAATTACAGTCCTTAATTTTAACTCTATGATTAAATTTTCACCTAGCATAGATTTACCTGGTGGCTGGGATCCTGTCACGGCATCTACAATTACTAAAATGAGTTCAGCTACATAACTACCAATTCCACTAGTTGCTAAGAATAATCCCATACAAACTCCCTGCATAAACACTGGTGCTTGAGAATAAGCGAATTCCAACCCTGTTAATTCATATTAACTGGTTGCTTTATAAATTCAAAGTGTATTCAAAATGTTACACGATTATTACAGTTTCAAGGTCGTACGATTGCTACACTATAGAAATATAGACCTCGTTGTTATTAAGCAAACATAGTAATCTCAAGATATGCACAGAGAACAAGGGCAAACATTAAGAGGGCGATGAAAAATGATCTCCGAGTGTCATTATGCAACAATAAGCCAAAAATGGTCAAAGCCGTAAGTAACTCACAAAATTATGAAATTGAAAGAAGGGTAATGTAGGTGCAATACCTATAAAAAAACCCGTCACTCCGTTTTCTAGTTAGATTTGCGAATAGAAACACAAAAATAAATACACTTACAGTGTAGTGTAGAATATAGGCCCTATATGTCAATCTGGAACAAATTGTTCTGTTAAAGGTGATATTTCAGACATACAACTATATCATTCTTCGTGTCACTCAATAAACCACTTTTCAGAGTGAATGTTTGTATTTAATTAATTCCATTGAACTTCAGATTGAGGATATTACCGAAACAAGAAGGTCCTCCTCATATCTCGATCTTTTCCTTGGTTTTGACACAGATATGAACTAGAATCTGTGAAAATAACACTTTACGAAATATATGCGTCCGAAGCGCTTTTCTGGGTTTATCTTCATCAGAAACTGTCAAAGCCTAATATATAAAAGCCAAGGATGTATAAGAACCGAAACAGCAGGTGAAAAGATATATGATTAAAATCAAACCTAAATATAATAGCCAAATCCATCTAAGGTCAACTTTGCCTGAGGGAGTTGAAATCTAATTTTTTAAATGTCTTGTTTTTTTATTGTTTGGTTTATAAACCACCTCTGTATTTATAAAAGCCATTAATACAAGTAAATCATTACTCGACAACGAACAATGGGATTATGTAGGTTTACAACAAACGATTTTAGTTCTTAAATAACAAAATATATATAATAGTTATTTGAAAACTAGAACTAGATATATACATTTTACATTAAAAATGGGCGGAAATGTTTAACGTTATAGGGTTTTGTGATTTAGCAGAAAGTAATATTTTGGAACAATGCTGACATAAAAGGCGCAGTAAACATGTCATTTTTAGAACATGATTGTAGTATATTAATATTTTTCAATTACAAGTGAAATATTTTTTTTTTTTTTTTTTTTTTTTTTACAGTAAACTATTTTTCCAATTAAGAGTATTTACAAAATGAGTATTTGTATACTATTAATATAATTACCTGATATACTTGTAAACACTTCACTAGCACCTATCAGAGTAAACTGTGGTATCTGTGCAAGCACTGATATAGATGACGCATTAAATGTTTTACCAGCAAGTTTTTGGCCTATTATACTTATATCCTTCTTTCGGTAGATTTCCAGAATACCCGCCACAAATACTGACATTGCAGCGAAGATCATTCCAATTCCTCAAAAATGTGCAATATATATATATATATAAACAGATTCACAATATGCACTACAAGATAAACTTTGTTCGATAGTTTCTGTCGTCAGTTTTATTTGACAAGGTCTTGATTATGTTTTCCATACATGATTTATATACACAGTCAGAAAGCATTCTTCAATTTCAAATTTTTCTTGCAAATTTTTTTTCTGAGTTTGAACTTTGCGATTACACTGTTTTATAAATCTAACATCTTCTTTAGCAAAGATATTACTGTGTCGGGTGTTATTATTAACTGATTTTAATTATGTTTGATAATTTTGCTTCATGTCTTCGAAAAACATTAAAACTGTCAGAATATCCTAATGTAGTAGCACTTTCCGTTAAATGAGACATGACCAACAGCTTTACTCTAAAAACATTTGTTTGTGCATTAAACAAAGATGTTGGTTTGAATCAAATTTATTTTGATTACCGGGTTTGTACTTACATCAGCCACATGTGGAGCAGGATCTGTTTACCCCTCCGGAGCACCTAAGATCATCCACAGTTTTTGATGCGGTTTCTTTTTGCACAGTCTTCCGTTTTCTATGTTGGTTTTTAATGTACTGTTTGTCTTTTCGTCGTTTTTTGATTTTTACCATTGCATGGTCAGTTTGTTTTCGAATTATGAGTCTGAATATCCCTTAAATATCTTTTGCCGTCATTGAGTCAATTATCTTTTTTGTTAATGCTGATGATCACAAAAAAATGTATATAATGGAAATGTTTCCGGACTATGTGACCAGACTATATCATCCTATACATTTATCAATAAAACTGATATAATTCTGAAAGGAGTAAAGTTTACTGCTTGCACAATTCCTTCCCCCTAAATTAGCTTTAATTTATAAACCTTCTTTCTTCTCAAAATTAGCATGCTAAGATCTGAGTTTTGAATTATGCATCTATTATAGGAAAGTAGTAAAACATGGTTATAATAAATAATCACATAAAAAGATCATTAATCAAATTTACCCATTCTCTGTAAATGTGAAGGTGATTTGTTGATCTTTGCCAAAAATGGATACACAACCGTTTGCATTATTGGTATCAAAATTATAATAATGATCGTGTCAAATATGTTTAGCACTGCTACGGGTACATTGCCGGATCCTAATTTGATGTCCATTCTTTCACTTTGCAAGAAAAATGTTGTACCCATCTAAAATAGATATGAACAAACTTAACTGCAGATGACAATAAAAAGACTGTAAGTTAAATTCTTACTATTTACTATAGAATTATTAATAATTCTACACAGTATATTCTTTAACTTTTAACATAAGAAGATAAACGATAACATTAACTGTTGTAAATAATGATTGTATCTTCAAACGCAAAGCTATTGTCTTCTTGAGCGATTGAAATGTTACATCGATAATTTTGTGTATGATACGAAAAATTCAGTTAAGAATGATAAATATTTGAAAGAGAGAGAGAGAGAGAGGGGTAAATAAAAGCAACTGTTACAGTACTTTTTGCACCAGGTAACACTATAATTTGATACATATATATGTGTCAATAGCAGCAACATTTCTAACCTACTAAACAATCTGATTGTGGATGACTTTATTTGAGATTAAAATTCATTCTGATATCTGATTATTATGCTGTTGGAACACAGGACAAAATTTGACTAGGAGTTTGGTCAATATGCGCTTTTCTTTCAAGCTATGCGGTTATATGGTTATTTTTCAGGTTCTTTGTCGATGTCGTAAACTTTGAATATACATATGTGTAATTAATTACTCATTTTGAACCTCAGACAACTTCTTATACCGCCCAATTTTTAGGGTAACCTTTAGATTCAATTTGCTGTAATTTAGCAAATCTCGAGAAGCCCTTTGTTATATGGTTTCTCAAAATGTAAAATCGCCAGTTTTACACGAAAGGCGGAAAAATTCAGCTCCAGTAATACTCATTTCTGTAATGAATTATACCTGTGAATAAACTGCCCAGTACATAATAACCAATAGAAATACTGGTAGAATACGTAGGACTGCTATTACACCGTTTACCATCTCATTACTGTACGGGCCACCTTCATCTTCCCTTGCAGCGTTGAAACCCTTACATTTGGTAGCACAACAAACACCAATGGTATCCTGGAGAACACTGCCTAAAATGACATGCATAAGGATATTTGGTAATGACGAAGAACATTACCCATATACAACATGTACATTTAATGTTTGTAAATGACTTAAAATATGTATCCCTAAATACGACATGGCTTATGAATATTTATTCTAGATGAAGAACATTGCATATTTACAACATGTATTATTAATTGTTTTTTCTTTCTTTTATTGAGAACGTCGCTCTCTTTTGCCTCAATGCAACACGCACAATGATTGTTTACCAAGAAGAACACTACTGTATCACAACGTGCTTAATGAATGAGCCTGCATCTCTTATATTTTGTAACCGATGACTTTTTCTTGATAGGTTCTATGAAAAACGTACGGATTGTTCATACAAAATAAATTAAAAATGCAAATGGAAGTGTGAATTGGCAATATGATTGGATGTCGTTTAACCCATATACTTTTACTGTCGACACAACGATATAGTTGCACAATCCTGCTTATAAATGGTGAAATGTGCAAAGATAAAGTTGGGTTGATGTAGAGGTGCAACTTATTGCTATAAAATATAGAAATGAGTGATCTAAAGGTATATTGCATGACGAATCATACTATGGACCAAGAACTTCTTACCCTCTAGGAGCAGCTGATATCACTCAGTTTTTTGGTTGCTCAAATATTAGTTTTATGTTTGGTGTCTTCGATTTATGTTTTATTGACTCAACTGTATCTACTAAACCTTTTTTTTTATTGTTTGCAACGACTGGGTAGGCAACCAGGGCCGCTGTGTAAATGCTCTTTTGTTCCGACTTTGGAAAGTTCCGGGCGGAAAGAACTAACTAGCCGAAAAGTTCCAACGGAACTTATTAACTAGTTACTTTGTTCTTCCTCTGGTTTAAAAGTTCCACCGGAACAAAGTGACTAGTTGAAAAGTTCCAACGGAACATATCAACTAGTTAGAAAGTTCCTTTTTGCCAAATTAGTCAAAACCGGAACAAACAAACTAGCCCAAAAGTTCCAACGGAACTTATCAACCAGGCAGAAAGTTCCATTTGGAGAATTGATGCAAAGTAAAAGCGCACCATATTATATTTGAATCTTTCAAAGGGAAACCAAGATACTGATTACAAAAGCCAAAAGGAACTTATCAACTAGCCACAAAGTTCCTCTTTGGAAAATAAGTCAAAACCGGAACTAACAAACTAGCCCAAAAATTCCAACGGAACTCATCAACCAGTCACAAAGTTCCATTTGGAGAATTGATGCAAAGAACCACATGAGGAGGGGGATATTCTTCCCTCTCTTGAGGGTACTATGAATACTAAATTTGCATGATAATGCAACTTATTCCGTTTTATGTGAGCTATGAAATACAACTTAAATTTTGCATATTTGTCCCCAAAGAAACCCCTTTCAGTGCGTTGGGTATTCTTGTAAATTAATGATTTGCTCTTATATATACTGATACTCATTCTTCCCCCTCTTTCTACAAAAAGGACGAAATATGGTATATTCGGAACGATGTAACTAGTAGTTCTGTTCCGCCAGAACTATTCAACTAGCTACATTGTTCCGGGACTTTTCAACTAGCTACTTTTTTCCGGAACTTTTCGACTGCACTCGGAATAAAACAACTAGTTGGAAAGTTCCATCGGAACGAAATAACTGGTTGAAAAGTTCCGCCGGAACAAAGTAACTGACGGAACATAGTGGCTGTTACAGCTGAATATACCATTCGTCAGGTAACCAGTGCTTTAGCTATCGCATGAATTGACTGTTACATTTTGTTTTTAATTTCCCAGTTATTAATTATTAATTATGTAATTTTACTAAAACATAGGTTGCGACTCTCTCAGGTGAAAGATACCAAAGGGATATTCAAACGCGAATATAAGTTGAAAACAAACTGACAACATCATGGCAAAAAAGAGAAAAAAAAAACAAACCGAAAAACAATCAAAAGACAAATAACAGTATACAAACACAATAAAGAAAACTAAAGACTGAGCAACACGAACCCCACCAAAAACCGGGGTTGATCGCGACATTGACCTAAGACCGAATTTTTTGGGGTATTTGTATGTAAAGGAAGCTATAGTTGAAGTGATCCGTTCGAAAGATTCACGGACACCATCCCGAGTTGGTTGACCGTTATGGAATATCTGTCACAGGTGACCACAGATGTATTCCAATTGTCGTAACCACAATCCCGTCTCTTTGTATTCAAAAACACGTGTTGTAGCCAGGGAAATTGATATCATATTTTTTTGGGAAGGAAACACGTGAAGTTCAATTTACACGTTCAAAGAAATATACACTAGAGAAAACAATACTGCTGTTACCTTTTGCAGGTGAAGAAATATACTTTGACTTATTCAGGACGAAAACAACCAGTGCTATTATCATGCTAATTAATGGTATAAGAAAACCAACATCGAATCCAACATCCTGTTGTACAGCTGCTACTCCAGAGTAGGCAATTATAGCACCTACATTTATAAACCAATAAAACCTATAACATATAATGAAATATAAAAAATCAAAAATACATCTAGTCTTACTTAATAATTTAATGATAGTTTGATATTGTAAAATTCTTTGTGCTTTATATTTGATGGATTTATGATTAAGTTATGGTCTTTCTGTATTGAAATTCTCTTTTCCATTTTGCATTGAACATTGCGTAACATTTTTTTTTCGTCCAGTAATGTTCATGACTTTGTTGAATGAAATCAGTATAGAAGTACAGCAAAATTTATAAGAAAATAAGAATTCATATCAGCAAAGTAAGCAGAATGAGCTATCTTTTTAGAAACATCATTTGTTCCAACGGTATTATTCATCAATGTTTTTACTTGAAGATATATATTCTTGCTGTAAAGTAGAGGCAAATACCGATGTTAAAATCTCATAAATTCAGTAAGAAGATACCAATCAGGGTAAAAATGGAGGTAATGAACGAGACTTGGTGCTTCAAAAAGTAAGCCTCTACTGTTATGAATGAATCATCCGCCATGAAAGTCCATCCCTAGTCAAAATGTCAGAATAGGGAAAAGGAGACAATTGATTAACTGACGAATCTGACAAATATTCTGGTAAAAAAAGATGTAAGAATGCTAAAACATATTGCTAGTGAGATGAGACACCGACACATCGTAGTGGACAACCAATTTGTGATGGTGGTCGTAAGGCTTGTGTAGTGTTGTTTTCAGTCGTTCTTCTTTATATCCCTGTTGAAGCAGTGTTTGTGTGAGGAGCACGTCACTGTTAGTTAGGTCATTATAATGTAAATATTCACGAGCATAACGTGTTAATTGAGATTATAAACACAATATAACAAGTACTGCTGAGAAATGAAATGTTGACAATGGCTAATCTGAATCATCACGTTTGTCATAGATTTTAGTTTGAAGTCGTCAATCTGTGTCAATAGAAAGGAAAAGATCGAGACATAAAGCAGACCGTCTAGTTTCGCTAGTATCAACAATCGCAAGTTCATTGCAATATGTCAGATATTAATATAATATATTTATCTTTTTCTAGTGAAGTGTTTGTGTTCTCTGTACCAGTGATTACTCAATTCGTAGAGATAACACGGAAAGTTTTCAGAAGTTACACAATTTGTTTAAAATACTGTTGTGCGGGGCTTACTGGACGACTTATTTTGTCATTCTATGAAGTCGATCCATATAAAGTTTAATAGATAACAAACTTCCTCAAAGACAAAAAAATATATTGTGCAAAGTACATAATTTTTATAACCTATATTATTGATGTCATGTCATTCATAAACCCTCGTTTCATCTAGTTATTGCTTCTAAAATATGCCAGTGTTCTTGATATTAAGAATACAACCGTAAGATGAAGGTCTGATTCATATCTTGAACTTTTCTTGAAATTTGAAAGGATGGGAGACTTCAAACTAGGATCTGTAACAAACTTGGCGATTTCAAACTTACAATATTAACTTTTAGTTTCTCAGTAGTAAGAGTTTCTCCGCCTCATCACTAGCCAAGTAGTCAGCACTTCTGTGTTAACATGAGTTATCATTGATATGGTCATAACTATAAATCAACGGTTTACAAAACTTTGAAAACTTTTCGAAATACTAAGGATTTTCAACCCTAGGAATAGATAATCTTAGCTGTATTTGGTAAAACCTTTCGTAATTATGGGTCCTCAATGGTCTTCAACTACGTACTTTATTTGGCTTTTTTTTTAACTTTTGTGATTCGAAGGTCACTGATAAGTCTTCTGAAGACAAAACGCGTGTGTGGCGTACAAAATTTAATCCTGGTATCTTTTTTGAGTTTATTTAAATGTCTGGAGTGATACATTACGCGGGTGTGTCTCACTAATCACAAGAGAGTGTTTTCGAGCTCTTACATCTTAGGACACCAGAAAAGTCGTCTAATAAGTAATTTACCAATTGTGTCCTATTCCCTATCGTAACTATTTTGATCGAGTATGGCGGAGATGCATGCATTCGAGAGATGCATTAACTGTCGACACACCTGGTCTTGTGTCAGTTTTAGGTTCATGCAATTGCCTCAGTTTTTCTTTCTTGATATGTATCTTTAAAATCGGTTTTAACGCATTTAAAAATTGATAAACTATTAATGCTTCTTTTCAAAGTGTTAATACACCTATATTAAATCAGAAAACATACCAATAGTTCTATTATTTTTTGTATCTCTAAAGGCAAATCTTGCATAGTTTTTGTTAAGTTTATTCTCAGCTTGCGAAGACGTTTGTTATAATTTGACATCTGGTATAAATACTTCGGTTTATGGTTTAGGAATGCCTATTAACTTCCAGATGTTTGAAAACAATACTGCAGTGTACCACTAATTCTACGATTTGGCTTATAATTAGACATTAGATAGTAAAATATATCAATTTACCAATTAAAGAAAGACTGCACAGCTTGTGGTCCCAGATTTTCAACCTGTTGAGCACCAAATGGTCCAACATTAGACTTTATACCTCCAGTCCCTATAGCAATTAGGACAAGCGATGTCAAGAAAAATCCTCTTCTTGTTTCCTGTTATATGAATAGTTTTGTGTTAACCGTGTAGGCTAGTCAGCTTTTTAACATGTCTAGTTGATGGATATTTTAAAATGCCCCATTAAGTCTTTGATGGGCAAAACGGGATTTGTTTTCTCGACCAATATGCTGATTTATACGATAAGCGTATTTATTTTGTTATTCTAGTGAAATACTTTACTGATGATGAAAACATTACTACCGGTATTTTCATATTTATAATAATATAGTGTGTAGGTGTAACACCACTAATTCGGCCCGGCCAGAAAGCACATACCAGAAAGTAGTACATATTTAACACAAAATAGTTCCTACGCATGAGTGTAACTTTCAAAATATGTAGAATATTTAGGTATTGTTGATATCAAATGAAAGCTGAATAACTGGTGATCATTGTAGAACACTTTTTGACTTATAATTTTGAATATTAAAAAAACTGCACCAAATTTTATAACGAGGGTACTTTTTGCCTGTATGTCAGATCTGAAGTACCTGTTTTGGTACATCCGAAGTTCCGGGAACCAGTTCTTTCTTATATGCCATTAAAGGTATGTTGATTTTTCCAGTACAAGACACCATAAAGTGTTGCTTTGACATGCAATGATTGTCACTTTATTTGAACTTGAAACAAAAGAGCTGTGTCTGCTTGAAATTGAGGAATTTAACATAGAAAGCAATGGGGCCATGACTTAGTGGTGTACTTCCTTACCACAACTTCCTGGAATGACCTGATTAACTCCCCTTTAAATTTGTGTAATAATCTTACCACAACTTCCTGGAATTACTTGATTAACTCCCCTTTAAATCTATGTAATAATCTTACGGTGTAACACCACTAATTCGGCCCAGCCAGAAAGCACATACCAGAAAGTAGTACATATTTAACACAAAATAGTTCCTACGCATGAGTGTAACTTTCAAAATTTGTAGAATATTTAGGTATTGTTGATATCAAATGAAAGCTGAATGACTGGTGATCATTGTAGAACACTTTTTGACTTATAATTTTGAATATTAAAAAAACTGCACCAAATTTTATAACGAGGGTACTTTTTGCCTGTATGTCAGATCTGAAGTACCTGTTTTGGTACATCCGAAGTTCCGGGAACCAGTTCTTTCTTATATGCCATTAAAGGTATGTTGATTTTTCCAGTACAAGACACCATAAAGTGTTGCTTTGACATGCAATGATTGTCACTTTATTTGAACTTGAAACAAAAGAGCTGTGTCTGCTTGAAATTGAGGAATTTAACATAGAAAGCAATGGGGCCATGAATTAGTGGTGTACTTCCTGTAAACGAAAACATGCTATTTGGAACGCCACAGCTGTCTTATGTGGAACTCTGATATTACTTTATGTTGTTTTATTATTACTTGATGATATTTTGTCTTTACTTAATATGGTTTTGACATTACGTAATGATGTTTTGATATATCTAAATATGGAATATTCATTACTTAATGATATTTCGATATTACACGATATGGTTTCGTATTGACTTGATATAGTTTTGTCATTACTCAATATGGTTTTGTCATTACTCGATGTGGTTTCACCATTATTTAATGTGGTTGTGTCATTAGTCAATGTGGTTTTAACATTACTAAATGTGAATGTGACTTGACGTTATGTAGTTGTTTGAGTGAGTTGTTTCATTACATGATGTGGTTTTGTTATTTTGTAATGATGATTTGCCTATTCTTTATATGGTTTTAACATTACGTAATGATGTTTCAAAATTTGACGATTTTACACTACATGATGTGTTTGTTTCATTATTTGATGTGGTCCTGTCATTCTTTGATGGGGTTGTCCCATTACTTGATGAGGTAAAATCACGTGACTAGTTCGGAAAAACCTGTTCTATTTTTAGATAGATTTACATGTTGTATGTGCCTTGGATGAGTGTGGCCATCCATCGAATTAGAGTTCAAATTAAAGTTCGGGTTACTGTTTGAGTTAAACTTTGAGTTAGTCTTCGATTTCGAATTCAAGTCATTATTAAAATTAAAGTTTTAGTTAGCATTGAGTTTCGAGTTGGACTTCGAGTTTGAGTCACATTTAAAGGTAGAGTTCTAGTTTCAACATTAAATTTGAGTCACTTTTTGAGGTAGAGTTTGAGTAAGATTCGAATTTTAAGTCTCATTTAGATTAATTAAGATTTTGAGTTGAAATTCGAGCTATCTTATATGAGTTCGTAATTAAATTTTCTATCGCGGAACAAGGACTTTTGCTCGGGCTTCCAAAAAGAGGGCTCCGGGGTATGCGTACAAAAGATAAACAATGTTACAGTATACAAAACGCAACATAGAAGTTGAAATAAAGTTAGATGTGGTGTGATTGACAATGAGACAACTATCCACCAGAGTTTAAATGCAGTGGATGTAAGAAATCATATATAGGCAACCGTACAGCCTTCAACACACCGTATAGTCAGCTACAAAAGGCCACCATGCACCATGTGAAAAAATTCAAACGAAAAAACAAACGGTCTTATTCATAAATAAACAATCTACAAAAAAACATGACACACATTTATGCAACGACAACAATTGAACTTCATGCTCCTGACTTGGGGCAGGTACATAAAGAAAGTGCACGTGGCGGCGTTTTACATGTATGTGAGCGCTAAATCCTAACCTTACATCGGACTGTTACAGTTGTGTAACAGCACAACACGAGAAAAAAAAATGTAAACTAGACAAAGTGATGCCCCCGCACTCAACTCATTTAACCGCTTATACCCCAAAAATGACAAAAAAAAAGTTTAATTATCTCCCAAAAGAGCAAAAGATAATAAAAAAAAAACCCTGACCACATGCACACCTTCAATATATGTACAAACAGACAGTAAAGAGAAAACTTCCTAGGATTCAAACTGTAGGAGGAGTTATGCGGACGGACGGACGGACGGACAGGGGTAAAACAATATACCCCCCAACTTTCAGTTGCGGTGGCATACAAAACAGTTTCATTTGGCTGATTCAATAGATCGGTATGACTGGGTAATATAAATCCATCGGGGTGATCTCGGATGCTCCAGAAAGGCACCCGTCGTGTTATTCGAGAAAGTACAAACCCAGTGATTTGGTTTTATTTGGTAGCTTACATTCAAGAAAAAGATGACGGTATTATGGTTACGACCACTGGAACATGTCCGTCGTCACATGTGAAAGAGATATTCCAAAAAGTTTATTTTTCAATTAGTGCGAGATAGATCAGGGAATTCAATTGATTACAAATAAAAGATTGATATTCGTATAAGTTCAAATGATCATTTACGCTAATAAAAATTCGGAGAATTCTTATTTTATAGTATTGCTGCTTTGTCGCTTAGTCCGAGCCCCCCTCCCCCCGTTTCCCTGTAACTTTAGTGTGAGTTGATTTGAAGTGTTTCATTTGTTAACAATAAAGTTCAAGTCTTTTAATTTGTGTCGAGCCTGCGACATCAATGTAGCGGCAGTGAGACACAACAAACCTATATTTCGTCGTCGATAGTGGCGTCGGCGTCTCCATCTCCATTTTTTTATTTCTATTGAGTTTAACCTTTCATTATACATGTTACTAAACATGTATGCCATCATAATTTTGTACTTTTAGAATATCATACTGTATTTGTTTACCTCGACTATTGTATCTGTATTTATATTGTATGTTTCTCTGTAAACTTGTATTTAGTTTTAAGAGAATAAAGTATCTATCTATCTATCTATCTATAGATCGTTAGGTTTCTAGTTTTTTACATTTTTCATTTCGGGACCTTTTATAGCTTACTATAGGGTATGGGTTTTGCTCATTGTTGAAAACCATACAGTTTTGTTTTAGTTAAATAAAACCGAATTAAACTGTTTTGACATGATAAATTTGTAAACCTCCATGAAGTGTTTTAAAACTTGTATAGGAGTTATTCCTCAATTTCAAGAAAAAGCATCTACAGAAAAACATTTTTTTTTTCATTTTTTTTACCGATAAATGTATAGATAAATGTACAGCCGATCAACATGACGCTTTTACACTTACCAGCAGCAATATCAGGCGAGACACAGGGTTCCGTGGAATATTTTACAAATTTATTACAAAAATACTGCTTCCGTTTGAGAACTTAGGATAAAAACAACAGGACCAAGTGGTTTGGGGATATCCCAATTATGTCCGAAATACTGTAAACTTTTTAATACTTTTTTCTTATTATTGTCTGCCGTTCCCCTTTTTCATACCAAATAACTCTGAACAACAACTCGAACTTTAACTCGACGGATAGCGATACCCATCCAAAGCACATTAAACAAACGATATATTGAAATCTGTTTAAAAATAGAACATATTTTTTCCGAATTGGTCACGTGGTTTTACCTCATCAAGTAATGGGATAACCACATCAAAGAATGGCAGAACCACATCAAAGAATGAAAGGACCACATCAAATAATGAAACAAACACACCATGTAGTGTAAAATCGTCAAATTTTGAAACATCATTACGTAATGTTAAAACCATATAAAGAATAGGCAAATCATCATTACGAAATAACAAAACCACATCATGTAATGAAACAACTACATAACGTTAAGTCACATTCACATCAAGTAATGTTAAAACCACATTGACTAATGACACAACCACATTAAATAATGGTGAAACCACATCGAGTAATGACAAAACCATATTGAGTAATGACAAAACTATATCAAGTCAATACGAAACCATATCGTGTAATATCGAAATATCATTAAGTAATGACTATTCCATATTGAGTTATATCAAAACATCATTACGTAATGTCAAAACCATATTAAGTAAAGACAAAATATCATCAAGTAATAATAAAACAACATAAAGTAATATCAGAGTTCCACATAAGACAGCTGTGGCGTTCCATAATTTCACCACTTGTATTATTGAATGTGACTCACTACTGTAACAACAGCCCATGAAAAGGCCGTGAAATGTCTGTGAAATATCACAGGGCCGTGAAAACCCCGTGAAAATACCCAATGACTTTTGTAAAAAAAATATTTCTAAAGGCAGTGAAAAATATTTGATGTTAGAAAAAGGCCGTGAAATTTCAATATCCCGTGAAAAGGCCGTGATAACTTGTCCTTTCATGCTTAATAAAAAATATCACGGCCTTTTCACTGGTTGTTGAAACCAGTGGAAAGGCCGTGATATTTTTTCATGTCAATTTTTTCTTATCCTAATTCAGATTTAAAACATCCCATGTGATTATTGTAATATGGTCTAATTAATTCCACTCACATTTTTCTAAATATCCTCAAGGATTTGTATAGTCTCACTATACAAATCCATGATATCCTATAAACTTTTCATTATAATTATATATGTCTGTTTAAATATTATTATATGCAATACTACTGTACAGGACTGACTTTTAGATGGAACCATTCATTGTTATAATTAATGACTTTGTGCCAATAAATATTTTGTATTTAAAGAAAAGTATGTTGCTTCTCGTCTGTACATTATTATAAACAATGTAAACATTAATTTTAATTGGAACCGAAACATGTAAAAACGAGAACTTCCCGGAATATCAGACCGTATCCGGATTCGTGTTTCTTTTAGATTAATTGTAACATTTCCGCACTTAGGTTAACCCGAATAATTCAGTCGTTATAGGTGGCACGGTAGTATTTCCTGGCCCATAAGGGATAATGATAGCCTTTTTAGGATTTTCACCACTTTCTAGCACTGCGAAAAATTCTACATACACAGTTAACTGAAGTACTTTCATTATACTAATCAGAAATAAATTTGAATATGTATCATGACCGTTTACTTTTTTTGCTATTTTTAAAAACCTAAGGCCACTAGTGCTTTTAGGTCTTTTATCATGCAGTGAATACAAAATTTAAAAAAATTCTCAAAAATTCATTTTCACCTGTATGTAAAATTATTTCATATTTTTCTACACCTGATTCATCCGCCAGTTTGGGAAAGTATGTTCAGTTGATACTGTATTTTTAGTCCAATCACACTGTTCAGATACATTGACCTAAGTAGGGTACACAAAAGAGCAACCTAAATTCTGGAATGCAAATACTACCGTGCTACCTATATTCCACTTCTCTACGATGGCGAGTGGGAGAGTCGATCACGGGGAGGGACTGAATTATTCGGGTTACACTTAGGTTGGAAATTTGAAAGACGCCGAAGAGGGTGGTAAAGGGGGGGTGCTTGCACGGAAAAAACGTGAAATAAGACATAATTTCACGTTGAACGTGAAATAATTTCTGTCATGAACGTTGCACGAAAAATAAAGACTGTTGTGAACCTTTTGTGACTGAGTCACTGTCTTCTTGTATATATAAACTCTCGGTTTTACTTGTTATTCCCGATTTAGTATACACATTTATGATGTAAATGTTTTACGGCTTTTAAAAAAGTATTTCTTGACGATCCCTGCCAAGTATTTGAATTTTATTTGAAAAATAACGAGCACGCAAAATAAGCATTTGAAAATCACGATGCACGTAAAATTAAATAAGCAGAACACGTTGAACAAGGCACCTGTCTTGCACGACTGAACGTTAAATAAAAAAGTAAAAACACGTTGAACGTGAAATAAAAAACGGCGATCACGTTGCACGAAAATAACCCTTTACCACCCTCGCCGAAGGTCGACTAATATTAACTTTATAGATGCAAGACGAGTGACAGCAAGTTTGAGGTAAGTTAAGTTATTAATATTTTATTCTTTTATGCATCATATCACCAAAATGTTGATGACGTTTGTGAGCATTTCCTGGAATCCATTGAACTGATTTTGACTGAATTTGCAGAAACCGCGCAAACATGCATGTGATATATTCACTTAAATTTGAGTCTGTTGAACTTGATTCCTTTAATCATTTCGTTTAATGTTTTCTAAGACTTACCGGATCCTTTAAATACGATTACGGTTTTGTTTTGTTTATGTATTTGGGGAAAAAAGGGGGGGTCCTTTTTCCCCACACTGGCCACATAAAAAAAAATGACATTTATGTACAGTACACTACGTAGACATAGACATAGACATATATAATTGGAAATGATTATAATAGCAATAAGTATCTCTGAAATGGAGTTCACTCTGATAATCAGAGGCGTAACCCCCTTTGAATGTGTCGGGAGCTATTTAAGTATTTTCTGACTTGGCTGTCGGGACACAGAGTTCAAAAGGGATTAATCAGGGGCGTAGCAGGGAAAGTATTTAATATTTGTCATACATATTATTACTTCAAAGAAACATTTAAATTTAATAGTCTGTCTTAAAAGTGTCTTTAGTCTTTAAAAAAATCTAAAAAAAATAAATAATACAAAACAATAAGTTAACAATACAGAACTTCGTTAACTAATGATGCCATATATACTGGATAGGGGGCAGATTTTCTGGAAAATGGTATGAAAATATGGGAAAACCTATGCATGTTTCCAAGTGGCTGTTCTGTTTCAATGATGTTTTTTAGTATTTTTCATACCATTTTCACCTCCAGTATGAAAATCTGCCCCTATTCAATATGGGGTCATTAACCGTGAAGTCCTGTATTGCATGGAATAATATTGTAGCTGTTTTAAGTACATGTATGTACATAAATGCCAAAAATTAATTTGAATATATAAATAGTTTTTTTATATACATGTATAATATATGTAATGTTTCTTTATTTATTCTAGGAATGAAGAGCAAAAGGATGTAGCAGTCTTTATATAAAATAGTTCAGGAATCCAGTTGGAAAGAAGAGCTTTTCAGTTAAAAGTATTTCCTGGGAATTAACAGGAACTTCTATAAATGTTTTTCTGGAATAGTTATTCAAAGGGGCAGTGAAGTGAAGGATTACATTAGACTAATATTGCTGAAGTGGTAAAATCAGACCCAAGAGATGTACAAAATTTCTACAATACATGTTACAGCTGACTTTAGCTACTTAATCACATTGACATTTGTGTGCTTTTATGTTTTCTTTACATAATTACTACAGTTCTATTAAAATTAATATTTTTATTCTTTGTCACAATTATTACTAAAAAAAATACAGCATTTTAATATGGTTTTTCATAGTCTCACTTGCATTGTACTTAAATAAGTTGTCTGTAGATGTTTACACTAGGTTTTCAGGCATTTCACTTCACTTGATTGAAACAGCATTTAAATGTTTTGTTAAATTATGGCCTGAAAAATACATTTAACATTTTACTGGAGTTTTCACAATCAGTGAATGGCTGTTTATCACAGTAGTACATGTACATTTCACGGTCTTTTCACAATGGGCACATAATTTATCACGACTATTTCACGGTGTCTATTTTTGTTTTCACAGGGTTTCTACGGTCTCTTTACCCAAGTTTTCAGTTGGCACCTTTTCACGGCCTTTTCACGACAAATAAAGGCATGTACTGTACTATATCTACATTTCACGGTCTTTTCACAAGGGGCACATAATGCATTATCACGACTTTTTCACGGTGTACTTTTTTTTTTCACAGGGTTTCTACGGTCTTTTCACCCAAGTTTTCAGGTGGCACCTCTTCACGGCCTTTTCACAAACTTTTCACAGCCTTTTCACGACAGTCATTCCACGGCATTGTCACGGATAAGTTTCACGGCCCACCGTAAATTAACCGTGACAAACACTGTAAAAATCACCAGCATTTTTACGGACATTTTCACGGCCAATCTACGGGGCATTGTTTCAGTAGTGACTGATGATGAATTTTCTATACATTTTTCCAACTAGTGGAATCATTTGCTATTCACTTTGAAGGGAAACTCGTTTACAATACATTGGCCTAGTATTTGGTCAACTTACGGTAGATATTTCGTTATGAGGTCCAAACCAAGTCTTGTAGTCAACAGCCGATGCTGGTAGTAAAAATAACCCTATATAACAGACATCGATAACAAAATAAATAATTTGGGATACTGATTGATAATTTAAGGTATTGAGGTATTACTAGTCTTATATACCAACAACAATTGAAATTTCTATCCGTAACAGGTTCCATTTGTGCACTCGTACTATACGACTTCTTCCTGAACTCACATGAAACAAAATTTATACACAACACAAAAAGACAAGAAGAAAAATTTCTCTCTCTGATATATCAATGCTGTCCTTTCATTATATCCGTCAGTGCTTATATATCCTTGATATCCAGATTAACTTCAGAAATTAAAGCGACAAGAAGCTAACGTAAAGTCTAAGATCTAAAACAGAGGTGGATGATACCAAAGGAATAGTCAAACACATAAATCGAAAACGAGCTGATAATGCCATGGCAAAAAACAAAAACAGCAAAAAAGACAAACAGCAGTCTACAAAACACAATTGTAATGGATATTAAAGCAAATCGACACTGAATACACCAGTTTGTGACAAACGCCATGGTGTGGGGTTTCCTATCTTTCACTTCTCATTCTTGATTTTACCATAACCTTTGGGGATTTACGAAATGTTTGACCTTGCTTTTATGGTATGAGGACTTCACAAATAATTCATGAATCTTAGAGTTTTGGTGGCCATGGTTTAGTGTTGCTTAATCTTTTGTTAACTATGTCGTTTTTTGAAACTTTTTGTTTATTTTTCGTCTTTTTCCTCGATCGCCATGGTGTTGTCATTATTATTCGACTAATAGTTTGTGGTTACCCCTTCTCCCTCTCCTTAAACATAATTTTAGTTCAGTAATCGACAAAACAAATTATTCTTTGATGGATCCCATATGCTTTATCTTTTGTTTTGACATGTTTATATATAAAATAAAATTTATTAGTAGAAGGCTTTGAAAAAGGTAGAAAGCGAGGCTATTCGGAGAATATCTATCCTGTTTCGATCCGAGTACAAATACAATTTATATTTTGTCACAATGTGTGGTTGTTCTCTTTAAATTGTAACTCTTAAAACTTCTATGTGGAACGACGTAATAAATTCCCAGAACATTAATTATTTCAAAAAGCCATAGATAAACTCTGCGGACACATATTATCATCGTCACCAACAAAGCCTTGAATACGGTCATGGACTGTATAAAACCAACGTTAATATGGTAAATGTTTTTTTGACACAGTTGTAGTTTAGAAGTGTTTATGTTACTTGTATCGACCCCTCCTCCTGGTTGATATGATTAATAATATCATGATAAAGGACGTATTCCTTATAATAGAAGAAAATCATGAAGTGGAGATATCACTATGAAATTTAATTTACTTGTAAATCAAGAATCGTTCTATTTCACTTTCATTGTCTACTGCATCAATTTGAAAGGAAGGACCGAAGCATGTAAACTCGACAAAGAAACGCGTAACTTCTAGAACGTTCGGAGAGTTTACGATCTTGCTTCGAAAGTTTTAATGTAATTATACGCAAACATCCTTTTAGGGTTTCGATTTTGGGGACTTTTGGAACTTTTCCTTTAACATAGTTGTCGCCTAAATAGAAAAGTTGTGAATAATTTAACAGAAACTTACAAAGATCTGACCTCAATACCAAATTCCATAAATATACAAAAATCATTCAAATATAATGTTTTTTATTCTATATTTTTTTTATAAATCGGTAGAATATCATAAGGTATACAACAGAAAGTGTGTTTATAATCAGAACAGGATATGCAAATACGGTTTATAGGAGGTCTAAATTGAAAACGATAGATTTTTTTTTATACTTTCCTTAAATGTATTTTATATCCTGCTATATTCACAAATATGATAAAAGTATGGATCAGGAGATTCACGAACACTTTCATGTAACATCATAATATTCACACTTACCAATGACGTAAATTAGTCCACATCCTAATATGGTGTTATACTTTCCTACAAAAGCGTCCGCCAAATATCCTCCGAAGATTGGTACAATAAACACCGAACCTGAAAAATTAGTAACATGTATTACAACAAATCCAAATGAAGTGGAACCAATCAAAAGATCCTTGACATTTTTTTAATAAGCAATATATTAGACATGATTATAGTGAACAAGGACCGTCTATACTCGTACATGACCTCTAGTACTAAAATAAAGTTTATTCCAAATGTCCACACCCAGAAGAGTAGTTAAACAGACAATTTATGTGTATCTTATATTAATCATTATGTTCAAAGATTATCAATATTCACCAAATGTTAGCCTTCAACATCTTCAAGAAAGGATCACGCCACAATTTCAAAATCGCTTTATAAGACTGAGTATCTGGATTTGGAGGTGTCTTTATTTTGGTATGCTTTATATTTTAGGAGGATTGTTCGCTAACCTTTATATTTAAGCGCTCCATCATTGTCTATTCTTTATGTTATCGGTCCATTTTTCCCTTTTCTTTATTTGTTTATCATATATTCTCTAATTTTTGACCGTTATTCTCTATCCGGTAAACCTTATCCAGACTCTCATTTATATAATCAAATTTTTTCAGCATTCACAACTCTCTAAAAATTATACCTTAAGTTTACTTCATGAAAATCATTTATATCCCGAATTATATATGTAACACATCCTTAACTGCCAATTTTGAACCAATGTTAAAACATGACCTTTTGGTAGTCACGTACAACTAACACTCTGGTTTTTTGAAAATCTTATTAAGCATAATTTTTATAATCATTTAGCACATCTACCCTAATGTTGTAATAGAGTTCAAAAACAAGCTCAAAATGGCCAATAGATATTTCTAATTTAGCAAAGGTTTCATTCAATGTAACATGTGTAAATTGTTTCAGTAGTTTCAAAAGCATCATTTTTGTCAGTGAAGGATAACTCTTTCATATGCTTTAAATGTGATTTGTTGAATTTGTGGTGTGACACCCTGAAAAGATGAAAAAAAAACCTGCCATTTTAAAGTAATTTTCATAGTCTAATAGCGGAAATTAGCTAAAGTGTAAGTCTTATTGATCAAAACACACCAATATTTATAAATGTGCAATAGGTGGACCTAAAAATAAATTTTGGTTAGGCATCTATTTATTTGATTTTTTAATTATCCTAAAACTATCTGGAAAATACTAAATCAGACTAACCCGAAAATATTAAACTGATCCTTGCTGCACCAGTCGAAGAAATATCAAGAGTAGATGTACAATACAATATCAAATTGGCTACCACACTGTAATACGTCAAACGTTCACATAATTCGGTCATCAAAATACATCCAACTATGAACAGCTTTTTCCTTGTAAAACGAGGTCTTCCCTCGAATGTACCGTATCCAGCTGAGTTAGGGTTTGCTTCAGCATTAACTTCACTACCTGCCAACAGCGGTTTGCTGGCATTATTTTCTACTGTGGATGTCATAATACCCTTTAGTGATGTGTTGTCTTTCTATCAGCATAAGATGGAGCGAATTTTCCAATTTAATAGCATGAGGATGTTGTACTGAATATTGTTATCACATGCTGAAATGGATGATTTAAGTCATGTTATCACTTAACATATTAATAAAAATAGATTTATGAAATCGCATTTCCTTGTTTAAGTTAAATGTACTCAGTTTCCGTAGTATTTTGTATTTAATTCAAACAATTCATATAAATGACTTATATATGATTTTCCTATTGACTGGTATTTTATTTCATTAAACGACGTTATCATTTTTTAGAATTTGATGTCGGATATATGTTTTGGGGCATAATAGTGTTTTTGTCAGAGGTTTCCTGTTCATACTAACATGTAATTGCGTCAAGGGGTCTCGTTGGCCGAATTTACATTTACTGTAATCTTCTTTTTTTGTATAAGCTTCCTACAGGACCACCTCTAATAATATAAGAGTATAAGGGTAATTTTATATAGGGGAAAAAACCCATCTAGTTTATTATTGTTGTTGTATGGTATTTCAATAAACTATCTATAGAATACGTTGTATTTTTTCCCCATGAATGTCAATTTAAAAAAGATATATATACAGTTTTGGCTTTTATTATGGTAAAATTTTACAAAATTATATTATTTACACTTGTGGTTGTTATATGTATATCAAAATCAATAGCTGGTTAAAAAAAAGACATAATTAAAATTTAATGAGATATAATGTTATCTTAAAGGGGCTTCGGTTGCCAAAAAAAAAATTAATAAGTCTTGAATTCTCGAAATAGTATACAATGATTAAAACTAAAATATCTCTTTTTTATTTATGAATATAAACAGAAACAAACAAATAAATAAAAAATAACTAATATCTAAATAACTCCTTGTCTGTCAGCTCTGCGGTTTTGAATTCGAATGCCGTTAATTGCGAGGTGTGTACTATAATAGGTCAATACTGCCTTTTTTACGCGTTTGTTAACTATCTCATCACGGGTTTTTCCTTCGCTCTTGCTCAGTGTGATTGTCGAATCTCTCAGTCATTTTGAGGTCAAAGCTTACGCATACGGAAGAGCTGTCGGAACATTATAGAACGGGAAGCGAATTGTTCAATAGCATGAAATTAATACAATGAAGAATTTTCTTATTCACATTTATATTCACGCCCTGGTGATAAATTTCGTAATCGCCTTTAACGTCGTAATTCCATGTCCGATGTGACATACAACAATACCGGTTTAAAATGAATTACATAACTATTTTACCTTCTAGTATTCAAATTTCGACGTCTCGAAGATAAGTAGAAAAGACAAGATGTTACAAGTTATATTCAATTTACTTCTTTGATTCAAGTGTTTGACTTTTGTTGTAAAGGTTTGTGTTTTAAAAGCTACTGTCATCTACACAAATTAGCTCTGGATTGGCATTCCACAAATTTTTAGTGCTTTATTTAAAATTTCGTTTCAAATTTTTTTAATTATATCAAGATATTAGAAATGTTTTGATATGGACATTGAGAAATGTAAAGATTTAGAGATTTTTGATAACTTTAGTGTTTACCCGTTACATAAGAAATCGGTGTTATAGCACAACATAAGAACACTCTGTAAATATCAGTTGGATAGGGTCTTGACTCTTCAGATCGACAAAAAAAAAAAAAAAAAAAAAAAAAAAAAAATTTCCATATGCTTCAAAAATTTAATATAAGTTCTCTTATTGTAACCAACCGGAATGTGTACACCCAATAAGAAGGAGCAGCAAATAGAACATCATCAATAACGAAAGTGAAGTAAAGAAAGTGAAATCTGCCCCGATTATAGATTTTGGTATGAAATAAAACCATTAACAAATCAACAATTATCATTGTCCTAAAATGCTACCCATAACGTTATACATTGTAATTGTTAATTGCATTAGGATATTCAAAACAAATTCTGAGTAATCTTTAACAAATATATCATGCACAAATCAACAGATACTGTTTAAACCTCGCAGTTGTGTTTAGTTGGATTTTAAAAATGTAATCCCATCAACGTCGAAAGTTATATGAATTCCCTCTCACGATGCCAGTCATTTTCACGTGCAACAATATAACGCCTCTGTGTTCTCATGGTACCGTGGTCGCCTCTAGTACTAAGGACCGTGTGTGCAATCCCCATTCGGATCAAACCAAAGACATAGAGATGTCTTTTTTACTGCATCTCCGCTAAGCATGCAACATTTAGGAGTAAAATAATAGGCTGGTCGGCACGAAGTAACAACAATGTGTTCAATAAAGGTGTGTTCCTGCGGAATATCACCTTGTGATCTTGCAAATCCGACTGCCCCTGTTGTTCTAGTACAAAGCAAGGTTGATTAATCATGACACATATGTTCTCATCCTGAATATGCCAATGTTACGTTAAGCATTTATCCCACTTGTTTCATTCAGAATAGTTTATTTGATTAAAAAAATTAATTCATAAATTATCAATTACAAGAATTTCAAGGCAGCTACAATCAGGACCATCCTGATTCATCGATAGACAATGTAAGGGCACTTATGTTTGGGTGATATATAGTGAGAGAAAAGAGGCGGAAGATGATCTGGCGGAAGATAGCAAGAGGACATTAAAAACTCATAGTCGAACTGAAAATATTATGCGGCAAAATAAGAGAGACGAAGAAAGAACAACCAAGTCTACAAAAATCTATATAGAATAATGAGCAACACGACTACCCCAACCAAAAAATGTTGATATGGTCTAAGGTGCTCCGGTAAGGTATCAGATATTGCGCAACAGGAGGCACCCGCCATGTTGCTCATGATAAGTACACATTTGATGATAAGTCGCATTCGGGGATGTCATAATCGGCGGAAAAAGACGGAATTTTAGTAACGACAATATGAACATATCCGTGGTCATCTGTGACACTGATATTTCCTAATGGTCCACCAACTCGTGATGGCGTCAGTAAATATAGATTTGGGAGATATATTACGCACATGCAGGCGTTGCTTGAATGTTGCTACATAGAAATTGCAAGTTCACAACCGGAAAACTGGAATTATCCCTTTTCTCGTAAAATTTTGTGATGAACCGAACCTCACTGTCAATTTCTAGATCTAAGTGGAGACCAGAGGAAGACTTAAAACTGTATCTGTTCGCTGATATCGAATATTTTCACCAAACTGTGAATCATTCAGAAAAGCGACATTATCTATATAGAGGAATGTGCAGTTGAAGGATAGTACTGGCTTCATTTGATACTTCATGAGAAGCTCTTGTATGAATTAATTCCCATACGAATAAAGGAACAAGTCGATAAGAAAAGGAGCACAGTTGGTTCTCATAGGATTGCCGATTGTTTGATGAAAAACACCTGCTTCGAACGTAACAAATATGTTGACCATAAGAAAATCAAGTATTTTGATGATATCAGTTTCAGAGATTTGTTTTAATCAGAGTCATACAAACACTTCCTTCTCTGTCGAAATAAGTGCTAAGTTTTTCGGTTACTGGATAATAGGGATCATCGTAAATATGTAACGGGAACAGTGTACACTGTCAAGAACTTCAAGTACTAAAAGATATATAAGTTACTGAAATATTTCATTTCGACTTGATTTTATCAAAGACCAATTTGAAAATTGGAAACTCTTATCATTTGACTCATTAAGTCCAATATTATGTCTGTTTATGAATTAATAAAAAAAAAATATTACTCAGATGGTCTCTCAGTGTTCTAAACAAATAGATGGAGGTATACGTCAATAAGACAGCAATCCAGCGACACATATATAAACCAAAAGATCTCAAAGGAGTAAAATACAGTCTTCAACAACAGACAGAGTGGTTTCAATGTGTTTATATATGGAATAGAAATTGTTTTATTGTTGCACTTTGTTGAATCAATAATATGCAATTGGTCTACCAATATTGTCGTCTATTCATATTTACATGCATGTATTGGTCATTAGCAGGTTATAATTGACTTTGATCTTAAGACATTTTTTTATCTGATTTATATCTGCATTGCCCTTACTGAAGAAGGCATATACATATTTGGTCATATACGTTAAATACTGGTACCTTTATCCTAATGATCCCTAATGTGATAGCAGTTAAGAGACAATAAGGTTATCAAGCAAACACTTTAAAAATCTGCAAAATGAAGCATAACAAGCACACTTAATAGGCTTTCGCACTTGAGCAGGTCACATATTTAAACTTAAGCAATTACCATCGCACTTTAGCGTATTAGACCATCAGACTAAAGGAAATCAGGTACAAAAACATCACCATAGCACTTTAAATACTTTATTGACAACCATCATTTTAGCTACACAATACGCATTTCCCCTTCAGATTGATGTTAGAGCATTCTGTAATAACGTTATATCTGAATTAAGGTTTCTTTTTGTTGATTTTTTTCAAACTCTCTGATTGTGACATTTTGATTAAAACTTTTAATTCTTACATAACTTAAATGAAAACCGTATGGTCTGTTAATTTACTGTTTGTGTCTTATTCCCAATTGTGAAATATTTACTGAGATTAAATTCGCATGGCGGGAGATGCATGTTCAGCTAGAGACGGTTACCCTGTCGACGCACCGGTCTCGGTCCTTTTGAAATTCAAGCGGTTCCCTCACTTTTTGTTTCCTTTAACCTTGATTTGTATCTGCTTAATGAATTTATGAGATTTGAACATCGGTAAACTACTGGTGCCTTATAATTAAGTAATGAATGAAAACGTTCAAAGAAATAAATTCCATGTATTACAATGTAGCAGCGAATGTAACAGTTGTGTTGTATGTCTGTGATATAGGTTAACACATGTTTGACTGCTGGATCCCAATTATTGCCACATTAACCTATTATATAGATATATGAAGATGTGGTATGAGTGCCAATGAGACAACTCTCCATCCAAGTCAAAATTCATAAAAGTAAACCATTATAGGTCAAAGTACGGTCTTCAACACGGAGCCTTGGCTCACACCGAACAGCAAGCTATAAAGAGCCCCAAAAATTGCTAGTGTCAAACCATTCAAACGGGAAAACCAACGGTCTAATCTATATAAAAAACGAGAAACACTTATGTCTGTTTGAGTTGCTCACCCAATTTTGTCAATATAACGAAACTATAAACAACTGTCATAGAGGGTGGGAAGTTTAGCTAGCTATAAAACCCTGTTTAAACCTACATTTCCTTCGGAAAAATGCCCGTACCAAGTCAGGAATATCGCAGATGTTTTTCACTTGTTCCGTTGATTGAAAGCGTTTAATTTTGTCAGTTTTTATTGAATTTTTGAATTTGCCTTGGAGTTCGGCATTTTTGTTATTCTTTACTACTCTTCATATATTGTGGGATCGAATATTAAATTGATTATAACAGATGTGTATCGTCAGGTAATGTAAACAATACATAAAACAAAACAAAAAACGCTTTAAGTCCTGACAACTTACCAGTATAGGATATTGTAGTAGTTATGTCATTTTCACTTATGTACATACAAAAAACTAACATCGCTATATGATAATGTGTATAGTCCACGCTAGGCTCGAGTCGGTGGTATTCGCAGTCTCTTCGTTTAAAAATATTTTAAAAGTAATAAGATAGAAACAAATAACCCGATGATCGCCTTAAAAAAGTGTAGACTGTTGCATGCCAAAAAAAAAAAAAAAAAAAAAAGGAGACATGTCACACATGTGTATTATTGATACGAAATGAAGTTTAATACAGTAAAATATAAGATATTATACAGGACAAAACTAAATTGAGCGAAGACGATATTGCATTTAAATTTTATAAACTGACGAGCAAATCATTCGAGGGATGCAAATTATGTTCAATACGATTTAAGTGAAGAAAACATCAGTTTGGCTAAGTAGCCTTTTCATTAATAGTGGCATATCAATTCATTCAGTATCGACCATTTATACACATTTCAAAATAAAACTGTTATTGGACAAAAACAAATGAGAATAGTTGTTACAATCTGACAATAAAACGATACAATTAAAATCCTTTAAAAGCAGCATGGAAGATTAAGTATCATTGTTAATGGATAAAAGTATAATCATTTTTGCAAAATTATTCTCTATTGTTGGTCATTGAATTATGTATGTGCATATGCACGAGAAAAATATTGATAAATCATGAACATTCAGTACACCTTGTAATCAATTTGAATCGATGAGTTCTTTCATAAAAAAAAAGAACCCAGCTAATTGCTTTTGGTGATTCTCTTCCTGTATATCACTCTAATTTTTTTTTTAATTTCCATTATGGTTCGGTTTAGTCTACTTGTTATTTTCAATCTTTTATATATTTATCTATAGTCGATGCATAATCAAGATTGAATATTGGGCCAATAAGAAAAATCTGTATAACATCGATGAATATTGGTATGATAGAAAATAAGACTTTATGAATTTGGTGAAGGATTTCTTGGTAAGCTTCATCACAAACGCTGAAACCCCAAAATTTGAAAACCAAGGTTGTATAAGTACTTGAATCTGTGAGAACTTTATGACCAACATGAACCTAATAAGGATCAATAAGATAAGCCAAGTCCACATTTACCTGAGTGAGTTGGAACGTTAGTTTCTTAATGATTTTCAAATTTATCAACGGAGAATTTAAGAACGGCATGTTATCAATCATGTCTTTACCACAGAACTGAAATGAATAATACCATGTCTTATAGTACGTGTGCCTGCCATATGTTTATCTAGACCGTTAGTTGCAGTTTAAAAAAACTGGCACATACCTAGCCTTTGTTGGCGATCAATACGTCAATATACATCTTAACAATTACATGCGTAACAGTTAGAACGGTATATTGTTTCATAAAAATAAACAAATGTATTGTAATTAAAAAAAAGGAAACACATTTGTCATTTACGCGATAACAGTTTTAATTACATTTCTGTTGTTATGTTCTGCTCCTTGTTGTCGTATTTCACCACTACATGTTGAGGTACTGTTATTTCAACATTTTCATTGATGACACAGTTTTTATCTTGTGTTGATTCTGAAATCTCAGCCTCATCTTTGTCTAGTTTTCGGTATTTGTAAAAGTATGCAACAACGACAAACAACACAAAGTCAACTAACATTAAAATCCCTAATAAAAAGAAAAGGTATTCCGTCTTGCCATCATTTATTTCATCTGGAAACCAAGAATCTGAAGAAAATCATAATATGCTAATTATATAACATGATGAAATGAAAGTAATAAAAAATCTAATCACAGTTAAGACGAAAAAAAAGCTGCTTCTATTTGTAGACAGCAAACGATCAAGTTGACTGATATTTTAGTCTTAGATACATGATTTTTTTATTAGTAGTTTTTGGCTTTTAACTAGCTGTCAGTATCTGAAAGTACTCTCAGATCTGTACTTAGTGTCCTTTTTGTTGTTAGGGATGAGGGATGGATATAAACCCTGCCACGTCCGGTCTGTGTTTATGTTTGATCCTTTCCTGCTTTGTATCGATCTGATGAGTTAAGCCTTTTTCAACTGATTTTTATAGTTTGTTCTTATGTTGTGCTGTTAAAACACCACTGTCCCAGGTTAGGTGGATGGTTGGACGCTCACAAACATGTTTAACCCCGCCACATTCTTTATGTGCCTGTCCCAAGTCAGGAGCCTGTAGTTCAGTGGTTGTCGTTGGTTCATGTCTGTCATATTTGTTTTTCGTAAATTGTTTCGTAATAAATTAGGCCGTTAGTTTTCTCAATTGATTAGTTTCATATTTTTCATGTCGGGGACTTTTATAGCCGACTATACGGTACGGGTATTTCTCATTGTTGAAGGCCGTACGGTTGCCTGTAATTGCTTACATCCACTTTATTTGAACTTTGGTGGATAATTGTCTCATTGGCAATCGTACCTCATTTCCTTATTTTTATCTTATTGTTCATATATATTCTACTAGTATCTTGCACAACAAATGTTTTTATCCTTTCATATTTCGTCTTCTTCGTACCTAGTAAGTGTTAGAGTTAATAGAATCCCTTGGAAAAGTTTTCGGATGCCGTCACGTGTTGGTTGACTATAATGGAATATATGTGTAACAGTGGACGATGGATATGTTCCAATGGTCGTAACAACAGTCCAGTTCTTTTTCTTCGAATATTACATCTCCAAATGAGACTTGTTACAGAATTTGTACAAACACGAGGAACACGATGGGTGGAGCAGGATGTGCTTACCGTTCTGGAGCACCTGAGACCATCCCAAGCTTTTGGTGGGATTTGTGTTGGTCAGTCTTTGACGTCATCTTTGTTGTGTTTTGTGGACAGCTATTTATCTTTTCGTTGTTTTTCTTTTTTTGCCATGGCGTTGCCAGTTTGTCTTCGACCTTTGAGTTTGAATATGCCTTTGATATCCTCCACCTCTCTTTTATAATAAAAACATTTTTTCCACGATTTACGTTTATTGCTCTACATACTGAAATGTTTTATTGTAAATGAAATATCATGCTTCGCTTTCTCAGATTTTTGCCTGCACATTAACCAGAAAGTTGACCCCAAAACGAATATAGAGTAAAATTCGTTTTAATAATTCTGGTAGCTCACGATAGATCAAAGATACCGGAAAGACATTATTTGCATAAATGAACGAACTTTCATATGTTTAAATTTATTGGTAAAGTGAATTGGCTGATTGTAGGAAATGATTTTATGATTAAACTTGCAGTAGATATTATACTTCTTCTACATTACGGTGAGTCTTTACAATGATACGTGGTGCAAGTTTATATGTTGTATAGCTCGTTTCTTCCCTTTTACTGATACAAAAGGAGTGAGCCATATTACTTTATGCGATTAGGCGATTACTTTTATTTACAGACAGGCAAACCATGAATTTGACTCCTTGAAATTATAATATTGTCCAATCAACATTGTCATTAAAAGCAAATTGCATCAGAGTTGTTATGGTTATAATCCTTGTTTTTTTCTTTGTTTACTGCCCGAAAGAAAATAATAAATGCACACGACTACCCATTCGGGTTTGTATACGTCTGTCCTCCACATACAAGGCATTTCGTTTATGTGATTCGAAATTTACCGTTCGAAAGTTGCCCTCTTTTCTAAATGTGTTGCCGCTCATTGAATGAGAACTCATTATCGTTAAAAAAACTTTGTGTTATTCTGGTCACAAGATCACACAGTTATTGATTTATTCAATTCATGGTGTTTTTAACTTTTACGTAGTATACTAGATTTACCTGGAGGGTTGGATCCTGTCAAAGCAACTACAATTTCTAGAATCAATTCAGCTACATAACCACCAATTCCAGAGGTCGCCAAAAATAATCCCATACAAACTCCCTGCATAAACTCTGGTGCTTGAGAATATGCAAATTCCAACCCTGTTGATTTATATTAATTGATTGCTTTTACGTTTCAAAGTTAACATATATGCAAAACGTTAAGAGATAATTACAGTTACAAAGTAAAATAAAACAAATTTACAACGCCAAAGTGATACCTCCGTCGAAACTGCGAAGTCTGAAAAGAAGTCTGAGAAAAACGACGCATTTATCCGAACTTTGGTGATTGGTTTGTTTTGTTATGTACTCAAATATTTTTGTGTATTCCTTATATCCTTTTTGTCTATTTTATAACAGTTTTTCTTTCGGAGTTGTCAATAAAATTTTGTAGAGTGGGAGGGGCTTGATATCTAAATCTTACATTTTGTCATGTGAAAACTAGAAAATAGTTTTGTTTAAAAAATTTCTAAGACGGGAAGTTTATCCAAAGTACTATCTCATATTTTTGTAATACATGATTTCCAAATGTATGTATTTATCTTCATTAGAAACGCTTAGAGCCAAAATATCGACAGTCATATTACAATTTGGGCTACTGGAATAGTAAATACTATCAACTTTCGAAGTAGCAATCTTAGAATATGTGAATTTACAACAGGACCTGCTTACCCTTCCAGAGCACCTGAGTTCATCCCTAATTTTGTTTTAAAGGGGTTTTATTCTATTGTCAATGACTGTGCTGTTTCTACAGGTAAAAGTCTTGTTCGTCCTTTGTCTTGAAAAACCTGTACCGATGGTTTTTGTATTTGGTGATGACTTAGGATTATAAAAGGGACATTTATCAATACGCTTTGTAACGTGTATCCCTGATATGGTATTATCAAGTCATGCGTCAGTTTTTTTGTTGTTGTAATTTATATCGTTATTAAATGAATAACTTTTATGGAAATTATTGAATCCTTAGCTATCACGAAGATCGAAATTGAAAAGTTAAGTGTTGATAAACTAGTTAGATCTCATTATTCATTGACATAGACAAATCAAAGATGTACAGGCACTTGTTGAAGACCGTAAGTTGACTTAAAGATATCTTTTTCGTACCGTTGAATTTATGTTCATTGGTATATACCTTTTGCCTATATCATCCATTCCCAATATTTTGTAAAGTTTTTTTCAATTTGATATCCTAGTTTGGACCACAACACGACGGGTGACCGATGTGAAGATCTACTTTCCTTTACAGAGCACCTGAGATATAACCCCCGGTTTCTGGTGGGGTTTGTGTTGCGCAGTCTTTGGTTTTCTATGTTGTGTTTTGTAGACTGCTGTTTGTCTTTTCGTCGTATTTCGGTTTTTGCCATGGAGTTGTCATTTCGTCTTCGACTTATAAGTTGGAATATCCATTTAGTATCTTCCGTATATCTTTTTCTACTTACAAATTACCTTTGAGCGTCAGTACTACTTTACGTGTGAATCGATTCAAATTTGCAACGCTTATTTTTCACTATTTTCAACAATAAATGTAATATGCTTTAAAGCGTTCTGAAGCATTTTAGTGTTTTGAAGCATCCTTATGAGCTAGGTCAGCAAAATACCTTATAACAAGACAAAGAAAAGATGCAAACAAACAATTTAAAAACAAAATCTTGAATTTGAGGATAACACAATAAACATTAGTTGTTTCAACACTATACGACAGGGGAAAGATGTAGGCATTCAAAGGGGCGATGTTAATTCAGTCCTTAAGAATGAAATAACACATTCAGCTACATTCAAGGCCGTACGCTCCACAGAAAGTCGTATAGTAAATAATCATGGCACTACCACAGCTCAGCTTAAGGCCTCCTCTGAACATGTGGAGGTCTCAGGTCACTATGTATTGGTTACCTAAGCTACACAAAAAAACCCCGTAAAATATCGTTTCATCTCGGCCTCTAGTAAGTGTTCTACTACTTATATTTCTGTGCTTTTAACGAGTTCCTTAACTACTATCAAAGAACTTATCATAAATTTTTGTAATAAAAACATATGAAAATAGTCGAATTAACCATTTTTGGAGTATACAAAATTAAATAGTGGAATTAACCATTTTTGGAGTATAAAATTTTTTTGGATGTTTTAGATAGATTACGTGCTTTTGACGGCCCTTTAGATTCGGTTGACAGTTTAGACTTTTCCACTCATTATACTACACTTCCACACAATCGTATCAAACAAAAGTTTTTCTATTCAGTTAAATGATCGTTTGATAAATCTGATTGCAAATTTATTTGCTGCAACTCATTAAAAATATAAATAAGAATATGTGGTATGGGTGCCAATGAGACAAACTCTCCATCCAAGTCACAATGTATAAAAAGTTAACAATTATAGGTCGAAGTACGGCCGTCAACACGGATCCTTGGCTCACACCGAACAGCAAGCTATAAAGGGCACCAAAATGACTAGTGTAAAACAATTCAAACAGGAAAACCACCGGTCTAATCTATATAAAAAACGAGAAACGAGAAACACCTATGAACAACACCAACAAACGACAACCACTGAACAATAGGCTCCAGCCTTTTTCTCAAATGAGAAAGGTAAATATGCTAGATATACTTACTGGAGGTGTGTTTAGATGTTTAAAGCCGTAAAGTTTTCCTTGACAACATTTATGTACGTTTCGGCAATAAAGTTTATCTACAGGTTGTAAGTATTACTATAGGCACCAATTGTGCCCCTTTAATAGCAGAATTATTCCTTTAAAGTTATGAATCACAGTTTAAGGCCAAACTCAGTAAAGAACCGTCTAAATTCCATTTAATTGATAAATTCAACAACACTTACCGTTATCTTGATGATATTTTTTCGTTAAATAATAAAAAATTCTCTTAATATACTGCAGAAATTTAACCCAAAAAACTTACTTTAAATGAATCAAGTTTTAAACAGCAATAACTGTCCTTTCCCAGATTTAGATATTTCAGTGTTACACCAGAAACTCTGCACAAAAAATTACGACAAAAGGGATGAGTTTTCTTTCCCTATTGTCAAGTTTCCTTTTTTGGACGGTGGTGTTCCTTTGGCACCGTCTTACGGTGTGTTTATATATCCGAACTCGTTCGCTATGCATAGTCTGTAGTGACGTTTTGGATTTCAATGAGCGTAATCTATGTATTACTAGTAAATTATTAAGTCAGGGATTTCGTTACCACAAATTACTCAATACCTTTACTAAATTCTTCCATGGATACACAGATTTGGTTTTTCAAGTTTGGCTTTAAATAAACTTATTCGAAAAGGTTACCAATTCAACACTGTAACTAAATCTTTGAATATTGTTTTATTGATATAAATATTTATTTTGTTATCAGTAAATTAAAACCATACTCAATATTATCGTTACACACATATGTACTTTCACGGTACTACAATCTGTCGATATCTATATTTTGGCATTGCACAAAGTAATTTACACTATATCCATTGGATGTTGGATGTGTACTAACTGAAATTTTAGTCTTAGATACATGAATTTTTTTGTTAGTTGTTATTGGCTTTGAACTAAACTGCTTGTCAGTAAATGCGAGTGCTCTCAGATCTATACTTGGTGTCTTTTTTGTTGTTAGGGATGAGGTGTGGATAAATACCCTGTCACGTCCGGTCTATGTTTTTGTTTGATGTCTTTCTGCTTTGTATCGATCTGATGAGTTAAGCCTTTTCAACTGATTTTTATAGTTTGTTCTTATGTTGTGCTGTTACACCACTGTTCCAGGTTAGGAGAGGGTTGATCGCTCACAAACATGTTTAACCCGGCCACATTTTTTATGTGCCTGTTCCAAGTCAGGAGTCTGTAGTTCATTGGTTGTCGTTGGTTCATGTCTGTCATATTTAGTTTTCGTAAATTGTTTCGTTATAAATTAGGCCGTTAGTTTTCTCAGTTGAAGTGTTTTATATTTTTCATGTCGGGGCCTTTTATAGCCGACTATAAGGTATGAGTTTTTCTCATGATTGTTGAAGGCTGTACGGTTGCCTATAATTGCTTACATCCACTTCATTTGAACTTTGATGGATAATTGTCTCATTGGCAATCATACCACATTTTATTTTTATATTTTATATTGAGAAGATCAAATCAAGTTAACTAACAAAAATTGAGGCAATCGAAGGAAATCAAAATGGGGAGAGACCTGTCGCGTCGATAGAGTAAGCGGTTCCTGCTATGCATGCTTCCCTCGCCATGCGAATCCTTGCTCAGTAAACATGTCACAATCGAGAATAAGACACAATATTTGCATATCGTAGGATGCCAGTATGTTAAAGTTTAAAAATGTTTGTTCCCAATTGTGCTTTTTTACAAGTATTTCCAAGATAAGAACAATAATATGAACATAATTACCTGATATACTTGTAAACACTTCACTTGCTCCAATTAGAGTAAATTGTGGTATCTGTGCAAATACTGATATAGATGACGCATTAAATGTATCACCACCAAGTGTTTGGCCTATAATACTAATGTCTTTCTTTCTATAAATTTCCAAAATGCCCGCCACAAATACGGACATTGCAGCCAAAATCATTCCAATTCCTGAAAAATGTTTAGAATATATATTAAACCAATTAAAGATAACAGGCTGATAATTATGTACGCCATACGAGCGTTTAGTCTACAAAAGACTAATCAGTGATGCCAAAAAAAAAGTACGAATTTGAAAGGCATTGAAGATCAAATATTTCGAAAGGTTTTGCCAATCATCAGAATAAACACATGATAGCAATACTTTTGTTTAAGAGCTTAAATTCTTTTTATACCACAGTCGGAAATCTTTATTGCGTATTTATACTTGCCCTTTGCATACGTAATTTCCGGTCAAGTTATCAGTTTTACACCAGAAACTCCACACAAAAATTTACGACAAATGGAATGATTTTTCTTTCTCTATTGTTAATTTTCCTTTATGGACGGTGCTGTTCCTCTGGTACCATCTTACGGTGTTTATATATCCCAACTCGTTCGTTATGCCCGTGTCTGTAGTGACGTTTTAGATTTCAATGAGCGTAATCTATGTACAGTGGGATATCCAGTGAACGAAAACAAAAGAAAATTCACTCTTCTTATGATAGAGTCGAGAAAGTCAATAATAAAACGATACCGGTGACGATACTGATCAGAAGTTATTTCTAAATAATAATTGTACATTTTAAAGAATTATTTGTGAAACTGTGTTATTAGAAATATACATGCAAATACACGATGTTTTATGTTCAGTATTTATCGAGATAATTGCATTAGAAGCTTGTGAAACTGAGACTTTAAAAAATGCCAATCTTTGCTGCATATTGATAAAAAAAAATTGGAAAAAATCATGTACATACAAAATCGAAAGATCTTTCGGGTCACCAATTTTCGGAGTGTTCCAAAAAGTCCTTAGCATGTTACAATTTCCCAAAGTATGATTATTTTTTCACATCTAAGTTATCGAGCACACCGGTCTGCTCTTGTCACATGTACATTCAATAGAGAAATATTGTCTTTTCGTGAATATAAAAAATTAAAAGTATGTTTGTGCAGGTTAAAAAAATAAAGATAACTATTTTTATAAAGCAGGTATCTTCCTAATATTTTGTATACAATTTTAAGAAAAGGTCGTCTCGAGTTTTTTACAAGTATTTGCGGTCTTCTCGATCTATTCACATTCAATGTTTACATCGAGATAAGGTCTGTTTGAATCTGCTTAGTAACTTAATTTCAAAAGTGCCAATCTTTGCTGCATATCAATCGATTCCTTTGGAATTTTTTCCCTGACTTTCTCTGATCTAGCTGTATATCTATACGAATAATTAGCATGTTCCAGAGAGGTATATAGACAGTAAAAAAATAAATACTCCAGGAATTTATTCGCATAGCAACATTTTAAACCAATTTTACATCAAGCTTCTGTAGCCTGCTGTACTCGTCGTTTGCTACTTAAGGAGGAAAATGATAACATTGAGTGGAAGTTTTGTTTTTATTTCAACTTATTTCTATTTTTACTATTTACCAGAACGTTTTTCCGTGAATCCATAATTGATAGCGTCCTTGCTAAAATTGGACAAACATTGAGAAGATCTAGTTTTCAGTGTTTACAGGGGAGGTAATATTTTGTCACTAGATTTCCCACTGTGTATTACTGATAAATTATTAAGTCAGAGATTTCGTTACCACAAAGTACTTAACACCTTTACTAAATTCTTCCATAGATACAAAGATTTGGTTTGCAAGTTTGGCTGTACCTGTAAAAAAACTCATTTCAGACGGAATAGCACATCCTAAATTTTACGGTGATGTTGTTTACCGAGCCCGGAAATTTATATACCATCATTCAACACTGCAATTAGATCTTTGAATATCGTTCTTATTTGTATAAATTTTGATTTTGTTATCAGTAAATTAAAAAGTAAAATAACAACAATATCGAACTCCAAGGAAAAATTCAAAACGGAAGTACCCTTATCAAATGGCAAAATCAAAAGCTCAAACACATCAACGAATGGAAAACAACTGTCATATTCCTGACTTTGTACAGGATTTCCTTTTGTAGAAAATGATGGATAAACCTGATTTTAAAGCTAGCTAAACCTCTCACTTGTATGACAGTCGTATAAAATTCCATTATATTGACAACAATGTGTGAACAAAATAAACAGACATAATAGGAAAACATGTCAAAAATAGGGGTCAACAAAGAAAAACATAATGGCATATAGACAAAGCACATAAGCACAAATGAAAGACAAGAATATAAAAATGACCATAGCACAATTACACAATGGCGGGATGTATAAGTACCGAGCCACGCCAAAAGGATATTGCCAAAAAAAAAAAATTGGACTAAACAGTAAAGGTTAATAATTAACAAAGACATACTAAATAGTTTTGTTATACACATACGCACTTTATGTACTACAATCTGTTGATACCTTTATTTTGACATTGCACAAGGTCATGTTTTTCTCTGACTGTTAATGACGTCTTTACACTAAATCCATTGGATGTTGGATGTGTACTAATTGATTTTTTAGTCTTAGATACATGATTTTTTAGTTGTTATTGGCTTTGATCTAGCTGTCAGTAACTGCGAGTACTCTCAGATCTGTACGTAGTGTCCTTTTTGTTGTTAGGGATGAGGGATGGATAAATACCCTGCCACGTTCGGTCTATGTTTTTGTTTGATGTTTTTCTGCTTTGTATCGATCTGATGAGTTAAGCCTTTTTCAACTGATTTTTATAGTTTGTTCTTATGTTGTGCTATTACACCACTGTTTCAGGTGAGGGGATGGGTTGAGCGCTCTCAAACATGTTAAACCCCGCCACATTCTTTATGTGCCTGTTCCAAGTCAGGAGCCTGTAGTTCAGTGGTTGTCGTTGGTTCATGTCTGTCATATTTGTTTTTCGTAAATTGTTTTGTTATAAATTAGACCGTTAGTTTTCTCAGTTGAATTGTTTCATATTTTTCATGTTTGGGCCTTTTATAGGCTACTATACGGGATGAATTTTTCTCATTGTTGAAGGCCGTACGGTTGCCTGTAATTGCTTACATCCACTTTATTTGAACTTTGGTTGATAGTTGTCTCATTGGCAATCATACCACATCTCCTTATTTTTATATCATATATATTGATATTCCATGCCAATGATTGTCCTAATGTTTGTTCCTTTTGATATGAGATCGTCAGGCTATTCATGACAAAGTTGTTAGATTTTTTTGCGCAGACAGCTTTTTTCTTTAATGTGCAGACGTGGCTTGATCGACATCTACCAAAACTACTAATTAAGCAGATGTTAGTGACAGTCTTGATATTTAAGTGAGGTATTAGTTTTGGTTCATGCTGAAGGCCTCATTGTGACATTGAGACGAAAAACTATCAATTTAAGCTCCTAACCTGTAATTTTTTCTAATAGGTATGGTTTTGCAGTTTGAAGATTGGAGATTATACTATTCTATAAACTTAATATTTCATTTTTCAAAGTTCTAGGTGTCATTATTAATTTGTTTTAACTTTGTATAACAGATATGCCTTATGCCTTCACATTTAGTATTTTAAGAATTTTGTATTTTAAGAAAACTGAAAAACTGTCAGAACTGCTAAAGCTTTTGAAACATTTTATCCCTTTATAATATTTTGGTTTGAGTGAAATATCTTTTTTAGAAAAGGCTATTTCTCTTGTTTAAGAACAGCAAAAACATGTATAAAATAGATATGTTTATGACGTCACAGGCTATACGACCCAACGAAGTCAATTATATAATATTGAAAAACATCTGAAAACACTAATTTTTTCTTCTTCTTGTTCATTTTCAGTTCCAAATAACAGCTTTCATGAAGCCCGTTTCAAAACTAACACGACGAGAGCTCAGTTTTTAATGACTTTGTCTAGTTTACAAAAGTACATATGTAGTTAAATATGTAAAATCTATATATTCACATATATAATGTTATCTTACCCATTCTTTGTAGATTTGAAGGTGATCTATGGATCCTTTCTAGAAATGGATACACAAACGATTCCATTATAGGTATTAACGCTATTATAATGATAGTGTCAAAAATATTAAGCACTGCAACAGGTACATTGCCTGATCCTACTTTAATGTCCATTCTTTCACTTTGCAAGAAAAATGTTGTACTCATCTGCAAAAAATATCCACAATTATGATAACTGCATATTAAAATAAATAAGGCAGTGATTGATACCACTGGTAACTGGAAAAAAAATCGAAAGAAACTAAATTATAGATACTTAATGTAATTTCCAAGTACTACATTTATAATGTTATGGGCGTTTTTTGCCTGACTCTACCTTTATATTCTTCATTCAACTTTAAAATGACAGAGCATATTGTGCTTTTTAAACTCGTTGAACTGCATCTGTGTACATAAAAAATAGAAAACGTTTCAATTTTTTTTATTGTTGTGGAACAAATCTAAAAAAGTATGTCCAACATTTGTTTAGAAATTTTATGTCATAGCTTTGAACATTGAGGATTAATACTAAGTAATACTAACATAATATAGGATCATCAGGGTAATTTTTTCAGTTAAATGTTCTATGGAAGCATGTGTTTCGCTTATAATTGCTGCTATCCTTGTGAAAGTGTAATGTTGACATCCAAAACGAAGTCTTATTTCAGGTAAGTACGGAATTACGGCAACAATAGTCTAATCTCAAAATACGTACAGCAATATAATTTTTTAACAAAATGCGTGGAAGAAATATAGAAAAATCTAAATTTAAAGTATTTGCCGCTTTTACGTACATTCTATAGATTAATAGATGTAAACACATTTTTAATTGATTCATCTCTCGAAATTCAAATGTTTATTGTATCAATTTCTTTGATTTTCGAATGCAACTTACTATTGTTTGTCTGTTGGTCTTTTTCTTTTTTAGCCTTGGCGTTGTCAGTTTATTATCGACTTATGAGTTTGAATGTCCCTTTGGTATCTTTCGCCTCTCTCTTTAACAAAAAAAGTATAACAAAAATACCGAACTGAACGGTAAATTCAAAAAGGGAAAAGTTTATAAAAACTGACAAAAGCAAACGTTATCAACCAAAGGAACGAACGAGTGATCTCATTCATCAACATCACATCTTGTTAAACTGTTATCTCTTGTTATTATGCAGATAAAGATTGCACTAATTATGTTGGAATTGGGGTCAATATGCGTTATACATTTCAAGACAACGGAAATTCAATTTCGTCAATCCCTTTGTCCATATCGTAAACTTAGATAAATAGGGAATTTTTAACAACATGGTTCTTCCTTTAGAGAACTTGTGAGATTAAATATTCTGTAATTAAGTGAAAGTTGAAGAACAAATAGTATTATGACATTTTAGATTAAAAATTCAAATTCGACAATGAAACTCTAAGACAAATTCAGTATAAGAAATAATCATTTCTGAAAAGAACTCTACCTGTGCATAAATTGCCCAGTACATAATGACGAATAAAAATACGGGTAGAATACGCAGAACAGCTATAACACCGTCTACCATCTCATTACTGTATTTGCCACCATTGTTGTTTCTGGCGTTGTTGAAACCCTTACATTTTGTAGCACAACATACACCTATGGTATCCTGGAGAACACTGCCTAAACAAAACAAAGAAACTAAATTATAGATACTTAATGTAATTTCCAAGTACTACATTTATAATGTTATGGGAGATTTGTTCAGGTGGAATTATGTCCCAGGTCCTTTTTCCAATTGAGCTTTTGTTTAGGATTTCTTTTGTTGGTGAGGGTTTTTGTTCTGCTACCATGAAGGATATTCTTTGTATTGCAGAACATTCCTAAAATACAAAGTGTAAAATACATGTTTGTTTATCCTGAGAGATATTCCCTTATAAGACATAAATGATGAATATGTTTTTGTGTTGAAGAATATTGTCATATATAGCGTGCACAGATAAATTATTTGCTTTTCATTGAGAAATCTGCCTCCATACAACACGTTCATCTAAATAAATGTTTATCACGTGAAACACTTCGTCTGTTCAGCGTGCATAATGAGTTAGTTAAGTTCTGACTCTTTTATTTTTAACCTGAGGACTTTTCCCTGATAAGGATTATCAAAAACTTAAGGATAGGTCATACATTATAAAAGATCATACGATAAATGCAAAAAAGGTGATCGTAAAAATGATGTCTTGTTTAACAGCAACATCGGTGCACATTTGAGTTACTAAATACAGGAATGCTTAAATCTGCAATTCAGTCTACGTCGATAAAAGAAAACTTTTCAAAAATACCTAACTTATAATTTGGTAACTGGGACGCGCGTTTAGGCAACATAAGACTCACCAAAGGCACGAATATTGTCCACACCAGACTCATTAATTGCGTTCAAATAAAACAATTGAAAGGTCAAATCAAATATGAAGTTGAAGAGCATTGTAAACAAAAAACTAAAAATCCGAAAGTTGTGCAACATGCAATTGTCATAAATATGTCTAGAGGCAGAAAAACCTTAGTGTTTCCAATAATCTCATAATTTTATAACCATGTAAAACTTGATAGAACATGATAAAATCAGCGTTTATGTATACACTTTTAGAAAAAAAAACTAAAACTTCATAACGGGGATCACCATAGAAATGCGCTCCTTTCAAGAACATTACGTGTTTTGGTGTGTTTCGATTTTGTTTTTAGTGTAGTTTGTTGTTTTTTTTCATTTTTCTCGTGGTGTTTTCTGTCTGTCTTAGACTTAGGTGTTCTGATTGCTCGCTTTTGATCTTTTTAATTCCTTTTTCTATTTTTCACTAGCCATTGTTTCGTCACTGGCTTGAATTAAAAAATGATGCATTTTGCTTGTAAATTTCAAGCTTATGAAGTACGTAATTGTAAAAGAATATTGTTGTTACCTCCTGCAGGTGAAGAATTGTACTTTGATTTATTTATTACGAAAATAGCAAGTGCTATTATCATGCTTATTAATGGTATGAGAAAACCAACATCGAATCCAACGTCCTGTTGTACGGCTGCCACTCCGGAGTAGGCAATTATAGCACCTACATTGATAAACCAATAAAACCTGTAATAAAGTATAGAATATGATAAATATATCTAGTGTAACTTAAGTACTTTTATAATCGACTTCCAAGCATATTTGTCAAAACAGGTCTACTGCTATTGCTAAATAATTTGCGCTTTTTGAGATTAATATCAATTTACATTTTTATTTTCATTGTTTGAAACATAATTAAATCGATTCAGATATATATAAAATAAGGAGATGTGGTACTATTGCAAATGAGACAGCTATTCCAATGACGTGGAGTTATGCAACTATAGGTCTACATACGGTCTTTAACTTTAACATTGAACAAAACTCATACCATATAGTCAGCTATGAAAGACCACAAATTAACAACACGTAAAAAAATTCAAACGAAAAACCAATGGCCTGATTTATGACAAAACAATTAACGATTTTAAGTCAGATTTGTTCTTTTCTATATCAAAAATCACTATGAAAGTTTACTCTGGAGATTGCATAAGATCGTCTTTCTTTACATACTTTGCTGTATGAACCTATGTAAAAGTACAGTCACCGATATACGAGTGTGAAATAAATTGTATCAGGAAGTATCATTTACTATAACATATTGATCTTGACATCAAAGATAATATGATATATCTACTTCATATCTAGATCTTATTTTGAAACAAACACAGATCTACGACTTAAAAAAATAGATATGGCAAACGTGACAATTCTAGTTGACAATTTCCCATTCATCAGTAGTATCATATTATCTATCCCAATCGTTTTGCGTTATCGATCTCGAGTGATACGTTTCGCGCATGCATGTCATGTTCTTATACGTTCGGTGGTTGATGACCATTTGTCAGGCTTTAGATGTCTTGTGAAATTATGTTGTGTTTGTGAATTCTATCGCACTGACGTATACCCGACATTTCTTTTTGCTTATATTTTAAGTAACGACAATCTTTAATGCATCGAACCACTAATTCTTCAACAGTGATTACAGATTAGCATTAAAAAGATTTGGATGTGTACTGATTGATACTTTGTGTTTTTTGTCTTTGTTTTACATGTTTTAGTGCTTCTTGCCAATTTGATGAATCAATAAACTCATCATAGATACCAGGATTTATATGTCGTAGGCCAGACGTGCGTTTCGGCTACACAAGACTCATGAGTGACGCTCGAATAAAAAGAGTCATTTTCAACTGATTTTTACAGTTTTTATTCTTATGTTGTGATGTAACACCATTTCACTGGTTATGGGAGGGTAGAGCGCTACTAAACATGTTTATCTCCGTAACATTTTATATGTGCAAATCAGGAATTCGTGATTCAATGATTATCGTTTGATGATGTCTGTCGTATTTGTTGTTCGTTTATTGTTTTGTCATTAATCAGATCGTTGGTTCTTGTGTTTAAATTGTTTCATATCTCGTGATATCGGGAATTTTTATAGTTGACTAAACGGTATGGAATTTTTCTATTGTTGGTCGTACGGTGACATATAGTTGCTTAAATCCGTGTCATTATGGAATCTTTTGGATTTTGGTCTTGTTGGCAATCGTACCACATCTCCTCATTATTTTATTGAAAGGCAACAGTGTTATTATGTTTTATCAAAATAACTTATAAGTCAATACAATACCATGTTATTGAATAAATACTTAAATAGCTCAGTCTGTGGTTAGGGGTTTGCTAATTGTATAAGGCTGTACGATCTTGTAGTTTTTCACATCTTTCTTTTGATCTTTAATGACAACTTGTCTCGTCATATCACATCTCCTTACATTTATACTTCAAGAAAAACATGTATACGTTTCTTTAAAACTTCCTATACGTTGTAATTTACCAATTAAAGAAAGACTGCACAGCTTGTGGTCCCAGATTTTCAACCTGTTGAGCACCAAATGGTCCAACATTAGCCTTAATACCTCCAGTCCCTATAGCAATTAGGACAAGCGATGATATGAAAAATCCTCTTCTTGTTTCCTATAATATTAAAACTTTAGTATTAAACCCTGCACCAGCTCTTCTTACGTATTTAGTTGCAAACTTACAAATGTCTAAAAATTTCCAAGACACAAAGTTGATTAATTTACGGACTTTTACATTTTTTATTCGAACGTCAGTGATGAGTCTATTGTAAACAAAACGCGGGTCTGGCGTAAAAATATTAAATCCTGGTATCTTTGGTAATTGTTTTTTGTTTTTAATAAAATATGTTGATTTACACGGCAAGTGTTTTGATTTGTATTTCGAGTACAATATGTGAACGATAGTTCGCTGCAAACATTTCGATGTAGATTTTGCACTTCATATTTTTATATTATAGTGTGTAAACAAAAACACTGTATTTTCTTTTGTATTTTTGAGTTGAGATAATTATTTGTTTATACATTTTGCAATTGATTTAAACTTGTAATGTAATCCATAAACTTACAGTAGATATGTCGTTATGATTTCCAAACCAAGCCTTGTAGTCAACCGCCGAGGCTGGCAATAAAACTAAGCCTGTAAAAGGCATCAACAAATAATAAAATAAACACGGATAGTTTAAATGGGACGTGTTTTTAAACAGACAATTGGCATTCCTATCGGAACCAACTGTGCTCCTATTCCTGTCGATTTCTTCCTTCATTCAGACGAGGCTGACTTCAAACGGAATTTAATTGATTGATTGATTAGTGTTTAACGCCACTTTCAGCACTATTGCGCTATTTCGTGGCGGTAAGTTTTTATTGTTGGAGGAAGCCGCAGAGCCCGTAGAGAACCCAAGACCTTCGATAGGAAAACTTGCAATTCAGTCAATTAAGATTGGAGTTGAGCGCACCTGCCTAGGTTGGGATTCGAACTCACAACCTCAGTGTTAGCAGGCTGGTGATACAGTAGTTCGACTACTTAGACCACTCGACCACCGAGACCCCTCATTGCTTTTGAAAATTTTCGTTTAATGATAAAATATTCACATTGGCGCAGGGAAATTAAATATCATTTGGTCGCGATTTAAAGGGTGAAAAGGGACAAAACAAGCGTATTATCGTGTCGGCGTTGTGCTGGAAACTCGTCGTTTTCATTTTTTTTTCATCCCTTAAACGAGAATGATAAAAACAGCAAGGCAAAAGCTAGTTATCCCTTGTAATTTATTTTATCATCTAAAATAGAAAACATTCGAAGCACTAACTTTTAATTGTAAGGACGTAATTTCAAGAAATCGCGATTCAAATCGAAAAAAAAATTATTACATTTTTCCCATGCATTCTATATATCATCGATCCATTTCATATTTTTAAAATTATTATAAATCCGGAGGTATGATTATATATGGATAATTTTGTTTCGATATCAAGGTGCAGTTTGAAGAGTTTGAAGTGCAAAATTTCATAATGCTCCGAAATAGCACCCAATAATATGCTACGCCTTTATCATAGATAAAGTATATTACGTGGAAATTTTTGGTATCCATACTAACCGATGACGTAAATCAATCCAGATCCAAATATAGCGTTATACTTTCCTGTAAAAGCATCTGCAATATATCCTCCGAAAATTGGTATGATAAACACTGAACCTGTAACAAATTTAAAGCTAACTTAAACCATTGCAATCTTAAATTGTCAAATGTAGGGTACAAAATGAACTAAGCACGATTATTCTTCACATGTTCCTCTAAAATGTACTCCCTTTATGGAAATGAATTAAAGTTTACGAATAAAGAACTACCCTACTAGTACAGCTTTAGAATCATAAATTAGAAGGATATTGAAATATACTTCAATGAGATAGTAATCAAACGACCCCATAAAAGACCACATCTATTTACAATAGAAATAATGATATACAAGGAAGAATAATTTTAACCGAACATACGAGCAAAAACGAGTTAAATAGATGTAATATCTATTAGAGATTAGCAAATTTGGTAACGCGTACATTGATTTCGTATATTTTTTAAATCATCGTGAAACTAACCAGAAAATACTAAATTGATCCTTGCTGCATCAGTTGACGATATATCTAAAGTGGAGGTGCAAAACAATATCAAATTAGCCACCACACTATAATACGTTAAACGTTCACATAATTCGGTCATCAAAACACTTCCAACTATGAGCAGCCTTTTCCTTGTAAAGCGAGGATTTACTTCTGTTGTACCATATCCAGTTGTTTTAGGTAGAGTTTCACTTATATCTTCAATACTGTATCGTCGATTAAGATCTGCCAACAATGGTACCTTAGCGGACGTTTCTTCAGCCATTTACACAATTCTCTATCGCCAATGTTTTGTCTGGCTAAGGTCATACAATGTACCGTATTTTCAGATTTAATCGGTTACAGTTTTAATCAATATGTGTTTATCACATGCCGACTTGGATAATTAAAGTCATGTTATCACTTAAAATATAAATAAATATATCACATTATATCTTTATAACTGATGAGCAAAATTGTTAGGTCCGGTGTTTCTGCCGTGTTAGGGGAAAATCCCCGAGTCCGGCTTCATCAGTGGTCGACTCAATAAGTTGTATATTGGCGTGTTACTAATTTGTTTTTTTTGTTTTATTTCGTATGTTATATTGGACCATACACCGGTTGTCTTTGGATAAAATAGTAGCTGATTTTTTATGAACTCAGTATCATATTGTGCTGTGAAAAGTCGAGCGGACTATACCTGCTAATGCTTTGTTAATAGTTCTTGTAAGTTATTATGTCTTTTATAAGCTATAATGGGCTTATGATTGAATATGTTCACGCATTCAAGGTTTTGTGAAATAAGGTACCTGTGTTTCATTATTACATTTTTTAGTTTCTGTATAGATGGGTCGAATTTTGTTAACATGACTAGTGGTTGCTCCCGTTTCATTGGGCGTTGTTTAAGCAAATTTTCCCTTTCTGTATTTTGTGATTGATAAGAAATTTCGGTGACTTCAGATGTTTTATATCCTCGTTTGAAGAGACGTATTTTAAAAGCTTCCAACTATTTTTTAAGTTCACTTTTGCTGCTTGTGTTTCTGATGTACTTCAATACTTTACCCTTGATAAATCCTTTGAAAACACTTTTTGGGTGTGAGCTGTGTCAGTGCAGATATTGAAATGTTTCAGTTGGTTTGATATAGGATTTAATGTTTAGAATGCCTTCGTTTAAGAAACTTGCTTCTTTGTATATGACAGTGTCTAGGCATGTTGTTTCATTACAGGAAAATTCGTAGGTGAAATTCAAGTGCGGATGCACAGTATTAGCTATTGTAAACAGCACGTGTATTTCCTCTACAGGCCCGGAATATATAATCCAGCCATCATCCCTAAATCTGGACGTCATTATCATTTTGTTTCTTTGTTGAAAGCGTTGTTAAATGTTTTCAAGAATAACAAAAATTGTGAGATCTGCTAACTCAGCGGATGCTGATCCGCCCATATGCACGCCAAAGGTTTCACGGTAAAGTTTATTGTTAAAAATAAATTCATTGTTCTCTAGAATAAGCCTTAATAGGCGTAGTATACTGTCCTTTTGTGGAATTCTGATTTCATGATCGCTTGAATTAGTATTGGCCAGTGCCCCGTTTGTGGCTTCTAGTATTTCATCAAATGTAAAACAAGTGTACATATTTTTTGCATCGAATGTTACTAGGTAGCAGTCTCGTTGGGGTTTTACATTTTCAATCGAATTAATAAAACTTGACGTATCTTTTATATATGTTTATTGATTTTTAACAAGTGGAACAAGAACATAATCGATATAGTGTCCAATATTGTGTAGGGGCGTTCCACACAGTGATACAATTGGTCTGCCCGGAATCATATTTTTCTCGTCTAGTTGTTTCGTTTCTTTCCATTTCTGATAGTATATTTTCAGGTAGTTTATGTATTTTAGGCAACAGATCGAACTTTCCTACTTTAGTTTTATTGATGTTTTCTTTCAAATATCTGAATGTTATATTGTCAATATAATTATCATTATGTAGGTCTCTGATAATACTAAACGCCATTTCAGTTCCTTTAATTTTGATTCAGCAATTTCTTCATAATGTATATTGTGTAATTGTCTTAACCCTTCACGTAAATAGTTGTCTTTGTCAGATATGTTTCTGGTATGTTTGTTTATTTTCATTCTACTCAGTTCGATCTTAGTTGAGAATATGTAATTTTTAATTGCTAGACAAGAATCCAACTGTTCGTACCCCGAATTTATGTAGAAAGGGTGTCTTTTGTAAATACATGAAAGTGATATCGACATCTAAGTTTTCTTGAGAATTCGCGAAAGTCCTTCATAACGTTTCGTATGGTATTTTTGTTTGAATGGTTAATTATAAACTTTACACCTTTAGCAAGTCATAAGGTTTCGTAATCTGTCAGATTATGTCCCGATAAATTTTTCACAAATATTTTGGCATTTTTTACCAACTTGGTATGTAATTTAGTCATAACCGTTGGTTATTTTTACATGCATTGTCATTACACAAGACCACTCCCTTTTAATTTCCTCTTGAATAACTCTAACTTGTATATTCTTTGTAGCATTAGAGCAATTTCAATATTTATCAAATTAAGAATTATCCAATTATTTAACCAAGCTGGTTGAACGTTATGGAATATCCGTTTCAAAGATCGCAACGTATATGCTCCAATTGTCGTTACTACAATCCCGTCCTCTTTCCCTCGAATGTGACCTACCGAAGTAGACTTATCACCAGTTTTGTACTAATATGAGTAGACGACGGTTGCCACATGTGGAGCAGGATCTGCTTACCCTTCCGTAGCACCTTCACTTTTCGGTGGGGTTCGTGTTGCTCAGTCTTAAGTTTTCTATGTTGTGTTTTGTGAACTGTTGTTTGTCTGTTTGTCTTTTTGTATTTTAGCCATGGCTTTGTCAGTTAATTTTCGACTTATGAGTTTGAATTTCCCGTTGGTATCTTTCGCCTCACTTATCATTATGAACTCTCATTTGTTCAGTGATCTCTACTTTAGTGTCGTCAATTATTGTTAAAAAAAACCTAAAAACAGCAATCATATAATTTGGACATAATCCGTAAAATTACAGAAAGGACGACCATTTTGGTATTTAAAGATCTCAGACTGCTAAAACATATCGCTAGTGAGTTGAAACACAGACATATCGTTTAGTTCTACCAACGTAAAACTTATGTAGTGTCAATTTCAGTCCACCTTCCTTATAATTCTGTTGAGGCAATTTTTGTGTTAAGAGCATAACACTGCCAATGTATTCTGTGTAGTGTGAACATGCATAGATGTAGCGGATCAATTCTGATATGTAAACACTATACGATGGAGGAGAGGGTATGTAAATACTGAGAAATGGGAAGTTGGGGATTGGAAATTTGAAATCGTCACGTTTGTCAAAGATTATAATTCGAAATTGTCCATCTGTGTCAATAAATAAACTGATCATAGATACCAGGATTAAGGAAACATCGAGGAAAACATCAAGATATGAAGCAGACCTTCAAGTTTCAGTAATATACTTAATTTCAAGTTCACTTGGATAAATGAGGTGTAAGCACTCACTATAATGTGGGTTATTGAGTGACAGGACATCATCAGTTTATCGGAAATTAAATTAAAGAACTAATAACAAACATTCTCAATTTGGAGAAGTAATAATTAACAACTGCAACAATAATCGATTTTCTGTCAGCCTGCTATGTCTTCTAAACACTCAAAGAAAAACCTAGTAGAATTAGTAGGTAAACAAGTACACTAACTGTCCAAGAAATTAGATGCATTAGTAGTTCTAGTTAAACTTACTCAGTAAAAAGCAAATTTACTATAAAGCTTAATAAATTAACTAAAGACTAGAAATATAACAAGAAAGACTAGTAAATTAAAAAAAACAGTTTTTTTTTCTTTTGTGTAGGGTAAAAAAACGAAGAAATGGATTTCTATACAGACTATTTAGTCCTTATATTACAGTAGTCTTTTCTCGTGTTGGGTTTCTGTTTCATAGACACATAACCTACATCTCCTTTATTACGTAATTGATACTTTTTTGTCAATACATGGTATAAATAAATGGAAAGAACCCCTTTATTTTATGTAAGTTTTACACATATATCTAGTTATTACATATTTGCTTTGAGCCTTAAAACTTCTTCCTTTTAAGGAAATATTTGGAACAATGCCCAACATAACTTCAATTTTGATATATTTTCATTAATATTCAGATATGACCAACAACCCTACCCCTAAAAAGTATTTTGCTGCAAGATTTCTTATACAAAGATGCTGATTTTAGTAACATAACTTTTGGTTACGGATGTTGTTCAAATTAGACGAAGATTTGTATCAAAACTGAACTTGTCAGACGAACTGCTATCAATGTTTTTATCATAAGCTAAAACTCCATTGCTATAAATTCGAAATGACAGGTTTTAAAAAGAATAAATTACTAAATTTATGTATGTTGGCGTTTGTTTTTGTAGCAGTTTAGTGTTTCTGTTGTTCCGTTTTGTTTCCTCTTATAGTTGATGTGTTTCCCTCAGTTTTGGTTTGTGACCCGGATTTGTTTCAGTTAAATCGATTTATGACTATTTAACAGCGGTATACTACTATTGCCTTTATTTACTACAATCTTGAAATGTTGAAATTTACAGTGTAAATAATCTAGTATTTAGATTTTGCTTATATTTTTTACACATAATTATCAATTATAGAAGATGAAAAATCGACGTTTGTTTGTTTGATCGTTGCTCAACACCCTTTTTTGTGTGCAATAAGGATGATGTCTATGGGGTTTTGAAATTTTAGTAAACATTAAATTTTGTGCTTTATATAGAGCAAATGGAAAATGTATTATTTGAAAAAAAAAATTAAAAAAAAAATGTGCACAATCTGTGTCATGGAACAGGATGGGTAAGAATGAATATAGTTTTTACGTAAGTTTATTGCTTAGATCCAGTAGAAAACTAATATTTAAGTTATGAAAAACTATGTCGATAATCAATATATATATATATGTAAAGTAGATAACATCTATCTAATATTAACTGGTTTCAAAGTTACATTTGAATAAAAATGACAAAATAAATAGTGTAATATCAGTTTCACATGTGATAAGATAAATGACATGCTTGACCCTATAATAATAATAATATTAATAATAATAATAATAATAATAATAATAATAATAATAATAATAATAATAATAATAATTAATAAGCTTTGTATTAGAGTCGGGGTGGTATACAAAACAATGACATAATATAAGCTCTCCTGAGCTTTTAACCGACATGAGATTTTTTGAATGAACTAAAATATTTTCTAAAATTAACCCTGATTTAAAATCAGGTAAAATTACTCAGTGACCCATAGTGTATACTTTAACATTGAAATAGTAAAGGCAAACAGAAAGTCATACCTGGATTGACAATTTAAAAATAGTTGGACTTTGATGGTGAATGTTTAAATAATTGTAAACACGAAATGGACTAAAATTTGAATGTTTTAATTCAATCTGCACAATAGATAACAGATCCGTAGATAGTCCAATGGAAGAGACCGATCCACTACTGCACTCTAACAGTATACAACGTGAACGTACAACATTACAGAGATCTGATCAGAATGACAAACAGAGAACTTATCCAGATAGGATTGCTGTAGTTTGTATTATACTGACTGTTATGTGTGAACGTTTAGCTTATTACAATGTTGTGGGTAATCTCATATTATATTGTACCTCGTCATTGGGCATATCCTCTTCTACAGCTACTGAAATCAACCTTGTATTTACAGGTGAAGTAGTTTCTTAAGTATTTGTTATCTCCCATTTTGTTTAAGTTAAATGATTTGGTACATCTATAACTATAATAACCCTGTATCCCTATGTTTAGTTTCCATGGTATTATTTTAAGTTCAAAGTTTATTTTAAACCACTGCACGATTTAACGAATGATAAAACCTTACAAAAAGGTTTAAATTTACTTATTTAAAAGATAATTCATTTCCTCCTTGGTGACAGTAAACGTAGTCAATTTTAAAACAAAACGCAGGCTAAAAATAATTTATTATGAAGATTAATAAAAACCGCACATACGCCGCCCCAAATTGTAGAAGATATGCTATATAGACGTTATCTCACCTACAACATATCAGTAAATTATTGACAGAACTACGCATTCATATTTTTAATCAGAAATTTACAAGACAATATTTGTAATACTTAATACGAACCTTTTAGTTGAATATATATACTAAAAAAGAAATCAACTGAATGAATACATTTTCTTCAAGTAGATGGTATGATCTTTAATGCAAAGAGTATTAAGATTTTAATAAATTTCCGTAGAACATGCGGTAAAACGATAAATCATCATGTAATTGTCGATGGTATTTACTTGGCGTACAAGAAGTTGTTTTTTTTCGAAGTTTTCTGTGCATGTACTCAATTCTTATTACAACGATGGCAGTTAAAAAAAATAAGTACTAAGTACCAAATGGTCTAATTCAATACCGAAAAAGTCTTGATGGATTATACCCCTGATTTTGCTACTATAGAACATACCAAGATTGTATTTCAGATTTCAAATCATTCTAAGCTATAGTAGAACTTGGGAAATACACTTTTAAAGATGATGATTTTTATAAATAATATTCACAGTTATCAAATTTGTTTGAACAATAATAAAATAATAAAACAAACAAAAATAAAAATTATTTAATAATCTTTACCTGATTTGATGTGGCTTAGTCATATGCATAATCGAAGGATTTTTTTCTTAAAAAAAGGGGTAAACTATTGTAGATATTTATACGAAGGTTTTCAAAGTATATCTGAATATCAGGAATGAAGGAATCCTTGTTTACCTTGAAAAAAATGTCACAGTTAATCATTTAGGCGTTTAAACTGTGCTTAGTAATGTGTCATGATTACATCAAGAAACAAGCACGATATCTGATAAGCGGAAACAACATGTTGTGTTTGCAAATATAAACCCCGGTAATAGCCTTCGTGCTTAATATTTAACGCAAAAAAAAATACTCATACCACCGTGATTCTTCAAATTTGTTATATAAACGAATTATTGAAAAGATGGGTTAACCCTTTGGTTTGAGATTCAAAAATTTATAAAAGACTCTGTTTAGATTTAGAAGACTCGATTTCCAAATCACAGGGTAAAAACATCATTTCATTCGAATTAAACTTCATCTGTTTATAAAGTTATTGTGAAAAAGTTAAGAATTTGCAATGCTTACCAGATTTTAAGCATTTGCAATGTTTGCCAGTTGCTAAGCATTACGAGACCTTGCTTCATTATTGTAATCGTTTAGAAATATGCACACTGTGTAACACGCGTCTAGAAATACAGTTCCATTTAAATGGTTCACGCCATACATTAGGACTTAAGCTGGAGGGGCATCAATTTGACTGTGCAGGATTCACCTGAATGAATTTATTTCTGATTGGAATGAGGACGTTCAAATACCTTGTAAGAAGAGAGTGCAATAATATCAGTACCTTACAAAATCTTGGAAAAACTTTAGAGTGAACTCCTGATTGCCTTTTGTAATGTAAAAATTCTGACTCTAAACGTATGTACTCATTTTCTGTTGATAGTCACAGTTTCGACTCGTCTTCCAAACAAAGCCTTACTTTATATTCATTTAATGAATGATACTGGTTCTGAATATCCATGACACATTTATCAAATGACGTTACACAAACAACGATGAAATCAAACATTCACCTTTTGTTTATATAATTACCTAGTGTATTGATATTTTTGTTTAAATTTGATGACATCGCTTTAATGACGGGTTGGATAGGTCCAGCACAGGTCTGCAATCTGCTTGAGCACCTTCGTGAAACCCGAAAGATTAAAACGATAAAACATTAAAATATAATGGAAATTGTGTATTAATATAATGTATTCATTGCTTCCATTTTGCAATCTTTCAAAAACGCATTGCTTTAACAAGTCTTAGTTACACAGGTTGAAAACAAGAACATGATTAAAGCAGTGCTAACGGTTTGCATCTTGATGTTGACACAGAATTTATACTTACAGTATTTTGTTACGCTAAATTTGTCTCTGAGTTTTCATAACAGAAACGAAACGCAGCTTTTAAGATTTCATCAGATACGAAAGGTCTTTCCGGAGGAATACTGATACTTAAATTTTCATAAATATTTTTTCGTTTTAAAGAATTGTATTTTCGACTCTAAGACAAAATATTTATTTCTGGTCCATTAGAAATACCAATACAAACTAGACAATCTTTACATTTGATTTTATATCTATGTTTCTTAAATTACTCCATTATTTGTACCATTTCTTTCGACTCAGTAATTTAGGACTGAAATGCAAAGTACATGTGCCTTAAGACAACTTCGAGATGTTGTTTTAGACAGAACCTCATGTACTCAGAATTATTATGTTACTTCATATTAAACTTAATCGTAAGAATTTGTATGTTTTTAATATTATAACTTAGAGAACATAGCTTTACATTACTGGTAATCAGAACAAGTCAGTGCTAGATTTATGCATAGATGTTAGGTCGGTGATACGGTCTTTAAGTTTCATCTGGATTGACAATTAAAACAAGTATTCCATAGTTATAATAAGAAAAACATGTCTGCTAAGGGACTTTCCGTTTTCAATTTCCCTTGGAGTTCGGTATTTTTGTTGTTTTACTTTTTAAGAAGTCCTGTTTCGAATTAGGATTGAAAAGGTATATATTTTCCATTGCTTTTGAATTTTCCATCCATTGGGAGGTATAGGGCCTTATTCAAACATGATATAATAAGACATCCTTAAAATTATGTCATGCTATTATATAGTCTTTGTGATTGCGATTGTTAACTCACCTTTTTTTCAACACAAATTAATCAATTTTATTGCACCTTGCTGTTAACAATTTACTTAATCTATTTCAATTAAGTATCCCTGTAAATAAGTTAATGAATATCTAGGGAAAATATTCAACAAAGTATATCTATAAAGTTGGTTATATTCAGGCGGAAACCCAGTTGAAATTTTATTTACCGGAATACAGTACGTTTCTTCACCTTTATTATATATGATTTTATTAAAGCTACACTGAACCGCGAAAATGATGATGATGTTTGGTAGGATGACTCTTCATCGGTTGATTTTTGCAGACAATTGCTAATTTTGAACTTTTTTTTGTTTTGTTTACACGACTTAAGTGTAAAAGAAGTCTTAATTGATGAGGTAAGAATGTTTTTGTTTTTACACATAATGATCACTTCATTATTTTAATTAGTAAATGTTAATTTCTATAATCAAGGATCGAAAATACACGTGGTCTTCAATACATGTATGTTGTTAACCCTTTTTGTTTGTTATATAGGCTCTGTATTTCTTGTCCCTGCAGTTGGAGGTTATATTGCAGATGTCTATACAGGAAAGTACAAAACAATTCTAGGATCTGGATTCATATATATTTTAGGCAAGTTAGTTCAAAACTGTATAATATAACACACATTAACAAATAATTATCAACCTGACAAAAAGTGCCAAAAAGAATCTTTATATCACATTATAGAAATATACCTTTGTTTCTTGATATACTCTGTGTTATAATTTTAGTTTGGTTAAGTCATTAAGTTTGAACTTGTTGCTAGTAACTATAGTATAATCATATGGTTTATTACTGTTTGTTATTTATATGTACTTGTATTTTTATTATACCACTGCTTAAGTTTAAGTGCTTTTCCTGTGCCGTTTATTAATGTTTGCTCTCTTATGCACCTTTTATTGGTCCATTGATTGAGATTAAGTTTGATGTGTTTGATCTTTTGATTTTGCCATTTGATAAATGACTTTCCATTTTGAATTTTCCTTGGACATCGGTATTTTTACTATTTTTCTTTTTAAAGGGGAGGATTGAGATCTAATAAAAATAATCCCGCAACATAATTCCTGTTCGCCTGTCTTACGTTATACATTAATGTTAATGATAGTTATTGATATTGATAATGGAAATGCTTGATAGTTTCTTCTGCAACTTATTTGGTCGCTATACGATTAGAAAATTTGACATATTGTATTGGCACCTTTCTAGTGGTGAATTAAGTGTTGAAGATGTTTTATTCTCAAAATATCAACAGCAGATTCATATTTAAACCATTTAAAGTTATTCCACCTTATTCGTTTGTTGTAAAAATGTAGATCACAATGCGAACACTGTTAAATTTGGGAAAATACTGAAATAAAGTCCGACATTGTTCTGAATGTTAACCCATTGTAAACTTACAGACACACTTCATACTCGAGATTATTGGGACAAAAGTCAGCTAGCACTCATCTTTTAACTTCACGTTCCGCTATAAAGATGATACACTCTCTCTAAATTATTCATAGTTTGGTGCCTATATATGTTGAAATCAATTTTCATCTATCCCATCGAACTTGAAGTTAATATTAAGTCCTCCTCATATCTTGACTTACATCTAGAAATTGAGAATAATCATCAGTTAAGAACTATTCTTTACGACAAAAAAGGTAATTTCAGCTTTCCTACTGCGAACTTTCCATTCCTATATAGAAACATTTCAGCAGCGCCTGCATATGGAGTATATATTTTCCAATTGAAAGCTTGCGTTTACTATTATGATTTCCTTGATAGAAGGTTGCTGCACACAATGAAGCTATTTTTTTAACTAAGGAGTTCCGTTGTAAAGTTGATGTCGTCCCTTCGAAAGTTCATGAATAACTTACCGATATGAAATATCTGTGTCACAGCTGACAACGATTATGTTTCAATTTTTCAATTGTCATCACCACAATATCGTCCTCTTTTCCTTGTATGTGATATCATCGAATGAGACGTTTCACCACATTTACCATGATCAACACGATGGGTGACACAAGTTGAGCAGAATATGTTTACACTTCCGGAGCGCCTTGGTTTTTGATGTGGTTAGTGTTGTTCAGTCTTTAGTTTTTCTTTCTAGTGTTTTGAGGACTGTAGTTCATCTTTTTGTCGTTTTTCGTTTTTTGTCATGGTATTGTCGGTTTTCTTCCATTTTATTTTTTTTATGATTTTTTATTGTGCTTTTTTACCTATTGCTTTATTGCAAAATCTTTATTAGTGCAGCAAGATTGGGATGAATTTTTATTTTGTAATGAACAATACAAAATTGTTGTTTTTACAAATACTACTAAATAATTAGCGTAGCGTGACGATTATTCATCAATATTAAAATTTTTATAACGGATAAAACTATTAGGATAACTAACTACAGCAACCGACTAGTATTTTATAGTTTGTGTAATTGAAAACAAATACCTTCAATAATAGAATATTATTTTTTTTAATGTTTTCAACTTTAATCGTAAAGTAAGGGAACGAAATTGTAACACCTAATTCTTGTATTTACAGGGCTGACTTTGCTGTTTGCTTCAGCTATTAATTACAAGTCTTGGTTTGGATATCAATCTGGAATTTCTCGAGTGAGTTACAAAAAATATGAGTTTTCATACTTTTAACTTGAGACTCCTAAGAACCGAAATACATGTACATATTCAGAAATATAAATTACTTTTTTTCCCAAATATACAGCTTTTGGAGTACATTCATGTTAAACTAAGGTTAATATATTTTTTTTTCTTCAGCATCAGATTAAGATTAGGTATTTACGTCAAAATCATGATGAAATAAACAAATACTCAAATCTTTAACTTAATGGCTATTCACTAAGCAGTCATCACAATATTCAAAACCAATGAACGACTTTCTGGTTTCTCTCTAGCTATTATTAGTTTGTTATATGATATCCAATCACTATATGATTATGTTGATATGAATTATTTATTAAAAACACATTGATGACAATTTTAGCTGTTTTAGTTTCTGTCCATCTCGTATACATTTCTAGGTTTAAGGCTATGACTAAAGAAGTTATCAAAAATATCATCATTAAGGACAATAACTCCTTTAAGAATTCAGCATATTGGAATGTTTTACTAGTCTGTCTTGCTGGTCATTAATACTGTTTACTGTTACTTTTTATTTATAATACTTTTATAATGATATGCAAATAATATGAAATTTGGTGAAAAAGTGACGAAAGGCAATACCTCCTAGTGAGGAAGCATTTGATGGTTTTAAATCAAATTTACACTTGTGGATCTTATACTCTTGATAAATTTGCTGTTAATATTGTAAGTTCATTGTAAATATAAATAGGAAGATGTGGTATGATTGCCAATGAGACAACTATCCATTCAAGTCACAATGTGTAAAAAGTAAACAATTATAGGTCAAAGTACGGCCTTCAACACGGAGCCTTGGCTCACACCGAACAGCAAGCTATAAAGACCCCCAAAAAGACTAGTGTAAAACAATTCAAACAGGAAAACCAACGGTCTAATCTGTATAAAAAACGAGAAACACTTATGAACCACACCAACAAACGACAACCACTGAACAACAGGCTCCTGACTTAGGACAGGTGCATAAAAATGCAGCGGGTTTAAACGTTTTAACAGGCGCCAACTTTCACCCTAACATGAAACAGTGGTATAACATTACAACATAAAAAGATACACAATAAAATATCATTTTAAATTGCTTAACTCGATCAAAAAGACAATACACAAAAACAAGTAAATATACACTGAACGAAGTTTGATCTATGACACAATATAAATAAAAAAGATGTTTCAATGTCAAAAAGACAACTTTAACCCAGGACAAAATGGCGTTAAATAAAGTAACGTACACAGGTAAATTTAAATATACAAATTGTGTCAACAGGTCAAATTAACAAGAAAGTACGATTTGAGAGTACTCGTAGTTACTGAAAGCTAGTTAAAAGCCAGAAACAATCAATAATAAAAAATCCTGCATCAGAGACTAAAATCATTTACATCCCAGGCAGGGATTTAGTTAGGATTTAACCTTATAATAAATATGTATGATGGTATGTATAGGTAAAACAATTTCTAGATAGAAAATATACGTGGATAGTCTATATACTAGAGTTTTAAATAAAAGTTAGAGTACACACGCTTAAATTATTTGCCTGCTTTACTTATTAGATTGAACTTATTTTGACAGTCTGTAATATTAAGAGTTTACTACAAGTATTACATAAACTTAGAATTATCAATGATCCACATGAGATCAAGGTGAGAGAAACCCGCCAGACAGACATGTACACCTTATCATCATACCAGACACACAATAAAAAAGGTTAACCTATGCTGATGACATCCGAGAAAGTGCTCTATTTACAAAACTGAACATTGACTAATGAACCATAAAAATGATGTTAAGGTCAGATGAATCCTACCAGACAACATGTACACCATGCACTCATTCCATACACCAAAATTAGTTGACGTATTGCTAATAGTAACTGAGAAATGAATCATGAAAAAAATCAATATTGACCAATGTTCATGAAAGGGATATCAAGATCAGACGAACCCTTCCAGACAGACATATGCACTTTTCAAATATTCCATATACCACATATAGTTGAACTATTGCTTATAGTATCTGATAAACTGAAAATGACATGAAAAATTAACATTGACCAATGAGAACTGCGAAAATGAGGTCAAGGTCAGATAAACCCTGCCAGACAGATATGTACGCCTTAAATTCATCCCATAACCAAATAAAGTTGACATATTGTTAACAATATCTGATAAACTGACAAAACCTTGAAAACCCAACATTGATGAATAAACCATGAAATAACCACGAAAACGTTGTCAAGGTCAGACAGACTTGTACATTTTACAATCATTCCATAAGCCAATTATAGTCGACCTATTGCTTACAGTATCTTAGAAAGAGACAAAACCACAAAAACCTTGCATTGACTAATGAACCATAAAAAGGAGGTCAAGATCAGATGAAACCTGGTAGTCGGAAATGTACACCTTAGATAATTCCATACATTAAAATTTAGTTACGACATTGTTTATATAATCTGAAATACGGACTTGACCATGAAAACTTAACCTTGATCTCTCATCCATTAAATGAGGTAAGGTCAGGTGAACCCTATTTGACGGACATGTAGACATTGCAAGGATGTCATGATTCAAATACAGTTATATTATTATTCAAAATAAGTGAGTATTTCATATGACAAAAAAAATAATTTGTTTCCAAGTAGTCGCTGAAAAATGAATATGAGGTCAAGGACAATGGACATTTGACATATTCGTAAGGCACCTGAAAACAAGGTATGAAGCATTCCAGTCTTTTTGTTGCTGAAATATAAACCTTTTATACAAATAATTAAAGTCGCCACCGCCGTTGTCGCCGCAACCGGATAGTCATTCATATGTCACAGCGAGACAAAACCATTAAGAAGTAAAAACAAATCGCAATTTAAGGACGATGAATCCTATAAGGAGCCAATTAATAGTTTCTTTTAGATCTTTAATGCTCATAAACAAATTAATGTTTATGATATAAACAATTTAACATAAGACAACCACTGAAAAGGTTCCTAACAAAGGATAGGCACACGGGTTTAAATTAGCTTTTATATATAAATCTGTTGACTCTTATAGTGTTAAACGAAATAAACTCATGTTTTGATCCACATAAAAGGCGAATATTGGCAAAGTTAATTTCAAAGGTTACCGTTATTCTGATATTTTATTACAGCTGTTGCATGTTTTCTAACTATGTATTATATGTAAAAAAAAATTAAAAGCTGCCATCCTTAGTTCCAAATCGGTACAATGATCCTACATGTACATTATAAGAATATTTTACGTGATCAAATAAATGCAATCTTTATTTGTTTTAATGCGTCTATATGTTAAAATAAACACGTTACAAAGAGAACAATAGAAAATCAAGCCAAAAAAGAAAGAGACAGAGAAAAAACAAAAATACATTCCATTAAACAGAAAATAAAAAAATCACACTTAAGTGTGACTGAATTTTAGGTGGTCAACCAAAGGCATTCGCATTGTTGATCATAATGTAAAGGGAGCAAAAGCTGGAGTTAATTTTGGATACAGATTATGTAAATTAGCATGTATATTTTTTTTAGGGAAAATTGATGTTGTGAAAGATATACAAAATGACATAAAGCTACACATATCGCTATTGTTTAGTAAAATAAATTTATAAAGTGTTATTGATAATCATACCTATTTAATCTATAAAGGATATAATTCAGCTTTCTATGAGTAAAGAATGTGTGCTGACCATACAATTATCTAATACATAGAAGGAAATGTTGGGGAAACATAAATAAGACAACAATCCCAAGACATAAATATCCCAAAGACATCTCTTAATTCTATGTGTACATGAACAAAATGGCAGTACAGAAATTGGGTTTTCGCCGCTTTACTTGTAAAAACCCTATTAACGATACTATGATTATAGTTCAGTTTGCCAGATTTGCGTTTTGTTTATATAAAACTTACCAATGATGTACAAATCAAAATACTTATAGTAGTTAGAAGGTCAAACCAATTGGAAAATAGGAAATCATCGAGAATTAAACGTTCAAAAGAGTTGTACCAAAATTTGCTACGACCATCTATGCTATTTATGCCCGGAGTAGATAACCAGTAGTGTTTCAAATAATTTTTTTACCATTAAGTGTCATAAAGTATCGCTATGATGTTCTTCATAGCACACATAGTGTTTAAAGTTTTATTTACTTTCAGAATTCAAAAATCGCACTCTTTATTAGCTCACTTGTTTTCATAACGATAGGATCTGGAGGTATAAAATCTAACATTGGACCATTAGGAGCTCAACAAGTAGAATGTTTGGGTACACTTGGTGTACAATCGTTCTTTAACTGGCAAGTACATCATTTGAATAATATTGATATTTCTTAATGAAGAAAAAATACATTTTATCAATGCGATGTTGTATATAATGCAGATAATTAAGTTATTTAATTTTAAATAAATATTATTTCTCATCCGCACGCAGTATTGTGCAATAAATTTAGTTCTTATTCTTGTGATATGCAGTAAAACTTTCGAAGAATCATGATGACTAATGCTGTTATACTGAGACTTTTCTTCCTTATAATTAAAATTGTTAAAAATCGAACATAAAGTCAGAGTTTACATAGTTAAAGCCTTGCATTTAAGAAGTTAAGCTACAAAATTATCAATAAAACTTCTTTAACAACACATATTCATTTTTATTTAGGTTTTTTTGGTTTATTAACTTTGGTGCAGTAATAGCTCATGTAGCAGTGGCATATCTTCAACAGAACTTAGGACGTTTTGATTACGGTTACCTCATACCATTGGTTGTGATGATAATAGGACAGATAATATTTTGGATCAGTAAGAATAGATACAGAACAGCTCTGGAAGATGGTATTTAATTCTTTAAAAACATATTTTATTATGTATATGCATTGTAAAAGTGTCCAGTTAAATTCTTGACATTTTAAAATTGTATTATTACAATTGGTTAGTTAAGTAACAGTTAAGGGAAGTAGTGGTCTAAAAATCAGTAATGTGTTACCCTGAAAGCCAGTGAAAGGCTCATCAATTAAAGATGAGATTATATCATGCTATATTTGTAATAATTGTTCTTCATTTGACCTTTTGTTTTATAAAAAGTAAAAAAAAAAAAATATATGTTAACGCTAGTGTTCTGATCCCACTTTGAAGTCATTCATTTGTGTCAATATCAAGAAAAAAATCAAAATATGAAGGAAATCTCGGTTGTTTCAATAATTCCGATATATGAGATTTAAGCACATACTGGAATGTGGGTTATTTAGGACATAATCAATATATACGAGAGTGAAACAAAAAAATGAACAATATGCTTTTTTTACTTTGAGAACGTTTTGTAAATAAACTCATCATAGATACCAGGATTAACGTTGTATGCCAGACACGCGTTTCGTCTACAAAAAGACTCACCAGTGATGCTCGAATCAAAAAGGTTGGAAAGACCAAATAAAGTATGAAGTTGGAAAGGCCAAATAAAGTATGAAGTTGGAAAGCATTGAGGACCCAAAATTCCGAAACTTTTTGCAAAATGCAGCTACGGTAATCTATTCCTCGGGTACAATATCCTTAGTATTTTGAAAAATTGAAAGTTTTGTAAAAAGTTAATTTATACTTATGAACATATCAATGATAATTCAGAACACAGAACTATGGATTCTGCTTCTAATGAATACAAAAACAAGTCGGCAAGTAGGGTTGTAGGATTAGTACCAACTGTTTGGTTTTTTTAAATATCAAACCACCATATAAAACAAATATGTTGTCGATCAAAAAGTCCAGTTAGAATGTTAACAACATTAGATTTCTCACGACCTAAATGTATATTAATTTTCATTTTTGTAGAATAAAAACCAATGTTTAAATGAAAAGATGACGAATATATTTGAATTGAGCATGAAAGAAAAGTAGTGTAGAGCGTAGAAAAAAGTTTTGATATTATTTATGATTTAACGATTTTTATTAAAGTTTTGCAATAGATCTTTAGAAATTTTGAGAAACAACACCTGAATTCCCGTCTTTATCTCCGTTGATATTAACATAAAAATGATGATGAAAATCTCCCGTCTGGATACCTTAACTTTACAAAAATCCTTATAAAACACGATATAAGACGATCGTCAAGATTTTCGACTAATACATATTACTAAAGTTCTTAACACCATTCTTTCTACAGTAAACGAGGGTATTTAGAAATATTATCACGAGGTATATTCAACAAGCGGTGTCAATCAGATGTGGATTCTTAAAAATTCTAACAAGCTACTGCAAAATCTTCAATCCCAATCTCTAACATTTTGCATTAATATCAAAACTTTTTATTTTTCTACGCTTTACCCTTCCATTCCCCATATGCCTCGGTGGTCGAGTGATCTAAGTAGTCAAACTACTGTATCACTAGCCTGTCAACACTGAGGTTGTGATTTTGAATCCTGCACATGGCAGGTGCTCTCGACTCCAATCTTAATTGACTTGGATTGTCAGTTTTCCTACCGAAGGTCTGTGGTTCTCTCCGGGCACTCCGGCTTCCCTCAACAATAAAAACAGACCACCGGAAAATAGCACAAAAGTGCTGAAAGTGGCGTTGAACTCCAATCAATCTATCAATTTATTCCCCATGCTCATTTGAAAGATCGAATACATCGTCTAATTAAAGAGAGCTTTTTATATACAAATGGGGTTCGTAGATACAAATTTCTTGTTAAAGGTCATGAAAAATCTAAATTTGTGAAGAACTGCACTGATTCTAAAAAACAAATACACCGATGACGATATGCTGGCCTTTTTTTTTATCGACAACATATTTGTTGAATTCGGTCGATTTATTTTTTTAACATGCAGTCGGTTATTAAATGGGTTCTAACTGTGCAGCCCTACTGGACGACTTGTTTGTGTACTCATATGAAGCACAATTTATAAAAAACCTAATAAAAGAAAAACAATCATTATGCAAAGTTCTTTATTTTCACTTGCAAATATATTGACGATGTCCTGTCCTCTATAACCTACACTTCATATAGCCAAGTGAATTTAAGATAAAGAATACTTTCAAAACTAGAAGGTCTGCTTCATATCGTGATATTTTCTTCGAAATTGATACAGATGGACGACTTTAAACTAGAATCTACGACAAAAGTGATGATTTCAACATTCCAATCGTCAATTTCCCATTTGTAAGCAGAAACATACCCTCTGTCCGAACGTATGGCGTTTACATATCTCAATTGATACGTTACGCTCGTGCATGTTAACACTATTCGGACTTCATTTGGAAGGGTGTGCTCCTTACACAAAAATTCGTAAGGGTTCCGCGAAACCCAGTGTCTCGCCTACTTTTTCTGTTAATCGCAGGCTCAACAAAAATGAGGAAGTAAATCAATAAAAATATTCCTCTTGATACTATCTTTTGATTGTAAGAAGCTTCTGTCCAAGTTTGGTAAAAATCCAGGATAGTTTATGAATCTAATAAATGTTTAAAAACTTTAACTGCAGACTGAATGTAATGTTAACTGGAAGAAAACAAAATTTCCTTCTAGATACTAGCATTTGATCATAAACAAGCTTCTGTTAAAATTTGGTACAAATCCAAAATAGTATATTAAGAAAGTTATTAAAATTTTAAAAACTTTAACCACAGAGTGAATGTGTTGTTTCCTGACAGGAAATCTAAGTCCATTTAAAAGTAAAATACGGAAAAAATGGATTTATTATTTTACAAAATTTCCTTCTAGATACTAGCTTTTGATCATAAACAAGCTTCTGTCCAAGTTTGGTACAAATCCAAAATAGTATAAGAAAGTTATTAAAATTTTCAAAACTTTAACCACAGAGTGAATGTGTTGTTTCCTGGCAGAAAATCTAAGTCCATTTGAAAGTAAAATACGCAAAAAATGGATTTATTATTTTAGAAAATTTCCTTCTAGATACTATCTTATGATCATAAACAAGCTTCTGTCCAAGTTTGGTAGAAACCCAGGATAATTTAAGAAAGTTATTAAAATTTTAAAAACTTTAACCACAGAGTGAATGTAATATTTCCCGGCAGAAAAACTAAGTCCATTTATAAGTAAAATACGGAAAAAATGGAATTTTATTTTTACAAAATTTACTTCTGGATACTATCTTATGATCATAAACAAGTTTCTGTCCAAGTTTGGTAGAAATCCAGGATAGTTTAAGAAAGTTATTAAAATTTCAAAAACTTTAACCACAGAGTGAATATTTGTGGACGCCGCCGACGACAACGACGACGACGACGACGACGCCGACGGAATGTAGGATCGCTATGTCTCGCTTTTTCGACTAAAGTCGAAGGCTCGACAAAAACTGCTTCAATGGAGTTACGAGGAAGAACGACTGACATCGACACAACATATATTTACGTTCACCGTTACGAATTGTGTGTGTCTCAACTCACTAAAGACATGTTTTCAGTCTTAGATATTTATTTACCAGAATATTCGTCTGTTTACAGCTTGTGACCTATTCCTGGTTGTGAATGCATGAATAGCGAGAGACGTTTGTCCTGTCGGCGCATTCGATCTCGCTCCCTTTGGCGTTTATCCCCTTAGTTTGTGTTTGTTACCCAAATTGGTCTCCTTAATTGATTTATTATATTTGAACATCAATAAAAAAGTATTACAAAACATAATTCCAACGCAAATTCATAAAGAGGAAGTCCATAAAAACTAACAAAATCAAACGCTATCAATCAACGGAACAAGTGAAAAACAACTGCCATATTCCTGACTTGGTACAGGCATTTTCCGAGGAAAATGATGGATTGAGCCTGGTTTTATAGATAGCTAAACCTTCCACTTGTATGACTGCTGTTGGTAGTCCCGTTATATTGACAAAATTTGGTTACCTAAACAGACATAATAGGTCAATGTGACAATAATTTGGATCCAGCAGCCAAAACTGTGTAAACAAACATCACAGACAAACAACACAACTGACTAGAAAAATCAAACAAACATACAAACTAATCTCACAAAAACTACTGTGTCGCTTATTTATACCGATGGTTCAGTATAATACAAAATTAACTCTTAATAGATCCCATGATTAAAATTTTATTCACCAGACGCGCGTTTCGAGTTCAAAAGACTGATCTGTGACGCTCGAATAAAAAAGGTAAAGGAAGCCAAATAAAGTACGAAGTTGAAGAGCTTTGAGGACCCAAATTTCCGAAATGTTTAACCAAATACAGCAACGGTAATCTATTCCTTATATATACTAATAAAAAAAAAGGTTAAGCAACACAACTTTTGAATAAAATTGCCCGTTTATAAATTTTAAAATTATAAAGAAACTAAGGTTTCAACTCCCTCAGGCAAAGTTGACCTTTGATGGATTTGGCTATTTGTTTTAGGTATTTTTGTCATATAGCTCTTCAACTGTTTCGGTACTTATATATCTCTCGGATTACAAATGTTTGGCTTTGAGCGTTCCTGATGAAGGTAAATCCAGAAAAGCGCTTCGGACGCATGAAATTATTAAACGTGTTGTTTTCAATTTTTTGACTTAAAATAAATTGACCTAATTCTTGATTTATCTCTAAAGTTTGCGTTTTCTTAATCTTCGATCATTTGTGTATTTAAACGAATTACAAATACGTTTGTCAATTTTGCAAACTTTGAGAGAAGTGGTTAAAATTAAAAAAATCAAACTTATAACAATGTTTTGCACAAGGTCGAGTTTAAAATAGAAATTACATATGAACAGAAGCTAACATTTCGTCATTCACCTCAAAAGCTAACCAAACCTTTAAACAGACTTATTCAGAAGGGATATAGTTATGATACTGTTGTCAGGTCATTAAAGATGGCATATTTTGAAATTAATATTGATTCACACATAGGGTCTTTGCATCGGAAATAACACAATTGTTCTAAAACCAGTTGTTGGCATGATACGAGTTATGTTCTTCTCATATATGTTATAATGATATGATACTAAACCCCTAACGGGAGTGATTGTGCTTGATTTTCATATGATGAAGACATACTATTTCAATCAGTTTAATTGAGGTCTGGAGCTGGCATGTCAATAACTGCTAGTATCCTTTGTTAATTTATGTATCATTGTCATTTTGCTTAGTTTCTTCTGTTACCTATTCTGACATCGGACTCGGACTTCTTTTAAACTGTGTTTTACGGTGCGTATTCCCGTGTGTTTGTTTATTCTACATTGGCTAGAGGTATAGGGGAGGGTTCAGATCTTACAAAACATGTTTAACCCCGTCGCATTTTTGCGCCTGTCCCAAGTCAGGAGCCTCTGGCCTTTGTTAGTCTTGTATTTTTTTTTTAATTTTAGTTCATTTATATGTTTTGGAGTTTAGTGTCACGTCCATTTTCACTGAACTAGTACACATTTTTCTTTAGGGGCCAGCTGAAGCCCGCATTCTCGCTGTGTTGAAGACCAAATGGTGGCCATGGGCTGTTTTCTGCTTTTTGGTCGGGTTGTTGTCTCTTTGACACATTCCCCATTTCCATTCTCAATATAATTTCCAGCGCCAATAGAATGAAAAAAAATGGGAGGGGAACCTTTTTTACCCCCTCAAATTTATATCATATTTTTTAAGATATCTTCTTAATTAATTCAACATCCTTTAAAACGTGAATGCTGTTAATTTCAGATCATTTTGAGCATTTTCTAGAAAAAATATGAGCCCTCAAAATTTGACCCCAATTAATCTCAATGGAAGTGTTGCTAAACTTTTTTTAGTAGCATATGTGAAGGCCATTTGTACTGTAAAACGAAAAGTAGTAACCTCTAGACGAGCAAGCATTATATCGTTCTTTATATGTTTTTTTGTGTGGAGTTTTTGTATCATGTATACAGAAGTGAGATTTTTGTTAATATCAAAGGATAGAAGAACAGATATATGATTATCCAAAGTCTCTTCTTTCGTGAATGATGTATATAGATATAAGAAGATGTGGTATGAGTGCCAAAGAGACAACTCTCCATCCAAGTCAAAATTTATACTGAAAGTAAACCATTATAGGTCACAGTACGGTCTTCAACACGGAGCCTTGGCTCACACCAAACAGTAAGCTATAAAGGGCCCCAAAAATTACAAGTGTAAAACCATTCAAACGGGAAAACCAACGGTCTAATCTATATAAAAAACGAGAAACGAGAAACACTTATGAACCACATCAACAAACGGCAACTACTGAACATCAGATTCCTGACTTAGGACAGGTCCAAATAAATGCAGCGGGTTGTGTATAAGTGGGATAGCCAGATTTACTTTGAATTCATAACTCTTTTATTTCCGAATCAAGTATATTTTTTTCTTGCATTAAACGACAATATTGTCTGAGGCTTTGTCTGCTGGAAGAACGCCATATTTTTGTTGAGAAGAAAGGATAAAGAATGTTTACTGTATAAGCTTCTCGCGATTACTGCACCATTACCTTGAAATATCAAGTCAACATATTCCTTCATTTCAAGCGACCTTCAAATAAATTAATGTTATTGATGTCATAAGGTCTTTTCTTTCAAACAATCAAGTTGTTGCCCGTTTTTCAGTTTGGACTAATTTGAATGTAGACGACCAAAACTATCGTGAAAAAATGAGTGTTACATAAAAATGATATTTCATCAGAAAAAAAATCCCCGAAAAGATGGGATCAAAATGAAATATGTTCACAATAAAAAAATGAAAAAAGTGTTTTGTATCTAAGCCTAACCAGCTTAGAGGGCTTTTATGGATGTTCTCAAAAATTACAATAATGTTAGATCATGGAATTTTTAATCTATAAAATTTCTGAAATGTTAAAGCTTTGAAAAATTTCCTCATAAACAATCAATTTCCAATTTTATTTTCATTTCAGGAAGTCCTTTCAAAGAAATAGTTTGTCTTTGTTGGGCAAGTGGATGCAAGGGCTTTGATCAAGCTGAGAGAAGGAATCAAGAGGGAAAGTACACCAAAGAGTCTGTGAACCGTGTTCGCGCTTTTTGTAAAATTTTACCAGTGTTTGGACTTGTTATTGTATACTTTGGAACCTATGCACAGGTATTTTAAGTCTTCATTATTAATTTGCAGATTTTTTTTATTGATTAACACTACTTATACATGAAGACACACCTTGAACCAACTCACCCTCCCTAAAAAACAGAATCAAAGATATTCATGTTTAATCATTTCAGTTAAACTAGTCTGAAAAAAAAAATTGTGTCATTTGGTCTCTTGTGGAGAGTTGTGTCATTGGCGATCATACAACATTATCTTATTTTTATATTTTTATTCCTGCCACATTCTGTATGTGCCATTCCCAAGTCAGGAGTCTGTAATTCAGTGGTTGTCGTTTGTTGCTGTATATCATACTTCGTTTATTGCTTTGTACATGAATCACGACGTCAGTTTTGTCGTTTGAATTGTTTAACCTTTGTCATGGCGTGGCCTTTTATAACTTACTATGCGGTATGAGTTTTGCTGATTGTTGAAGGCCATACGGTGACCACTTATAGTTGTAAACTTCTATGTCAGTTGGTCTCCGTTGAAGAGTTGTCTCATTGTCAATCATACCACATCCACCTATGAAGAAAGCCATGAATTTTCATGTATGCCCATTTTGTGGACTGTCCCTCATTTTTTATCTTATCTTCGGCATTTTATTATTTGATTTTAGACAGTTTTGGTCGTTTTCTTATTGTCTCTAAGTTCTACTATAATAGTCTTTCCGAAACGTATTAGACTAAATTTTTTTTATGACGGTTTATTTTAAGAATCGCTTTGAAAACAGTCTGTATGTCTATAAATTTATTTCCTAACACGCTGGATTGATTCAACTCGTGCACTGTATATTTTGATGTACATTTTTAAATCTTTTTTTCATTAGCAATGAGCATAAGAATACAGTAACAGTATCCAGAGGATGTCTACAGTATCAATTGTTTGGCACAATCTTTGATTTATAACATAAATTTTGGTAAATATCCGAAATTAAGCTGAGATGATTTCTCAATGTGTTAATCAGACATAATGGAAAAAAACGTTCTAAACACATTATATTTTCAAAAGGTAAGACAATTATCAGGCGAGTAATAAAATGGAGGTGTCAAACAATTTTTAACCGAAATCATTTACTATAATGGTAACGTTTTTCAATGATTTGTGACTGTTGTAGTTGTTTTCACATATGAACATTGCATTTGTTTGCACCTGTCCTAAGTCAGGAATCTGATGTTCAGTAGTTGTCGTTTGTTGATGTGGTTCATAAGTGTTTCTCGTTTCTCGTTTTTTTATATAGATTAGACCGTTGGTTTTCCCGTTTGAAAGGTTTTACACTAGTATTTTTTGGGGCCCTTTATATCTTGCTGTTCGGTGTTAGCCAAGGCTCCGTGTTGGAGACCGTACTGTGACCTATAATGGTTTACTTTTATAAATTTTGACTTGGATGGAGAGTTGTCTCATTGGCACTCATACCACATCTTCTTATATCTATTTGAATTTACAATAAAAAGCTTGTTTCTTAAAAAATTCTTGAAAAAAGTAACTTGAGCAGACAAAATGATCCTTAGGTTCATCATGGCAAACAATTGCACTTTTTTCTTTCTGTTGTGATTTTCTGTTACCTTCATAATCTAAATACATTTTTCTGCCTGTAGTTTAGTAAGGAGGACTTGAGTGGTTTATGATTGTTGCTGTATATCATATTTGCTTTTCGTTAATTCTTTCGAACGTAAATTAGGCCGTTAGTATTTTCATTTGAATTGTTTTTAAATTATCATTTTTGGGCCTTTTATAGCTTATTATGCGGTATGGGTTTTACTCATTGTTGAAGGCCGTACGGTGACCTGTAATAGTTACTCACTTTTACGTCATTTGGTCTGTGGTGCAGAGTTGTCACATTGGCAATCATACCACATTATCTTATTTTCATATTGATTGCATTTTTTTAAAGCGCACAAAAGCCACATTTTTGCAAAGTATATCTGGGAAAGTTTTTAATAATGATCTTCAATATTACAGACAAGTTCAACGTTTTTTCTACAAAGTGAAAGACTGGATATCAGTATATGGTCGAAAAAAGTTCCTTTTGCAGTCCTTGAAAGTTTTGACAACATTGCCATTTTAATATTGATACCTTTCATGGAAATATTTATATATCCTCTACTGGGAAGGATAAATCGACCACCATCACGTCTACAGAGAATGGGTAATAACTTTATTCCTTAATACTTAATTATTTTAAAGGAAACATCATGTGTTTTGGTGAGAAAACATATATACATACAATATTGTCTTTTCTCAGTGTTAAGATTGATTTTGCTTTTGATTAATTAAAACATAACTTACTAGTAATATGTATTGCTAAACATTTATGAAAATATTATGGTCCTAAATCATGTCGATTTTATTTAGTTATATTTTTGACATTGCACAGCGTCACTGATGGATGTGTACTAATTGATTCTTAAGTCTAGGAGATCATGATTTGTTTATCAAGAATTAGTTAGAACTAATTTTCAGTATCTGTGAGTACTCTTGGATCGGTAATTTATGCCTTTTGTCTTTGTGTGACTTTATAAAACGTCACCAATGTCTGAGAAGAAAGTTGATGAACCAGGGTTATGTCAAAGAACGTCTCGTCCTTTTTCTAAAAAAAGTTCACCGGAAGATACCAAGACCTTGTTGATAAATATTCTGTATCAACTTCATAAATAGTACATGATGGTCTTGAAGTATAGATTCTAGGTACTGACGTTGTGTATCATCTTAATTACGTGTTATAGTGTTATTTTATTTGTCATTGTAAATTATTAAACTTTACTGTTTAGTCCATTTTTGGTAATATCCTTTTGGCGTGGCTCTGTACTTATACATCCTGCCATTGTGTTATTGTGCTATGGTCATTTTTTTGTATTTTTGTCTTTCATTTTTGCTTATGTGCTTTGTCTATATGCCATTTTATTTTTCTTTGTTGACATATTTGTTTGTTTTATAGTGATTAAGATTATAACACAATGTTGACTGCTGTATCCCTATGTTTGACACTTCTACCTATTATGTCTGTTTTTTTTTGTTCGCACATTGTTGTCAAGATAATGGAATTTTATGCGACTGTCATACAAATTAGAGGTTTAGCTCGGCGTTTTGCATTTGCGCCGATCTGCATTTCATTTGCGCCGATTTTTTCTTTCACTTGCTCCCATTTTTTCTTTCATTTGCGCCGGTTTGTGTACAGGTAAATATATACAGGTGAATGTTATTTTTTTATTTATCATTGTAAACCTCTTCCGTTAGCTCATTGTATATATGTTATAATTTGTTCATTGTAATGATTCTGGACTGTTATTCGTCAATCCTCTTAGTTTTCAATGGGTGCAGCTGCCCAGAAATGAGGTGCATAACGTGAAGTTGAGCATAATTATAATTATATAAGTACTTAGTACGTAGTCTAACAATGCATGACATTTGTCATCAGAAGGAGCGTTAGACATTATGTCAAAAATGAAGCAGTCTTCGATTTCATCTGGGGGAAGGAATCGTAGCCGGAAAAATTGCGATAGCCATTTACCAGTGTCACTTGATTTGTCTTTATACTCTGTGCTTAGCGTAACACCAGTTCTGAGCCAGATGAAAACGACAAAAATCTACTTGCAGGGGACAGCAGTTATATACATGTTTTAATTGACCATTCATAACATATGTACAACTGGCGAACGGAAAAGGTTTATAATGATGAATAAAAATAACATTCACCTGTACAAAATCGGGGCAAATGAAAAAATCAAATTGGCGCAAATGAAAGATCGAAAATTTTAAAAATCGGCGCAATTGTCATACCCGTTTAGCTACATGTAGCTATAAAACCAGGTTTAGTCCACCATTTTCTACATAAGAAAATGCCTGTACCAAGTCAAGAATATGACAGTTGTTTTCCTTAATTTTGATGTGTTTGAGCTTTTGATTGTACCATTGACAAGGGACTTTTCGTTTTGAATTTTCCTTGGAGTTCGGTATATTTGTTATTTTCATTTTTAGTTGTTTGTTGTGTTGATTGTTACACTTTGTTTTTATTTTGTGCTGTTACACCACTGTCACAGGTTAGGGGGAGGTTTGATCGCTTACATATATGTTAAACCCCGCCTCTTTCGATATGTTACTGTCCGAAGTCAAGAGCGCATAATTTAGTGGTAGTCGTTGGTTGTTGTCTGTCATATTTGATTTTATTTTATAAATCTGGCCGTTTGTTTTTTCTTTTGACTTTATCACATTTTGTTATGCCGAGGACTTTTAGATCTGACTATACCGAATGGTTTTTGCTCAAAGTTGAAGGCCGTACCTAAGGTGACAGATTTTTACCAATGTTTAAATCTGCTTAAATTGTTAAATCCGCTTCATTTGGACTATGTTTGATAATTGGCTCATTGGCAGTCATATCACATCTCTTATCTTGTATTTCCTATCATGATTACCTTGATAGAGGGTTGCTGCTCACAGGGAAGCTATATAACCAAGAGTTCCAAGTGGTGAAGTTGAAATCATCCCTTCGTAAATTACGGACTCCATCAAGAGTTGGTCGATCGTTATGGAATATCCGTTTCACAGATGATAGCGGATATGTTCCTAATGTCGTAACTACAATCCAGTCCCCTTTTCCCGAATGTGACCTACCGAATTAGACTTGTTACCGGGTGTGTACTAACATTAGCTACACGACGGGTGCCACATGTGGAACAGGATCTCCTTATACTCTTCCGGAGCACCTGAGATGACCCCCAGATTTTGGTGGGGTTCGTGGTGCTTAGTCTTTAGTTTTCTATGTTGTGTTTTGTGTGCTGTTGTTTGTCTGTTTGTCTTTTTCTTTTTTTGGCCATGGCGTTGTGAGTTGATTTCGACTTGTAAGTTTGAATGTCCCTCTGGTATCTTTCGCCCCTCTTTTATTGCATATGCTTTGAGTATTTTTTTACAGGTCGTAATGAGTTTTTCATAAACAATATAAATCTTATATTGTATTTGTATAATTCAAAATCAGTCAAAATGAAACCTCCAATTATTGATGATTTTTTTCCTAATTTTTGATAGAACGCTAGAAGCCAAACGGTAGGGCATTATTTGGTAAGATAAGGATATAGTAATTTTTTCAGTTGACCTTTTTATCTAGCTTTTGTATGTTCCGTTTAGATAATGGGTATTTGACCGTACAAATGTTTTGCATTTATGAATTTTCACCTGGCATAAAAAAGTACCATAAAAAAGTACAAATGTATGGCAAATTTCCCGTGAATTTTTTCACCCGAGGCAATTCCATGACGTCTTTCAATCTTAACTTATACTCACATATATGTTTTTTGAGGTTTATGTAACACTATGGTTTATTTTTAACATGTGACCAAATGATTGATTGCCTTTAGATGGCTCAAAACTGAAATATTGGTAGATGTACAAAATTAAAAAGAACGACATTCTTAACCTTAAGCAAATGTCTATTAAAAGTAAAAACAACGTCAACAAAGCATGTTAAATTTACGATATTTCATCAAAACTGTCTTCGGTATAATGAACAACCCTAGAAAACATTTTAATTTTAGAGTCAAAATCTATAATCCTTATACTCTTTAAAGCTCAAATTCTTGTAAAAGTTAACAACTTTTGGATTTTGACCATCACAAAAGTTTCATGCGTCCAAAATGCTTTTCTGAATTTAACTTTATCAGGAACGTTTAAAGCTTAAAACTTTTGAAAACCAAGGATGCATAAGAAACGAAACAGTTGAAAAATTGTATGACGAAAAAGGGCTAAAAATAATAGCCAAATCCATATACTGTCAACTTTGCCTGATAGAGCTCATATCTAAATAATTAATTGATATTGTTTACATTATCGGTATATGTAATAAATGAGCTATTAATTATGGTAAAAAAATCCTGTGACCATTATCTAGTCCTACATAATGATGGTGAGGGTTTTTTACGTTCATTAGACAACGACCCACAATATATAAGTTGGGTATAATTTTGCGTTTCTATTTTGTATACATTTTTTGCTCGGTAAAGCCAACGAGTACTCAATTAGTAATTCTTTACAGAGTTGACATCCCTTAGCTAGTTTGTAATAATGTGGAAATTAAAAGAGTTGGGAAGCAGTGAATTCCAAACTGTGTAAATTCTAGCGAAATAAAAATAAAAGATTACCTTCTTTGTGTAATGTTCCAGAATGGAACAAATTATCATGCTTCGTTCTCTACCTTCACATTTTTTTAGGTTGTGCCTCTACCTTTTGTAATGAATTATAACATGTTCATCACTGTTTTAGTGTGTCCAATAAAATGTACGAAATATTTGTTCATGCAGAAGGTTACCTATTTTCACTCATTATATAATAAATGCACTATTTAGATGGAATTATAGTGAATAACCTACATGTACTACTTTCAGGTCTAGGAATGATATTTGCAGTTTTGTCGGTAGTTGCAGCAGGTGTTCTAGAAATATATAGAAAAGAAGATCTTTCGGTCAATCAAACAATAGTAGGCAACTACTACAATGCGTCGTCAGTATCCATATTTGCTCAAATACCACAGTTTACGTTGATAGGCACAAGTGAAGTATTCACAAGTGTATCAGGTAATAGCGATATTTTGACATTTACGGATACAAAGAATTTAAAACTTTTATTGTATGAAAGTGAACAATCACCAATATTAAAAAAAAATGACTGAATAATGTTCAAATAGTTGTGCTTTCATACTTTCACAAAAACGTAATACAAAGAGTCTAGCAGAATAAATGTTTTAAGCTTCACGTGGACCCTTTGTGTAAAATGGTTGCGTTTTACCTCAAAATTTACTCTGAGTACAGACAAACTTGTGCATCTGGAAAAGTTTTAAGGCATACCATGCTCTAGGTAAATAAAACTCAAATGCATTTTATGTTTTAGAAAATTACATACTTAACTGGATTTTGCTGTGTACTTTTAACGTCCTTGTAGAAGATGATAAAATTAACAACCAGTTGAGTTTCACTTGATAAGTCTACTCAGTGACACAGTTTAAATCTCCAATTATTGTCAGGTATCTATTGTCCCTCTATTGTCTGTGTCAATCAATATAGTTCATTTCAATTTTTACCTGTGGGGAAGTTCTCAAACCTCTTTCCCAAATTTGTTTATTTTTGCACCTATTGTAGGAACGAAAAAAAGTGCACTGCAGCATCCAGTTAAGTTTTTAATTTTTTTCTAAAACATAAAATGCATTTGAATTTTATTTATCTAGGGCATGTTATGCCTTAATTTTGTTTCAGATACACAGGTTTTTGTGTAATTTTGAGGTGAAAACAGCCATTTTAGCCAAAGGGTCCACATGAACCTTAATTACACATCTTTTACTACGACAAGGATATCAATAATGACACGCCTGGTTCTAGAAACTGTTTTAAATCTTTCATGCCAGGTTGGTTATTTTCCAATATTTAGAGATTATGAAAGGGATCGTACATTCTTCTAAATTTCAAAAGTAACTGGAAGAGAACGTCATGAAAAAAACCTGTTAAAAAATTGGAATATTTCTTTTTCTTCAAAAAGATGGTTCTGGTTGATTATCATACTAAACATTTCGGAAGTAAGTTTAGGCAAAATCGTTGCTTCCGGAATATGAATTAGCTGACAAAACAGCCAACAGTGTTTTCGCTGTTTGACGTTAGAACTTATTGAGATTTTCAGAACCTGAAACTTTTTATAACACAAAGAGTTATCACAGTCAAAACTGAGACAACACATCCTAAGACGTACATACTATCATTAAAGATATGGTCGCAGACAAGCATGTTTCGACAATAACTGATCTGAAAACTGCCCCGTAACTACCACAAGTTGTACTGATTTTTAGCTTCCGTTATTACACAATAAATCTGATAAATTTCGTTTTAATCAAATAAAACATTCAACTAAAAATTTTCTATTCTTCTGAGTAGTGCTTTAACAACGGTTAAGGCACTTGCAATGAAACAAAGCTTAATTAAAAACAATTATAAACCTATTTTTGGATTTTTTAAAAGTCTCGAATAAGTCACTTGTCATGCAGGTAAATTTGTCTTCGTTGACAGCTATTATTCATTTAGACTATACTGGATCACCAAATTGTAGATATCTTATTAGTTGTAAATTTTCCTCTTGAATTCTTTCGAAAAACCTGGATATTACTTTAACTTGTAGTCTTTACAAATCCTATTTGAATAATAAAACTGACAATATACACTTATTGGACATACAATAATTGAAAAAAGTATACCAGTTTGAGCATGATAGTTTTTAGCTATAGGTTTATTAGACATGTTAGATAAATGTTTACAGTTGACAAATGAGAGTTGACAGTCTACAGTTGAGACATTTAAATAAGGAATCATCTCAAAAGTATTAATTTGATTATTGATTAACTCGGCACACCAATGGCTTTTCTAACATTGCTTCTAATAATTATAAAAAAAATATGAGTGCAGGCTAATCCACCTTTAATAAAATGATTATTGTAGGGTGGTTGATAAATTTGTTGCATAACATCAAACGACAAATATATCATAAAGATGGGTTTGATGATTTATTGAAATTTTGCATACAATCGATTGATTAGCTTGGTTTGTTTTCTTGATTGAATGATGTATTGAGTGACAGTTTTATTACATATAGAGACGGATATTTCATATTGATTTATTCATTGATATATTCTTACTGTGACGTTCAACGACAAATATTTAACGCAAATTCTTTACTCACTGAATGATAGATGCAAAGGGCAGGTCGGGTTCGGTTTCCTAGGAACAAGCGGAACTAAAACGTAGGGCCTAGACCCCTATACATTACACGTTTTCGAATCATTGCAACATTTTTATTTGTATTTAAGTCAGGTTATTTCTAGCTTGTTGAAAATACAGGATTTAACACCCCTCTTCTTCTTCCGTTTCGAGAAATATATCCTTATATTTTCCAATATAATTTCAATAAGAACATGCATAGATTATCCACTCCAAAAAACTCTCATTTAATCTTCCTTAATGAATATCCTTTTTATTCTAGGGATTATCGGAATTTATGTTTTGAGTATTTGTTGTATATGTATTTTGTTTCCATTGTACTTAAAATCGGACTTGGATCTCAACTTTTGATTTATTTTTTTCACATATCTATGTGAATCTGAAAATTCACTGGTATGTTCTTTTTTGCTTTTAGCCCGTGTATTAAATCGATGAAGTGGTTCCCATCCTGTCTTTTATGTAGCAGGGGTTGGGGCATTTTATACAGAATGAACGTTAAATACTCGTCACTGGACGTCAAACAAACAATCAATCAATGAATTACTCAATATGAAATATGCGTCTCTTTACGTTATGGAAACTGTCAATCAATAAATCATTACATCAATAAAACATCCAATCAAACAACTAACCATTACACCTACCGACCAAATAATCCACCGATATGAAGAATTTGTCACTTGATATTAACAAACAGTTTATCAACCAATAAGCCAAGCTATCAACCAAAAGGTATATTTAATTTTCAAAATATGGAATTATTTTCATTTCCAATTGTTTGCAAAACATCTATTGGCTAAAACAATTTTTTTTATTTATTAGTAACAATGTTATAAAAGGTATTCATGTACCATGTAATTCAATAATGAAGTTCATACTTTTGAAATGACCCCTTATCTAAATGTCTCAACTCTAGACTCGACTGTCCATTGTCGATTTTAGTTCGTGTAGGACTCGAAAGTGCGATGGTCACGCTAAAGTGCGATGGTCTCGCTAAAGTTCGATGGTGTCTCACGCTAAAGTGCGATGGCTGTTTGTTTGCTAAAGTACGATGGTATATCACGCTAAACGGCGATGGCCCAATAGGGTAAGGTTCGAGGGCTTTTAAACGATTAAGTACATGGATGTTAAAAAATAGTCTTTTTACAAAAGCTAGTATGCTTAGGTATAGCATAAGTGATATGATTTATAATTTACCGATAGGCTTAAGTGATTGTGTCTAAATTAGAAGATCGACCACGTAATAATTGCTAAAAAGTTAATCTATCTGTCACAAAATACTACATTTCCTGTAAAATGATTTTTTAACAATTCGGGCATATTAGATATTTGGATAATTGGTGTACCTTGCCGTTCATACAGTCTATCACTAATATGAACACCTCTCTTACAGTCGTCATTGTAAATTACAAATACAAAATGCGTTCATTGTCACTGAAATGCGAGAGAAAGGCGATGTTCGCCGAGCATTCTCCTTTTTCGTAGAGTAAAACAATTTATAATTTAATCTTGAAAACATGTACCTTTATTTTACTGACGTTACTTTTAAATAAAATCGACAATATTTTAAACTGAACCGTAAACAATGATTTAAGGTGGTACCCAACACCTTGACTAATATTAATTTGGCTCGTTTAATTTTCATAAAATTTTGACAAAATGTTTACTTTGACCCTTTGACAAAAATATAAAAATTTCAAAAAATTTGAACCAACCACTTTATCAGAAAAATTTCATTGGTTATATAGCAGTTTGACAAACACTAATTTTGATCATTGAGAAGCTTAATATTTCCTTAACAATACAACGTAATTAAAACGTTTAGCTGATTTTTACAGAGTTATCTCCCTGTAGTGTTAGGTACCACCTTAAATGCATCCGTTCGCGTCCAATAGAAGCAGGATACATTTTTGGTTTTGTATAAACAACTGTTAACGTCATAATCCAACTAATACTTTCGCGGACCATCGGACTTAAGCGTATGGAGCCATCGCATTTTAGCGCAGACCATCACATTTTAGCGTGACCATCGTACTTTAGCGTCCCCATCGCACTTTAGAGTCCTACAGTAATCATTTATCTAACATGTCTATTTGGAAGTTAAAGTGTATCGTTTAGTGGTTGGAGTCTCCATTTGGATATACCTGTGTCGTTCTCATCGCTATTTCTTTCCTGTTACGAAGAAAGTGTAATGGCTAAATTTTAAAAAGAAAAGTCACTTGATATTTTCTGCAGTATGCATCTACATTATTCACTTCCTCTTACTATATACAACTCTTGAAATAGTTGTAGTCCTTTTCTACATCCTTGATATTGGAAGTGTTCATTCTAATCTTCTTTCTACCAAAATGTGGCAAATAATTCTTCCTTTCATTTCGTTAATTTTCCTTAGCTTGTCGTGAGTCCATATCCGGGGATTTAGTAAATAATTTGATCTTGATTTAAGTTATTGCGCACATTGTTTGATGTGGCTTATTTCATTATCGTTTTGCTTTTCCTGTGTTTTTTATTTGTTTCTAACATCAGTTGAAGAGAGATTTTTTTCAGATTTGATAGCAGATCTGTGATTATCTATGTTAAATTTATTCATTACTATTAAGAAGCAAGGGAAAAGTGGACTTTCAAAATGAGACTTGTAATTGAAATACTATGCTCTACTAAAATAAAGTTGCTCTGTCTGTCTATACGTCTGTGAAAAACTTAATCTTTGGAGCAGGAATGTATATCTTTGAAGATTACTACCTATCATGACATAAATCATTTTGGTATTTGAACATGTTCAGGGACAAATGCCCACTATCCCCAAAATATCGTGGATTTCCGAATTCTAATTCTAATAGGATTTGATGCATAACTGTTATGTTAAGGTGGCTCGGCCCTTTAACAGTGTGCATATTTTAACGCATGTTACTAACGACGAGCGCCTTGGAAACGGTCGCTTTGAGGGGTTTTCTCAAAAACAGTTTTGACGACATTGGAACGCGGGCGTGTATGAAAGCACCCTTTCTCGATGTCAACAAACCATGCAAAACGTTCTACAAAAGCCACAAAACAGGAAATACGTACGGTCAGGACTACAGAGTGGTTTGTTCATTTTTCACATAAAAAGAACAGAATTATACATGATATATTAAAGCATAACATTGAAAAAAAGAAAATATAAATATTGACTTGTAGTTGTACGACGGTATCTGGTGCGTTCGCTCCAAAAACACATTCTCACTCTACACGTTCGCCCCTTGGATCCGTTCGCACCCTATTTTCATTTAAATACTGGTTGAATATATCAAAAGATGTCTTTTAGATGTATTAGTATCTATATGAAAATATTTTGCCAATGACGCAATGTTTAACCGTAAACAAAGGATAGCGATGTAAACAACTGCATGTCACCTTTCGGCTTTCAAAAACAAGTAAAACCCATATAGTATGCTATAATATAAAGGCATCGGGGTTCATCTGCACGCTATAAATAATAAATAAATAAATAAGCTTTATTTAGAGTCGGCAAAGTATACAAACAGAGTCAACATAAGCTCTAATGAGCTTTTAACCGTTTTATCCGTTTGGCGTATTATAACATTTTGTTACTGTCATAAATCTCTTTTTTACTTGAACTATCTTCATTTCCAAGTATTGGTAGGATCTTATTCCGGAGTATGTGAAATATTTTCCCACTGTAAAATTTTGATAATATATATAGTTACGTATTTTTTATTTGCCAAAAATTTTTGAACATAACAATTCCGGAGTATGTGAAATATTTTAACACTGCAAAATTTTGATAATAGTTAAGTATTTTTTATTTTCCAAAATTTTTTTTTGGACATTACAATTTGGAATCTTTTGAATTCCCTTTTTATAATTCTTGATACACAAACAACATTTTTGTTTTCTCGAAAAATCAACAAAGTTTTATGTAAAGGGGGGAAAGGGGAGGGGCGGTAAGTTATGAGGCTCTACATATGTTATTATCTCAAAACTATTGAGTTTTAAAAAATACGATTTGCTATTTTCTTGCAGCATAACTGAAACAGAAAAGACGACACAACGGCCTAAAACTGTTTGTTAAGATTACTTAATCGCGAGTAATAAACTTTCAGAGTACCCGGTAACCAAATATTTTATCATTAATGACGGATTTAACTGATACAGTCATTAAGGTTTTTGCTTTTCTGTCAGTGTGCGACGTGGGTAGCATGTGCTTGCTGTGCCAACTTTTAGAAAAGGCAAGCATCTTCGGATACGGTATTATCAGTTTTATTCTAAATTAAACAATGTGTTATGCCCCCTCTACTTAACAGCTCGGGCATAAAGTATACTTAATTTCGTCTTTCCGTCTTTCTTTTTAGGAGGGGGCTTCTAAGACAGCATGCTAATCGCTCTCGATAATAGGGACACAAAAAAAGTACACGAATATTTTGTCCTTATGCCTTATCAACAGCAGTATAATTTTCCTATTTATAATTACTGTTTGACAAGTTTATTATAATAATAGCGCAGACGAAATAGGTCAACTATTAAAAAGTTATCTGCCCCTTTCCAAATAGTAACTCTTATGCTCATAATTTCTTGTAGGTATGGAATTTGCATATTCGGAAGCACCAGACATGATGAAAGGAGTTTGCATGGGTTTATATTTAGACACAATAGGAATAGGCACTTATTTTGCATTAATGATCATTGCAGTAGTGAAAAAAATATCTAAAGGTACAGTGTAGTGTTACATATATCACATAATCTGTGAACTTAAACGCAAGTCGTTGTATTAATTCCAAAGAAGCTTTATACTAATGCCTTTCCAAAACTAGTTTACAGATACACAACAATAAAATTAGAAAGATTGAACTTTCAGAAACAAACGAGTTATTTACTTTGCAAGTAACAAAGAAGTTATATCAACCTGGCCATTCTACGTGAGTAATTTCATCACTTTATCGGGAAATCAGATGTCTTTGAAATCAGTAGAATTCAACAGCATTCAATCGTTTTAAAAAATCGATCGAAGAGTCGTTGTCATATTCCCTTTCAGTTACAGTAAGTTTTAGGTTAAATAGATTTGACGGCACTAAACTTTCTGCCTGTATGATAGCTGTAAACATTTCAGAAGTCGTTCATAAACTGGAAAATCACCACTCTTCACATTTCAAAGACAAATAAAATACAAACGTACAAAACAAATATGCAAAAATACAATGCTTTTCAAAAAGTAAGAACAAAAAGAAAGTAGCAATCAAAATTAAAAGTCGAAATAAAGCAGACATCGTCATGGCAAAAACAGAAATAAATAGGATGAAAAAAAAAAACAAATAATCCAATACACAGAAAATAAATGAGCAACACGAACCCTGCATATAACCGAGAGAGAACTCAAGTGCTGGGAAGGGTATGGAGTACTAGTGACACCCGTCTGATTAATCGTGATTGAATGTGATAAATACTCATACGATATTAACCTTTGGTCTCTATTTATTTTCTTTTTTCACTCATTGTTTGATTGTTTTAACAATTTATTACACAACATTTTGTGTTACCTTTAATATGAAATTATCACTGGTGCGTCCGAAGCGCTTTTCTGGAAATACCTTCATCAGGAACGCTAAAAATCAATACATTGAAAGCCATGGATGATATTGTATTAATACACGAGGAGCCAACTTTTCCTGAGGGAGTATGAACCTTAGTTTTTTTTAATAATTTACAAATTTATCAACAGAAATTTTAAGAATTGAATGTTTTGAATTTATAGCACTTTACATTTCTATTTGATGATGTGTTTATTTATTCAGTCATTTGGCAAAACGACTTTGAAATGATAATGAAAATAATGTATACATGGTTTGTGTATTTTTGTATTCCAGATTCGTGGTTTCCAGATAATATCAACGAAGGAAAGGCAGAATACTTATTCTTTCTATTTGCAGTGCTCACTTTTCTCAATTTCATACTGTTTATTTATGTTGCAAAAAGATACAAGTACTCGAGTGAACGAAACAATGACAAGTCTCATGACGAAGGTCATGACCAAGGCGATTGAAAAAAACCAGACAATTTCGTTATTTAAGCATTTAAAACATAGAAATGAATATTATGCCAATGTTATAAAATTAATGAATAATTAATTAATAAAATGTGGGTTCTATGAGAGTTAGGATATGCATTGAGAATTTGTAAGATAAAAAAAATCATATTAGTCGATTCCGTATGAAAAATTCTATTTTGGATATTGTCGATGATTATCAAGTTTAACATTTATGGAGTTTTTGTAATTATTGACCAAAACAACTTTGGAATAACAGTTTAGGGTTTTGTCGAAGCAACAATAGATTTCGAAGTAATATATACATAGTTCAAATAATTATAATCAGGTACAAGTTTCTGGAAAGTCAACCTATTATTTCCATGTTTGTAATGTTTTAGAAAGTTTCTGAATGTAACATTTAAGCGAGAGAAAAAGATGGATTGATTTCCAACGCATTCCTTTTGCCATGCAGCTGTTTTTTTTAAAATGTATTTTCTCTGAAACTGAATCTATCATGTGTACTTTTTGAGGATCTGTCAATATTGTGTCGTATATGTGTTACTAATCAATTAACAAATGCTTTAAGATGGCTAAAAAATCAATATATATATATATATAATTCAAGAGTCTATCCTAAATTGAGGTAAATTGTATGGCTTTCCAAATACCGTTTCGATTCCTTACATCACTGAAGAGACATTAATTGTCGAAATCCGGATATGGTGTACAAAAACCTTTGCCCCTTTTGTTTGCGGTATACCATCTTTTCCGCAAGTTTATTGTTTTCTGTTTAGTATTAAATTTATAATTGAGTTCCATTTATTACATCGGTGATCCGTTTATTTGGCAATCGCCAATGGCAGTCAGCAGGGTTAAAGAACATTTGTTGTTCGACCTGTTAGTCAAATGCGTTTTGTTAAAATATACTTTTTCACTTTTTTGGTCTTTTGGAAAATGTTGTTTGTGCTGTATTTAGACCCCTCTAACAAGAAATTTGTTTTGCATGCACACGTATAAAAATTGCGGTTTTTATCCAACGCAATCATAGGTTTGAACGTTGTTTTCAATTTAGACTTGTTTATATTTTTTCGTTTGGGCTTGTATTATATTTGCCTTCGGGTTTATATGATCCGTTCATCCTATTTTGACTCCTCAAAATTCAAGAGTCAATCCTAAATTGAGGTAAATTGTATGGCTTTCCAAATACCGTTTCGATTCCTAACATCACTGAAGAGACATTAATTGTCGAAATCCGGATATGGTGTTCAAAAACCTTTGCACCTTTTGTTTGCGGTATACCATCTTTTCCGCAAGTTTATTGTTTTCTGTTTAGTATTAAATTTATAATTAAGATCCATTTATTACATCGGTGATCCGTTTATTTGGCAATTGCCAATGGCAGTCAGCAGGGTTAAAGAACATTTGTTGTTCGACCTGTTAGTCAAATGCGTTTTGTTAAAATATACTTTTTCACTTTTTTGGTCTTTTGGAAAATGTTGTTTGTGCTGTATTTAGACCCCTCTAACAAGAAATTTGTTTTGCATGCACACGTATAAAAATTGAGGTTTTTATCCAACGCAATCATAGGTTTGAACGTTGTTTTCAATTTAGACTTGTTTATATTTTTTCGTTTGGGCTTGTATTATATTTGCCTTCGGGTTTATATGATCCGTTCATCCTATTTTGACTCCTCAAAATTCAAGAGTCTATCCTAAATTGAGGTTAATTGTATGGCTTTCCAAATACCGTTTCGATTCCTAACATCACTGAAGAGACATTAATTGTCGAAATCCGGATATGGTGTACAAAAACCTTTGCACCTTTTGTTTGCGGTATACCATCTTTTCCGCAAGTTTATTGTTTTCTGTTTAGTATTAAATTCATAATTAAGATCCATTTATTACATCGGTGATCCGTTTATTTGGCAATCGCCAATGGCAGTCAGCAGGGTTTAAGAACATTTGTTGTTCGACCTGTTAGTCAAATGCGTTTTGTTAAAATATACTTTTTCACTTTTTTGGTCTTTTGGAAAATGTTGTTTGTGCTGTATTTAGACCCCTCTAACAAGAAATTTGTTTTGCATGCACACGTATAAAAATTGCGGTTTTTATCCAACGCAATCATAGGTTTGAACGTTGTTTTCAATTTAGACTTGTATATATATATATATATATATATATATATAAGTCTAGAGATTTGCACAACGATACTAATATAAGATGGTATTATACGAAGATGTTGTTAATAAACCGTGTTGACAAATATTTCGGCTTAACAAATAGCCTTCTTCGGTGTCAATTATTTTAACAATACTGAAGTATTGTTAAAATAATTGACACCGAAGAAGGCTATTTGTTAAGCCGAAATATTTGTCAACACGATTTATTAACAACATCTTCGTATAATACCATCTTATATTAGTATCGTTGTGCAAATCTCAAGACTTATATAATTTTTTTCCTTATCTGCACAGTATCGTCTATTCTAGACGATCCGGTACATAGTAAATTTGCTGGTTGGTCCTTTTTATAGACTTCTATATATATATATATATATATATATATATATATATATATCAAGTTTTTATTATACATCTTGAAATTTAAATAAATGACTGGATATTAAGTACCGATTTAATATAGTTTGTTTGGTATATTCCCGATTGTCTTTCTTTTTTCAACGTCCAGAGGCATGATGATTTGTTTGATCTTGAGTTAATGTGTTGCTATCTCTCGAAGCCCTCATATCATGGAAAATTCTAGGACTTACCTTGTTTTTATAATAATTATTATATAAACACCAGTTATAACCATTATGCAATTATTATAGAATAAAAATCCATTCTTTTGTCAGTTTTGTAATCTGATTATGAACATTATCATGTAATACTGCTTGAGAGTATAGTGGAATTATATAAATTAACAATGTCACGTACATTGCGGAAAACAGTAAGAAATGATCGTTATTGTACATCCAATCTCTTCTTGTTTTGGAAGGTGGAACATCACTAAAAAGTGTTTTAGATTACAAACTATATTTCGTTATTTTTTTTTTTAATTTCCATAGTCAACAGGTAAGGTAATTCTACTACAGAATCCCTAAAGAATCAAAGATAGTTACAGAAATATAGTTTTCTTTTCGGTCAATGTAATGATTGGCCTCGTTTTTTCGAACTTTAATTGGGGAATGGACTTGGGGAGGGAGAGTTTGGTGACAAAATAATGAAAAAAAATGCAAAGCTCTGATTCCTTGTCCAGCTTTGGCTATACTTTTAGTCGTTTAAGGTTTATAAGCTCTTCATGTTTAAATAAGTTTTGGATTTTCAAACATTTTGGCATCGAGCATCATTGAAGAGACATTTATTGTTGAAATGCTAATCTGGTTCAGAAAAATTGGTACCGTTAATGTTATACCGTTTTAACTTGAAGACCTCTCTATGCAATGTGTAAGTTAAAGGGTCGAAATACTGTGCGCCTAAACGGGAAGCACAACTTAAAAAATGCTAATGAATAAAGTTAAAACTAATCCAGACCCTTGGAAAAAAACATGAAACAGAAGACGTAGACGAATTTTATCAGCTTGTTGATACAAACAAAATTTTATGAAAGGCTAATGGGTCTATGACCAATACTTCTACACTTACCTTCAAAGATGCGGATGCTGCAAAACACTTCTCTTTTCTATGAACTGGTAGCCGTTTCATTCCCGAGGGTTTCACAAGCCAAATAAACAGCCCTTCTAAGCTGTCAAAAAACATCATTGATGCGGTCATTTTCTGTAAATTTCTGGTGATCAAATGTTAAAATCATTTGAAGAACTAAGGTTTTTTTTTAATCAGGCATAGGTAGTCTTATTTAGATTTCACACAATTTTTAGAGTTTTCGGATTTCTATGCTCTTCAACATCGTAATTTATTTGACCTCTTAACTGATTTGATACAAGCACAACTAACGGGTCTTAGTAGTACACGAAATGCGCGTTTAGGGTACTCAATTTGAAGCATGGTACCATCTTTGAATTTCTACCCTTATGATACCTGCAAACTATGCCTACTATCACTTTTGCTTGTAAATCACATTATATAAATTGCTTCACTGTTTCATGATCTTTTGGAATTTCAACAAAAGATAAAGAACTGAATCTTCCTTCCCCCTTCTGAATACCCAAATTACATAAGTGTTCGAACGAACGTACAGGTTTTCGTACTGCCATGCTGATACTTATGGACTGACAAAAAATAAATAAACAGAGAATTTGTAAATCATATAATTTAGTTCATCCGCCAAATACGTTGTTTCCTTAAAGGTTGTTAAGCGTCCTCTTTGTCTTTAATGAAAGTTAATCACTATTTAACGTTTAATATCGATATATTGTCAGTTTCCATCACAAATTAATACAATCTTCGAGTATGCTATACATGAAAATCCATGTACTGGGCTAAACGAAACACATTAAAGCATAGTAACAAAAGCTGATAAAATGTAAACAATTTTATTGAAATATACACAATATAAAAGAATAATTAACAAAACTATGTGCGCATATATGTTTTTAAATATAAAACAAATCTAAATTTTACCAGCCCTTCTTGAATATAAAAGGCAATTATGGAAGAACATAATGCAAAAATGCAACAAAATATGTTTAAAAATATTAGCATTTTAAAACTGTGATATGTTTCCGTACAGCGAATATGTTTAGACTAGCAACTACAAAATGACAAATTGTTAACCCTATAAAAAGTACTGACAAAAGATCAGTGCTTATAAAAAAACACCATTTTCATATTTTGTACCTTGATGTTTTATTGCGTCTGTATTTTTCCTTTTGCAGATTCATAAAATAACAGGAAAATTCCCACAGTAACTGTTACAGATTTGATATCAAAATAACGCATAAAAGGTTAAAAAGGTATATGAGTAAATAATTAAAATATGCTGAAAACCTTGCCATCGGTAATTGGAGCTCACATTAAAATTTGAAATGGATACCCCGTTCTCCAAAAGAGCAAACATCTTCTATCCTGGCGTTATCATGTGTTTTTTAAAATATACAATTATTAATATTTGCCGTCCAAATTTCTTGAAAGCTAACCTATTATTTCTATGTTTGTAAAGTTCAAGAAAGTTTCTGAATGTTACATGTACTTGAGAAAAAAAAATATGGGTTCTAATATGACGTTCTTCTTTCGCTTTGGAAACAAAGCCATGTTATAATACGAATAAAACATGGGCTGCACGTGATTGACGTCTATTTGAAATTGCAACGTCAGTTATATTTTAAACAACGCCGGAGATCAAAATGAACATTTGTGTTGGTGTTGCTTGCTAGATAATTCTATCATGCCATGATCTATGCGCATTTTAACATGGGTAGGCATTATATTTGTCAATATCTTTATACCGAGCGTAAGCGAGGTGTAAAATGTTGACAAATATAATGCCTACCCATGTTAAAATGAGCATAGAGCATGGCATGAAAGAATAATTTTTTTAATGTGTTTCCCACGCTTTCTTTTTACCATGAAGCTGTTTTATTAAAAAGATATATTTTCCAAATGGAATCTATCATGAAAGATTTGTGAGGATCTGACAATATTGTGTCATATATATATATATATATATATATATATATATTGTTTATTGTTTTCTGTTTGGTATTAAATTAGTAGTTAAGATCCATTTTGTTACATCCGGTGATCCGTTTATCTGGCAATCGCCAATGGCAGTCAGCAGGGTTTAAGAACATCCGTTGTTCGACCTGCTAGTCAAATGCGTTTTGTTAAAATATACCTTTTTTTTACTTTTTTGGTCTTTTGGAAAAAGTTGTTATATATATATATATATATCTCACCAATCAATTAACAGATGTTTTAATATGGCTAAAGCTTAAATGATTATGTCAGGATAATAAAAAATCATACGATTACGAAAGACATATGATGCAGTAAAGGATCATTTGAATTAGACACAAAAACAATTAATGATATGACAAAAATAAAGGTTGATACATTATTGTCGTCTATCCATTAAAAAATCACCGATTGTCTCAATATATAAGGTTTTTTTTTGAAAAAATATACATTAAATACACTCATCAAAGATAACAGGCTTATAATTCAGTATACTAGCCATGCTGATTGTCTGACTATAACAGTACAATTCAAATTTTATTCAACGAAACATTTAAAGAGAAATTTAAAAATCAACTATCAAAACTTTCCATTAAAATGTGTATAAGTATTGGCTTTTTTCAGAGAATGTATATTGATAAATGGAAAAGAAATATCAAAGCCTTGCAATGATGATGCAGTCGTAGCGGTAAAAATTCACGATTGCTATAAATATTCGTCGTTATGATATTTACTTGAATGCGTTGTTTGTATCGCCGATATTAACCGTATATAAAAGAATAAATCTGTTTTGTTAAAACTTTGTTGAATAACTTTCATCGGCATATACAGCATTGTCATATCCTGGTGGTGCCTGTTTTTCTGATAGAACTTGTTTTTCAGGTACTGTTAATGCTTCATAATTTTCAGCCTGGGTTTTTCTGTATTTATAACATTTTGCAACAAACACAAAAATAACGAAATCAACAAACATCAATATTCCAAGCAGGAAGAATAAATATTCTGTTTTACCCTCGTTTATTTCATCTGGAAACCATGAATCTGAAGAAGAAAAAAGCTCAATCATTCTTATATACTTTCATCTAAAATATAAGTACAAATCGACTTTCGAAAGATTTCTATGTTTAGGCCCTTTGGTTTTGAAGCTCTTGATAGAATTGAGAATAGTGGTACATATCGAGTTACTAATGGCAAGCAAAAAACTCAGTGATAAGTCGCATTCAGTGATTTCATAATCGAGGAAAAGAGAATAGGAGTGTGCCAACGACTAGTCAGAAATTTCCGAAGTCGTTGTGATACAGATATTCATCAATTTTCAACAAAATTCTGAAAGCATCTTTTTTTTAAACTTTTAAGGGGCAGCTTTAATAATTTTCTTGTTATCAACAGCTTACTGTAAAGATTATGATAGGAAGCGCTTATCAGGGAATATCACATCAACTCGGATATGGATACACTATCGCACTGTTCTTACACAGTATCACAATGGAAAAATAGAAATCATCTTTTTCATAAGTTCGTAATCAACCCTCCTTGTCAATATCTAGATGTAAGATAAGAGGTTTAGAATTTTTTTTAGAAACAGTTTATCATAAATATAACGGAACGCGAAGTTAAAGAATAAAGCTAGTTTATCACTTGACAAAGGTTTCAACTCAGGCAAAGTTCACCTTAGATTGATTTGGCGATTATTTTTATGTCGTTTTTGGTTATATAGCTCTCCAACTGTTCCGGTCCTTACACATCCTTAGCTTTCAAATAGTCGGCTCTGAGCGTTCCTGAAGTTAAATCAAGAAAAGCGCTTTGAACGCATACATTTATAAAGTGTTGTTTTCATTCCGTTTGATAGATTTGAACATCGGCAAACTACTGTCGCCTGAAATAATTTCATTCTTCTTGAGAAATCCTTGCATGAAGTTTGCCTCACAGGAATATACGAAAAAGGCGCAAGAGTATTAGGAAAAGAGTTGGTTTCTATAGGAATGATTTTTGTCTGTAAAAGACCTGTCTCCCAAACGTTACAAATATGTTGCCAATAAAAAAAGAGATAGCAGTTTCAGCCGACATTTTGATCAAAACATCGTGTTTGTTTTACAAAGTATGATTTGTCTGTTCCTCAAACAATATATTTGTTTTCTAGCAGATGCATACATAGGTTCCAGTGTATGGCAGATTCTCTCAAGTTTTTTTTTTTAAAGTAATTCCCTAATTGATTTTGTAATTGTCAATATAAATGCTTTTGGTTCGTGTACTCATGTAATCATATCCCTAATTTCTTTTTCAGTATTACTATTGTTTGGAGCTTTAACATGTATTGATTTTTATTTATAACTAACACCAGGACAATTTATGGTTTGTTTTTCATTTTATAGTTTGTTTTTCATTTTATAGTTGATCTTAAAGATGATCTGATATTCCATAGCTTGCATATCGGATCAAGCTTCGTTGGTACAGGGGTTTTTGACGGACGCCATCATGAATTATTGACCATAATTGAATATCTGTAAGACAGATGACTTGATATATTCCATCTGTTGTGGCAGCAGTCCATCACCTTTTCTTGTTTTAAGACTTTTTAAAAAAAAATTTTAACGGTTGACAGGTTTCACGACGGGTACCACTATTGGAGTAGGAACTATATACCCTTCCTTCACACTTGATTTATTTTAAACTTTCTGGTTTTTTTTTTAACGTTGTGATATATTTTCGTCATTTTCTGTCATAAAGCTATGGTCTGAATCTTTATATGTGTTTTGGAACTATTCTTGAAAAAATAATTAAGCCCATTGTTAAAATATGAAAATGAGGATGTGTTTTATGATTGCCCATGAGACAACTATCCAGTGACCAAAGGACAAGTGAGATATTACGGTCAATGTACTGTCTTAAAAAATAAGCAAAAAACATACCGTATAGTAAGCATTAAAAGGACCTGGTATGAAATAATATTAAACAATATAAAAAAGAAAACCAACGGCCTGCTGTATACTACAGAAATGAATAAAAACAAATATGGCCGACTGCAACCAACGACAACATGGACACGCACAAAATTAACCATTCCTTGCTTGGGACAAGCACATAAAGAATGTAGCCTCGTTTGACATGTTTATGAGCGCTAAACCCTCCGATTAACATTGGACAGTGGTGTAACAACCTAACAAAGGAACACATTATTAAAGTCAGTTCGAGAGGGCTTGACTCATTAAATTGATACTCAGCATAAAAAAAGACAAATTACAAAATACAAAAAGTACCGATCTAAGACTACTAGCAGTTATTTAACGTAATATTTTGATTTAAAACATGAAACTTGAACTGCTATTTTTTGCATTTTTCTTTCTCTTTAGATAGTTTTTTTAATACAATATTGTTAATTTTAACTTTTGTCCGACCGTTTAGAACCAATCGTTTCTATTTTACCTGGTGGTTCGGATCCAGTAGCTGCCCTGACAATCTTCAATATAGCTTCTGATACATAGTTTCCCAATCCTGACATCATTAGAAACAATCCCATACATACACCTTGCATAAAGTCTGGAGCCTGGGAATATGCAAATTCAAGTCCTACAAGAAAAAACGACTAATATTGCATATACACTGAAAAGTCTATAAGATAACATTCAATTACAAGGAATACAAATATCTTATTTAAATAGCTTTAAATCTTCTGATGCATACAGGATGCAAATGAATTTTGATCCTTTGTGTCATTAAAAGCTGTCTCATTGATAAATACCTCAATATTCATTCATTATCTATAGTTTACGCTCCTTAATAAAATTTTGAACGAATGATAAAAACAAGAGAATATGTACATTTTTCTTTTTTGGGGGGTTGAAAACTCCTCCCATTTGTAACTATCAATTAATTGATTAACTACATTTTGCAAAAAGGGACAAGGGACAAATAGCTAAATTTCAACTAATAAATAAACCTTATTCTTCCAGACAAAAATGCCAATTAGTACACCTCTGACAGATTTAGTTAAGGACGTAATTTTTTTTAAATTTTGTCACAGATGAATAGTTAATGCGATTTCCAAGATTTGTTTTTACCTTGATTTGTTTGTTATGAATGTATTTATGAGATTTCACATCAATAAACTACTGTTGCCTCTAATTTGATAAATAATGCAGCCAAATTCATAAATAGATTTGGGTACATTTTTTATCTTAACTATTTGTATATTTAGTAATGAGATAGATTTGAAGGACAATCCCTATATTTGTTATCTTTATAAACAATATTACTGTAAACAGATGGGTACGAAATACCACTTTTTTAAATTAAATTCCTGCAACTAGAATCATATTTCCACAATTGATCTATACATGTATGATAAATTTTAGTAAAGGTTTGACCACCTTATAATATCTATATCCCTTTTGCAATTTTTTTCCTACGAACCTGAAATGCTGGTGAAAACTTCACTTGCTCCAACAAGCGCGAATTCTGGAACTTGAGCAAAGAATGATATAGTAGATGCATTGAAAGTATCGCCTGCTAGATCTTGTGTTACTCCACCAGTAGATGCTAAATTCTTTTTACGATAAATCTCTAAAATACCAGCCACAACCACTGATAACGTGGCAAGAATAAATCCAACGCCTAGAAATAATAAAAAAGACATACTATGTATTACAAGATGGATTACAAAATTCAATTTTCATTTTAAATCGTACTGTAAGCAAATCCTTTGATCTTTTGCTCAAAATTCAAATGAGCATATTCTTTCATTTCTGTGATATTACGTAAGGGAACTCAGGTTCCAAGATAGTTTATAAACTGCAAAAATAATAGTTCAAGATCAGGGGCCGTTCTAGTCATTCAGTGAGGATAATTTTGTTTGAACGTCGTTTAAAAGATGCCTGAAGCTGAAAAAAGATAATGTTTTTATTTAAATATTTCAACTAACTTACAAGAGTAACTTTGATGAGTGTTTACCTCTGTAAATTAATGGGGATAATAATGTTTGTAAGTTGTCCATCCTCTGAAACTGACAAAATCGATTGATAAATTCGGCTGAAAACAGTTAAGTCTGTGAATTTTTATCAACAGCAACATTCCCTCACTAAGGTTATCTTGTCATGGTATGATTTGGCACTTAGTTTGTGTGTCCGTATTGTTTTCCTCTGCTCTCTAAACAGTTGACGTATTCAATAGATTATACAGAAACGCGTCTTGGAATGTAAGTACACGTATTTGTGGCATTTAAATCAAATAACAAAATACATATTTTTACTACAATTTATACATACCTATTCTTTGAAGATGTGTTGGGCTTCTGTTTATTTTTGCTAAGAATGGATAAACTACTCTGTCCATAATTGGTATGAGAATCAAGATTATAATTGTATTAAATATATTAAGAAGAGCTGCAGGCATCTTAGCATCGCCAATATAAATATTCATTCGCTCACTCTGCAGGAAAAAGGAAGATTGCATCTGGAAAAAAAATGTTTAAGAAACTAGTACTCTATCCTTTCAGTCAAATACACACTGGATTCGTTTCATTATTCTTATATTCATTTTTAATAAGTAATTTAACTCTCTAATAAATCGATTCGTCTTGTTTAAGTGCGCTTTTTGTTGAACGAATATACGTTAAGATCTATTTCAAAAACTTTGAAGGTGATTAAGTCATAAATAGCATTTGTAAGCACTATCGTTACGTAAAAGGTAACAATAAGAACGACTTCCCTCGAAACCCAATATCCCTTTGTCTTACTTTCATACATTTTAATTGAGACAATGATATAGTTCTTCGGGTATTCAGACAAACTGTTTATTTCAAAACCTGATATTTCAGTAATTATGTTATGATTTTCTACGTCAAGTTACCTTGGGACCTTATATAAATTATATCCCATAATGGAGTTATTGAATGATTAACCTGTATTACTCCGGATAACAGAAACAAGAAATACCTGAGAGTAGATAGCCCAGTATATGATTATTAGAAGAAAGACCGGTAGAATTCTCAGCACTGCAATCACGCCATCAACCATATCATTGCTGTATGGACCTCGAGCTTTGTCAAATCCTCGACATTTTGTAGCCATACATACTCCTACAGAATCTTGTAATATGCTGCCTGTTAAGAAATTACTTTTACAGAATTCAAAACGTCACTGCATGTTTCGATATAGTCTACTAGGAAGGGTAAACGAAAAAAGTCCTCGCAATGTTAATGGAAATTCGTTTTCAAACTATATTTTCAGTTCCAAAATCTTGTTTTACGTTCATTTCACAATATTACCAAGTGTTTTCTTTTTAATTTCATTGCCTGAATCTACCAAACAAAAGTGGATTTTAAAAATTAAAAATACAATATCAACATTTTCATAATACCTTTTTTTTTTAATATAAATGTTAACAAATTGAATATGCATTACAAAAACATCAAATCAACATTTGTTAGTTAGATGTTTTGGAAACATAAGCTCTTTTTAAAGTCATTTAGTATTTAAGAGGAAATATTTGAATAACGAGCGTACTTTAATTAATTATTCAAAGAGGTATGATTACTTTCCTCTGTGTAATTTATCTCACTCAGATCGGAAAGTTGTTAAATTCTTGTGGAATTCGACATAGATGTTTTTTAGGATATTTCTTTCGTCGCTTTTTCATATATTCGATACATTTACAGATCAGTTTCAAATTTTTAATTGATTGTATCCCTGGAAGTATAATGCTAAGTATATCATTTTGCAATGTTCCGATGCAGTTCAACAAGTCCTAAATCGATACAAAATTTCATAAAATTCAGAAATATCGCTCAATTACTTTTACTTCGCCTTTATGTGAATGCTTCCAGACAAAACGCATAAAGTTAGGTAGGGGAACTCTTGTACATTTTTCTTCTTTTGAATAATATTAAAGAGATTTGATATGAGTAAAAGCGTCAGGTTTTGGCCGGATTCAAATGGAAATGTTTGACTAATGTTTGCATCCATGAATTATGTAATTGTAGTAGTGAGCCGGTAACTTCTACAGAATAATAGAAAATCAGATTGCAATCCCATCAAGTAAAGAGGACATTAAAAACTGTAGCTGTTCTATGTATGTCTTTTAGGTTACGATGCTACCAAGTGTTTTACATATTTGTTTTCAAAATTCTGTGGTATCGAGCGTCCCCGAGTAGTATTATTCCACAAATACATGTCATTCATACACAATTAGATCACATATGTATATCATGACAATGCAACAATTTTGATTATTATGTGTTAGTGTTATGGAGCATATGTAAATGTTAGCCATGCTGTTCAGTATAAATGTGTTACTTTTTTCATGCTTTCCATATTCCACAGAGTTATTTTAGGAAACAAATTATTTAGAAAACTCATCTATTTCTTTTATATTATTAGTATTGTTGTTGCATTAAGGTGGTCGAATTTAAAAAAAATGAATCTTAAAACTAAATGCTCTCGTAAGCCTTTACTGCTAATTCTACTAGCATGTTCATTTTTAATAGATCTCTGGTTCTTACGCCTTTAAAAGCAGTACACATAATTTTGTATTTGTAAAAGCAAAACTTGATAGATCAAAACAGAACTTTCTATCATTTTTACTGTCTTCTCCTACTTTCCAACAATTTGAATCAGATAGGCTATTCAGTTTAAAACTTGAAGTTGGTCATTTTACTCAAGTATCGGAGTATCAAGTATAATTACGAATCTAAAAACACCAAAAGGATAACAAAATTGTTACATGATTAAAAAAAAAATGGATATGAATGGAAGCAATTTCTTACAAAAGTTCTATGCTAATTGCAAAACTTATTTAATCAAGATTTTTTCGATTATTGTACTTATTATTTTAGCCTTCTAGATTTATTCGTGTTGAATTTGTATGTCCAAATAACGTCCATTAAATTAACCTAAGTGACTAACTAAGTTTCAATGGTATTGATGTTCCCAGATTTCTTACTGTCTGTACAAAGTAACAAACTCACCGCCTGGTTGAGTGATAACATATTGACCTTTGGCAATAACAAACAATATAAGAGCAATAAACATGCTGACTAATGGGATCAGAAAACCAATCTCGAAGCTGATGTTCTGTTGAATATATGCAACACCAGAGTATGCAACCAAAGCACCAGCGTTAATAAACCAGTAAAACCTACATAAATGTAGAAGATGTTTAAAATATGTTACAAACTTTTTTTTTTAAAGGTTGCATGCAATGCAGTAATATATTGATGCTGAAAAAGACGATACAGTTATCTGTTAGTATCTTGAAATCAATTATTATGGTCTTTATTCACTCCTAATATTTAAAATTTGTCAAGAATGTGTACAAATGCAATTAAATTGTTATAAAAAAGATAAGAAAATTCTCGTTGAAATTATTGTTGATCATCGCTTTTTGTCAGATTTCAAGGGGAGTCGAAACAATTTCAGAGGTTCATAATATTGTTACCAAAAAGATACTCGTTCAATGTACCTTAATTAATAGAAGAGATAATTTACTGTGGCTCTCCTTTTGCAACTTATTAAAATTTCTAATTAAGCGTTAAGTAACAATGTAACAAAGGTAAGACTAGGACATTATAGAAATTACAATGGAATAAACAACATGGACGAAATGGCAAAAAAATAATAATTGACAACCACTTTATCATTTACCAATTAAAGAACGACTGCACTGCTTCTGGTCCCATATCGTCCACCTGCTGAGCTCCGAATGGTCCAACATTTGCTTTTATGCCACCTGTCCCAAGAGCAATAAATACCAAACCAGAAAAAAAGAAAGACTTTCTGGTTTCCTGAAAAATCACAAGTACAAAATTTTATAACATATGTTTTCATCATTGCAAATTTTTATAAAATCTGTGTTTACGGTAACCAGTGAGTATTTTTTTAATTAAATTAGAAAATTGTCGATGTTCTCTTACGTAATACTAACTAAAAGTTAAAAGCGTGAATTGTCGGACAGTGATAAAAGACACTATCAATTTGCACACTGACAGTGACATATCTTCCGACTTTACAATGATTTAAAGAAATCTGTTGAGACCATAGTTTAGTCTTCCTTGTCTCGTTTATGATTTCATCGAATGAGACTTATCACTGGATCTTTCTTTGTCATTAGCAACATGACGGGTGCCACTAATGATACAGAGCACATAATATAAATAAGAAGATGTGGTATGAGTGCCAATGAGACAACTATCCATCCAAGTGAGTTTATTTTAATTTTAATACCATTTGCTTTGCTCTATCTTTTAGTGTTTTTCTGTAGTGTGTGTTGTCTGGGACAAATCAATTTATTATAGTCCCAGGTGTTGTGGACTGTAATTGTCTTTCTGTTTTTGGTTTTATTTTTGGTCCTGGTGTTGTCTGTCTTATTCTGACTTATGGTTTCTTATTGTCCATTTGGCAAGATTTTACTGTTTTCGATATGTTTTGTATGACGATATGTAAAAGAAACGTATTGACAACATACTACAGTCATATCATAACTAGCCCCTTCATTATCCTGCCCAAACCATTTACTGTAATCAACTGCCGAAGCTGGTAGCAAAAACAATCCTGAAGCAAAGAAATATTTCTTTTTGTCATATTTCTTTTGAAAATGTTTAAAGATGAATAGGGTAATCGCTTATTCTTTGTATCATTTTTGAGAGACTAACGAGATAAAATATGAAATGCAAATTATTTTGTTTCGATAATTCCCATGTTTTCAGAAAATTAAAAGTTATAAAAGTTATCCTACTGGTGAATTGATGCTTAGTTTCTAGGAACCTATACCAAGTCAGGAGTGTCACATTTATACTTTTAAGGGTTTGACCGTTTCCATGGAGCACCTTAGATCAACCCATGTTTTGTGGAGTTTGTGTTGCTCAGTCTTTGGTTTTCTATTTTGTGTTTTGTGTACTGTTGTGTCTTTTTCCCTTTTGGTGGTTTTTCCTTTGTTTGTCATGGAGTTGTCAGTTCGTTTTCGACTTGAGTTTGAATGTCCCTTTGGTATCATTAGCCTCTCTTTTTCAAGGGTATCACAGTAATATTGTAGGGATTCGATGCAGATAAACAATATTAATGGGCACCTTTGCTAAGTCAGGAGTGTCACAGACATACTGTTGGTGATTTGATGCAGATAAACCATGTTTAGTTATACCTGTGCCAAGTCGGTAGTATCATGGTCATACTGTTGGAGGTTTAATAGTGTTACATCTAGTTTCTTGATAGATGTACCAAAGTCGGGAATATCACTGATATATTGTTGGACGTTTGATGATATTAAACTTGGTAAATTTATACATGTACCAATCAGGAGCATCACTTCCATACTGTTGAAAATTTGATGCTTATCCTAGTTTTTCAGACATGTGCAATCTGTATCTAAGTCATTCTAGTGGAGTATTGTTGTTAATTAACGTGGATACAGATAAATCTAGTTTCTAAGTACTTGTACATTCAGGAATATAGCAATCGTTTTCGATTCGTTGAGTCATATAATAAATGTTTTAAATGTTTTCTTAATAATCATGCTAGGGAATAATCTAAAAGTAATGTATTCTTACTACAAAGTTAAACAACATAATCAGAGAGGTTTGTTTTATGCAAGCTTTGCAAATCAGCAAACGCAGCTACACTAAACTGTAAAAGTTATTTGTATGATACAAAGCTGTAAATCTTAGTTTGGTCATTGCTTACCCAACAAGTAAATGAGTCCAGCACCAAGAATGGTATTGTATTTTCCTGCTATGGTGTCTGCTATATATCCTCCAAAAACTGGTATTATAAACACCGTTCCTGTAATACATATTAATGGTCTTATACTTCATTTCCCTTGTTACTCTTCAAAAACTGACTGAAATTACTAGTGCATACGATATTGTAATTGAGCAAATACTAAGGTTGCAACTACTTCATGCGAAGTTGACCATTGAAGGTTTTGCCTAATTTGTCTAGGCACTTTCGGTCTTTAGGCTGTACAAAGTTTTAAATTTATGGCTTTCCTTACTTTTGGTCAAGAGCATGAAGGTAACTCTAGAAAAGGCGCTATATGCACGGAAATCATATGTGATTAACTCCTTTGCAGCAACAGTTTTAGCTTGAATGGACCGATCGTTCAAATATAATGGTGGGGAAAAAAACACACACAAGAAGAAGTAGTTTTAAGTGTCTTAACTTAACTACTTGGTAAGGCCTATGGATGTAGTTAAACACCTGCATTTCTTAATGTCAGATTTGACGATTTTGTATGCAGTTAAATAGAACTTTCAAGTATACTGTGGTATTGTATACTGCCTTGGCGACTATAAACTCATATACATTCAGTATAGCGCAAGAAAGTCTTTAAGATTTTTTTCAAAATATGATTGCTAAAAAAAGTGTTTTAAATTTGTTTTTTCCACTCCTAATATTATATATATAATAAAAGTTTTTTTTATCAATTGGCATCAATGAATGAACAAAACAAAAACAAACCCGAAAAAAATCTAGATAAACAAACAAAAACAAAACATCAATAACAGTCCAAAATATCCAGCAACGGTATGTTATTTTCCTCCTTATAGTCTTTCAAAAGACGTTTAAACCTATGATATCAAGTGTAAACAATTTACACTTAAATATTTCCATATCTAACTTGTATTCAAAAAGAGATTTTTCAGTTGCTACCTTTATGTGCATGTAAATAAACTTCGGATAGACAAGAGGCGCTGATAACATGTAACTTCCTTCTAGACACAATATGAAAAGATGGCTCTAACCTAATTAATGTCAAATCCATTAATGAAAAACAAGTATGTTGTCATATCTACTGGTAGTTTTTTTATTCTAAGTAAAATTATTTTCCTTTTTTTTCTTCAAACAGCAATTGAGAAAAAACTATTATAAATTTCATAATGCCCATTCTTACCTGAGAAAATGAGACTGACCGTTGTAGCAGTGCTGGTGGGTAACTCCAACTTGGATGTACAGTACAAAACAAGATTAGCAACACAGCTGTAGTAAGTTAGCCTCTCACACAATTCACACATAAGAATGCAGACTACAACCAACAACTTATTTTTTGTCATTCCCTTTTTCTTTTTTGAATCAGGAATTTCCTGATTTTCCAAGCCGTTCATGTCTGATTTCTCCATACTGTCAACGCCAATTAATGGAGTTTTTTCATCCGAGTTCTCAGGTGGATGGTTACCTGATAAAAGATATCGTCAGTGTATTGCTACCCGAATACGAGGTACGTAAGGGTGTCAACAAAACTGATAACACAGTTAACAGTACTAAATTGTTGTCTTATCATATATAGTAGTTATTTGATTTGATTTGTTACCTTTATCATAAAATTCTTTCTTTTATAGATAGTTATCAGTATCGGCAAGATCAAAAACGCACACTTTAACTACAATGTGTAGACCAATTTTTACATTCAAAGATCCTTTAAAATTGTTTTTGCTTTTAGTTTTCCAGCTACTATTATATTATTTTAGCAGCATTTGTCAAAGAGTATTGTTTCACAAATGTAATTTGCTAGATAGCATTCTGTATGATATAGTTTATCCGAACAATGCCTCGACAGAGGAGACCTGTTTGGCTGTGCGGGATGTATAAATACGCAGTCACTTCCGAGTAGAATTTTTTACGCAAAAGATAGCAATTAAGCCCACCCCCACCCCCTGCCTCAAATGTATTGCAGAAAGGAACATAAATACATCAATGAAAGTTGAATAGATCAGTTCATGCATTATCTGTATCTAGACAAAGTGTATATCAGTTCATTCATGAATTGTATACGCTAAACATGAAGTGTTTCAAATTACAGAAAGAGAGTGAAATGGACATTTTGGTTCGTATTAAGGACCGATCTTCTGTTCATGTTATATCCTACCGTTACTCTCACTAAGGATCAACAGTTATGGTAATATTTCTTTTATTGAGCCCTTTGTTAGATGACTGCCACCGTCCAACTAATATGGCAATTGTAACTTAAAAAAAATAATCCCTATCCTATATCAAATGTTGCCACAACAGCAGAAAGTAGATTTCACAAAGGACATTATGTTCACTAAAGACATATTATCCTTAACAAGAATCGTCAAAAGGGTTTTTATAATTAGAATTGATATCCAGTGATACAGCCTTGACTGAGAAGGCAGGTTTACTCTACTTGTATTCAGATAATACTTATAGTAGGCATAGATGTCAGGAGGCTCCAGTTTTATAATTGTCGTCAAAACATTGTATCACTGCCTCATAATTATATTTTTAAAAGAATATATTTTTTTAAAATTTTGATAGACACATTAATAGGGAGCCTCGGTGGACCGAGTAGTCTAAGTAGTTAGTTAAACTACTGTATCACTAGCCTGTCAACACTGGGGTTGTGAGTTATAAAACCCGCACGCGGCAGATTTCTATCTCTGTCAGTTTTCCTGCAAAAGGTCGGTGGTTCTCTCCAATAAAAACTGACCTTCACGAAATAGCCAATAGTGATGAAAGTAGCGTTAAACACCAATCAATCAAGCTATTTATTGCTTAACTGAAACTAAAAAGCAATCAAACAATAACACTTCCACACAAACTTACTTGACATATTGAGGTATTTTGATTTTTCTAAAGATGTCTCAATCAACTGGTTACTATTATGTAATGCCTTCACCTTTCCTTATCATACTTCAATAAACTGAATTAAAAACAAAATACAAATGCAATGTAAAATCATCAACTCAAACAAAATAAATCAGTTACAAAAGAACTGAAAACGGCGACCTAAAGTTGCTAATATTTACGTCATTTGTTCTCTGGTGAATAGTTGTCTCATTGTCAATCATATCACATCTCCTTATATTATATTGAAATGGATTATAACATGTATACTGTACAAAAAACGTAAAAGGATAATAAGTAAGTAATAAAAATTTTTTTCTAAATGGTTTCTAATGCGAAATATTATTTGCTAGGGAATAATTCTCTATTACTGTATTATATACAAAATGTGGAAATTTTGATACCGCTGGACACTTGAATACACTAAAAAGAAAATCAAATAGATTAACGATCACAAATAGATGGACGTACAACGTCAACACACATAGATGGCCGTACAACGTCGCTGGCCACAACACTTGATTATTTACAAATGTTTCAATCTGATTAAATCACAGATCTGGTGTCCAAGCTTTGCTTTGCCGCATGCGCAAAGCTTGAACACAGGATCTGTATTTAAATCAGATTGCAAATGTTTAAGATCTAGGATGGAACTCTGTACCACTAACATTCTGCATATTATGCCACACCCCTCGTATAAGTACGTATAAGTAAAACTAGAAGGAAACATTTTTACTGCCAAACTCACGTGATTCGTGATGTTGATCGTAAATTTATCTAATAATATTCTATCGGTTTAACCTAAGCAGAATATGATACAATGTTTCAATATTTATTCGTAACACTTTTTATTCCCTGGCATAAATAGCCTTGTCAAAACATATTACTACAATTTGAGTTTCGATGCTTTTAGCTCCGTGATAGATTTGGCTCTTTCAAGTGCCTCTGGTGACAAGCACTAGTCTTAGAAAAATTACCTATATACATAGATATACCCGGTATATTTTTCAGAGACGAGTGCCCGTGTCTCAGAAGACTCGTATGTAGACGAACCGCGTCAAAATATTTTAAAAGTTATAAGCCTCGTTTCTTTATTAACTTGATCTTTCTTCTCAAATATTTTCTTTCAAGTATCTGATCAAATTTAAAACGATGTACGTACATGTATATTGCTCAGAAAAGAAAATGTCTTGCTTGGAAACTGAAATCATTTCAGTTATCAATTTTGTATATGTTCAACCGTTCAACTCAGAATATCTTGGAATCCTAGAATAAACTTCTATTCTCATTCTACGTTATGGAGCAGGTTACCGAAACAAAGTCGAAACGCCGCAACTTTAAAATATTTGTAAGAGTCGAATCTAAACATATATTAAATCCCGTTTTTCTATGCATCATTACAAGAATGGGCATATAATAGATTCGGAATAAAAAAATAAGTTGTCCATTAAATGATAATCTGATCATATTGTAGATTCTCAAATTTTTTATTTGTTTTTTTTTTTTGTCTAACTCCAATTTTCTGCTAACAAATCTTTTCAATTTTAAAATTACCGCCAACATTTTACCACTTTTCGGCCATCGACTATATTTTCGTTTAGTTATTTATTCAAATGGTTATAGTCCTTTTATTTCTTATGCTTATAAATATGTTTAGAAAATTATTTTTCATAAAATTTAAAATAATTGTGTCCACACTAAAATTCAATTGCTCTGTACCTTGATATTTTCAACTTTGTTTTCCTTGACTTCTATACAAAACTTAATGTGTAGTTACGTCTCGAATTAAACATGTTAATTGTCAGTGTCCCCTTTTAGGTTTTGAATTTGAATCATCAAAAATTGTTTGTAATGTGACGTTACCTTTTTACATTTTTTGCGGGGGTAGATGGTATTGAATAAAGTCTGTATCGTATTAAGTCACAATTATCGACACATGACTTATGAAAACATTGAAGTCACATGACTCCGTAAACAAACTGTTTCCTTATGTACTTAGCACAAAAAGTAAACTGAAAACCAGTAGAAGTAGCGTTTCAAAACAAAATTCTGAGGTGAAAATTGACTAGTTTTATTACAAGCATAATAATAAAAAAAAATAAAGGTTTTTCAGTTATGATTTCCCGAAATAGAATTGCCCAGGATTTAATCTATAGTTTTTCAATAAATTAACTAAGTATTTCGGTCTGGTACACTACATAGAGTATAAAAATTAAGAAGGTTGGGAGCTAGGGGTCTTTATTTCTGTATTTAAAACAAATTTAGGCCATTTTTCTTTCTTCTTTATTTATTTCGCCAACTATTCTCTTTTCTTTATATTTAAGCCCCAGGATTCTCTATTCTTTATATTTTTTTTCATTTTTTTTCATTTTCTTTATTTTGTTTGCTTGCCATTTATTCTCTTTTCTGTAAAATGTTTCCCTATAGTATAATAGTCTATAAGTTGGTCAGTATCCTCTTTTATTTATATTCCATATTATTTTTTTGTTTGCTAAAAAGTTGGGGGCTATGTTTTTGCCCCAAACTTTTGAAAGTGTGTTTGAACAATTGCCCGCCCCTATACAACGAACCTTTTTTTTTAAGCTAATGCTAAATCTATCTTGCGTTATGGAATTTTAGGCCCTAATATATATGCCATTATTATCATAGTTTCTTGTTGCTGTTTTTAACTTTTTTATTTCAGGGATATGCATTTAGTATTCTTTCAACAAATGTTCATCACGTATTGGCATTCACGAGTTCCCCATATTTACTTAGTAATCTTTTTAATCCGAATGAATTTTTTTTTTGACATTGTAATATGTTTCATTTCATTCAAATATAGAAATTAATTCCGCCGGTTAATCATTTCTGCTTGACTTTTTTAAGTACATTTTTCAAAACAGTTTTTTTTTCATTGATTAAGGCATCCAAACCACCTTTAGGATTGTTTAACTATTCTAACTAGTTTCGAAAAGACCAAGAAAGTTTCTGTTCATTTATCTTGGGAACAAAATCTAGAAATAGCAATGGCATTTTGTATAAACATCTCTCTGTTGACCGTTAGATATATTTTGGTTACTTGTGTCGTTGAGTTGCTATCTCACTGGTTTAATTAACTCCACATCAGCTTTATTCATATGATCAATAATTTGATTATGATATTTGAAATTTTAGCTGAAAATAGTGGCCGAATTGTGGTCATCTCGAACCTACTTCTTTAAAACAGAAGTAGAAATTGATACTACACACACTCTGAGTTTTTGAAATATCTTTTTTAATTGAAATGCTACTTTTGTTCCCATTTTTTAGATATTACCATAATTAATGTAATTCTTTACCCGTATGCACATCCGTCAGACCACCCACATGATTTTTGTAAGCACCAAAAAAGTGGGAGTTTCGCACCCATTGTCCAAAACTAGACCAGATGGGGTGTTTATGAACCCTGATTAATTATACTGTGAGGGTCCATGGTTAAAGGGGCATTAGCTGTCAAATTCATGTTCACCGATTTGACTCAAATTCTCATATTTGATTTATAACTTACTAAAACATATATCCAAATTACAATAAGTCTGAAATAAACAATTAACAA